CCTAACCCTAACCCTAACCCTAACCCTAACCCTAACCTAACCCTAACCCTAACCCTAACCCTAACCCTAACCCTAAAATAAGACCACTCACAATTGATTTGCACGTTGCTGAGCGTGGCGGACTCCCACTTGGAGCATTGCTGGGCCTTGTCCACTCGCATCCCGAAGATGTATTCGGCCGCGCTGGCCATCCCATTGGCTGGTAGGCTCGGGTCTTGAATTTCGGCGGCAGGGAGTCCGGATCGTGGAGCATGGCAAGGGCACCAAGCTCAACGAGACGGGTGATGTTGATGCTGTGCGCACGATAGAAGACCAGAAGGTCATTTGCCAGACCGATGCCAGCGAGGATGACGTCCTGGTCAGTCAGGATTCGGTGGACCTCGACCGGAATGTCTGTCAATTGTTAGCATGTGAGTGGGGGGCGAGAGTCGAGACATATTACCATACTCGAGCGGATTGAGGTGAATCACGTAGCTGCAGTCGCGTGTCGCCAGTTGAATGACTTCGACCTTGGATGGTGGTCAACGAAGAGACAGCGAACAAATAAATGATTCCACCTGAGCCTTCTCAGGGCTGAGGGTGTACTCGGTGTCAAACCCGAATGGACCCTGCTGACCCTCAAGGAGCTTGTCGCACTTCTCGCTAGTGGTGATGTAGTACACAGGGCGGTGTGGGTCAGAAACATAAGTCTAAGGAATGGTCAGGATGGTCCAGTGGTGACCTAGGCTATGACTCACCGGCAGGGCGTGAGCAGCCATGGTGTGAGGGACAACTGAGAGCGATGATGAGGGGGGAAGTAAGAGAGAAAGTAAGGATGCGTCTAGTTCCCCACTTTATATACCCCCAGACCTGTCAGTAGGAATGATCGGCACAACAACCTCAAATGAATATATGCGCGTTCAATTGTCGGGTCCGCGGTGATGGCACAAACTTTGCATGGCCGGGGAAACCGGAAGTGAGGACAGCAATACATTTTTTTGAATGTAAAAAACGTGTTCTAGCATGTTTCAGAAACAACCCTGCGCCTCCATATGCTAGGTGTGAACGCACAATTCATGGGTGTGCCCAGACATTGAGTTTGTGGGTCACGTGAAATGACGTTGCAAGCTGCTTGGACTGAGGTAAGGCGGTGCTTGATGATGATGGGTGATGGGGTCACGTGAAATGACGTTGCAAGCTGCTTGGACTTATGTAAGGCTAAGCTTGATGATGACGGGGTGATGGGTAACGCCCCACATTTATTCTTAAAGATAAGATCATCCATACTTAACAGATATACCATGTCTGATACTGAAGCGTGAGGATCAACAAATGTACCGTTCAATTCACTGCAGTATACTATGGATGTTAAGGGTATTGGACTGTAAGCTAAGCATATCGTATCGTATCGTATCACCAGACTTTCGGACGTATTCTTAAAGTATTCTATGCGTATCGTATGATCAGAACTACAGCAGAGTAATGTAAAGTGATTCCAGTGGGCAGCAAGGACTCGATGTAGCAGGCCAAAAAAACGAGCGAAGAAATAAACGATCTACAAATCCCACTCCAGCGCACGCTGGGTCACGGCCCACTCAAATATCAGGAGGTGGTTCTTGAGGCCGAGGCGGTGGTTCCCGGGCACCAACTCTAGAGCCCAATCGATGAACGATTGGAAACGATGAGACGCAGGGACAGCAGAAAGCGAGGCGGGAAGGAACGGGCAGCGGGCGATATCGGGGATGCCTATAGATGCTGAGGCAACAATGTAGAGGAGGGCCTTGATGTGGCCGGGATAGGGACAGCCAATACAGGCCTTGCTGCGTCGATGCATGTCGTACCCACCCTGTGCTCCCGCAGGACGCAGACAGAAGAAACACCACCCTTTCTGCGGCAGCGGGTAACCTGCATGCTTCCAATCGCGATAGTCCCGGTCCGATACGCTGCACAAGTCGCCGGGACAGTTGTCGAAGTCGTGTTGGTCCCACGCGTTGTTGCCTGTGATGAAACAACTGACACAATGTCCGGACTCGATCTGGAAGAACTCCAGGATGGAGTTCACACGCTCCATCTTGTAGAGCAGTTGAGTGCGAAGACTGGCGGTGTCGGCGGGAGGGGGAGGCATTCCGGCAAAGATGGTGGCTGGGATGGCACGCGGGTGCGTAGTCCGAGAGACCAAGGGTGTGTTCAAAGGGGCGATGAGAGAGCCGCCGAAAGGGTCTGTGTTGGCGTTATGCGCCTGACTGGCGGCGGTGGGAGGTGGAGCAAAGGTGACAGGGACAGACGATACGGGGGAAAATGACGAGCCAGAGGAGGACGACGAGGCAGGGGAGATTGGTGAGGCAGGCAAAATTGGCGACATGGGACGGCGGGGCACAGAATTGCTCACTGGGCGAAGGGTGGGCGTGAGAGGAGCGTTAGTGTCCAGCGGATGGGCACCGGTGGCCGCCGCCAACGCAGGAGAAATAGCGGGGTGGTGGGGCAAGAACACGAAGTTCCCGCCAAACGACGAAAAGGGAACCAGCCCGTGTGCCGTCAAGACGTACACAGGCAGGACACCACAAAGGCCTGCTGCAGCAGCTCCCGCATCGCCGGGGACAGGCAGGTGGTGGATGTGCGTGCCAGGGATGCCGTGTTGTTGGTCGGGGGCCATGACACGGCCATGGGCATACGTGGGCGTCAACACTGGCGGGTGGGCAGACGGACTGGAGACCAGAGACATGGAGTGCACCGGCGGGCTCGGAGTGAACAGAGCAAGATCTGGAGGTTCGTAGTAAATGAGCTGAAGGGCAGGCAACTGAATGTGACTCACCATGGACGAGACCACGGGTATCCTGCCCTAACGGTTCCAGGCCCTCCGTGTTGTCGTTGCCGCGGGCAGTCTGCATCGTGGATGAGAGAAAGGTCGGGGGAAGGAAGAACAGGAGGTGGTGGGTACGGTGAGTGGCACGCGGCTTTTTACATGGAGGGGAAAGAAGAGAGTGATCTGGTGACGCACCTGTAACGTAAAAGATTTAGAGCATGCATCCATGTCAACTGGTAAGAAAGTCGTTGAATTAGGGCGTATTAGACATAGAAGCGCCGGAATGAAACGATCTATTCGCATAACGAAGGAACCCTTGTCGTACAGTAATTAATGAGCCATTGAAATACCACAAGATAGTTTTTGAATTTGATTTCGGGGGTGTCCGGTATGTCTTCGAGGGCCCAGCTGGAGATCGCAGTGAGGTTGTTGGATGCGCGTACATGCAAAGGAATGAGAGGGCAGACGGATAACGAGGGCACGCCAGGTGCGCTCGAGAAGAAGGTGAATAAGGCGGCCGGTATAATTCCGACGTTGACACAAGGGACATCCGCTGTCTCGACCCATTCGTGAGTTTGGAAATCGCCAAGCTTACCCTGGACTAGTTCGTCAGACCTGGCTTGTGAAAAGAAACGGAGCAGAGACATGCCTGAGGACGCAGGCAGTGAAAGCACCACCCTTGCGTCAGTCGGAAACCCTCCCGCTTCCATCGTTGAAACATCTCGTCCCCTGCTGTCGCAACCTGCAGCTCGCAGTTGTCGAGCGAATGCATATTCCATTCAGCCAGTTGACGCACAAAGCATGCCACGCAGGCCACATTTGTGCGTAGTCGCGATAGCGCAGTGTCAATGTCTCGAAGAGAAGCTGTCAGTTCTTTCACCCTTCGCTCAAGCACCTTCTGCTGGACCAGGATAGCAAACGCGGCGCCTTTCGGAAGACGAGGTCCCTGAGGTCCTGCCAGGCGAGTGAGTCCGGCGGGTGTCTGGCCTACAAGGTGATGAGGCGTCGAGAGGCTCGCCAACGAATTACGCTGTGCTTCAGGAGGGATGTGTCGCGCTGGTACGTTGAGAGTCGGGTTCAGTCCCTCCGACGGTGATCTGGAGTTAGCCGCATGACCTAGTCTAGTCGGAAGGCGCGCAACCGGGCGCAGAACGCCAGACTCGCCCTCGAGGTCACGATACAGTAGCTTATGTACCTCTATACGCTGCATGAGACACCAATGTGCTGTTAAGGAATCGTACCTACCGTCGCAGCGTGCCAGGGCAGACTGACGCGTAGCAGAAGAGACTTGGATAGGAAAGAGATTGGCGATGTCTTCGGTCGTCAAAGCGGCAGGCATAATCTGAGTTTGGCGCGGTGCAAGTTCAATCGACTGTGTACTGCAAACGTCGCAGAATTGTGCTCCTGGGATTGCTCCACATGTAACGCCGACGCCATCAAGGAATACGGCAGGCAGCAGGCGGCGGCAGAGTGGTAGATAGAGCCACGGAAGGAGGTATTGTGAACCCAGTAGAATCTGGCGTTCGTCGGAATCGGGGGCTTGTCGTTCTGAAGATGCAAAGACGATCACACGCGCCGGTTGTTTATCTCTCCCAGCACGGTTTGCCTGTTGATGGGCGTCGATCATCGTGTGCGGGATATCGAGCTGGACAACCTCGCGGACAATGGTATCGATGCCTGCACCCAGGATGGAGGTGGAGACAATGACCTGAGTGCGGCCTTCGAGCCAGTCCTTGAGTATGGAGTGGCGAGTTTCCGCGTCAATGGCAGCGTAGTATGGCTGTACACCAAGCTTCTCTGCGCACTGCCGAGCGGTGTGGGTGCTCCGGCAGTAAACGATGATCCTGTACGAATAGCCGCCCACCAGTCGTAAACGCCATTGGATGTACTTGAGTGCTGCCTGGACAAATGAGTCGACGCGATGTCCGGCTGCGTTGATGCACGGCGGGTGGAGAGAAACGATGTATTCCAGATTGGGTCTCCAAGACGGCATGCGTATGACATGAACGTCACTAAGGCCAAACGCGTCGAGGATCGGGGATACATGTTGGGGGCCAATAGAACCGCTGAGCAGTGTGATTTGGACCTTTAGTTCTCGAGCAAAGCGAATCACCCGTCGGATGGGCTCTCGGTACCCCGCGTCAGTTAGCGCCATGTGCGCCTCATCGATGACGAAGCTGGCGAGCTTGCGCATGGCAATGAGACCGCGTAAGAAGCTGTGAAGACCATTAGAATAGTTGTGTGAGACAAACGAAGACTCTAACTTCATCAACTCATCTGTAATCTGCTCGACAGCCACGTACAGAACGTCGAAATCTCCATTGAAACTTGCGTGGGATGGATTCCATTTGCCAACTGTAAGACCCACTTCATCAGCGCGTCTATGCAAGTCTTGATGCAGACCGCTGACAGGCAGTATGAAGACGGTGGAGCAGCCGACGTCGAAGATTTTGGATTGCAATAGTATGGTGGTCGTCTTGCCCGAATTGCACGACAATATAGCCAGGATGTGGCGCTTTTTCATACGCATGCACTCGAGTAGCTCAGCCTGCGCTGCGCAAGTCCACGTGGCATGCTGATCCCGCCGAAAGTCGCGTAATGCGGTGAGAAGGGACGGATGGGGGATCACCGATGAGATGGGACTAAGCGAGTTTGCAATAGGCGCAGTTGGCGGTTTAGGAAACCAAAGCGCGGCGAGGGATGAGATGATATCCGTGAGCGGCTCTTCTAGCTCCGCCTTCGAGATGAGTGGCGTTGAGTGGAGGCTTTCAAGGACAGCCTGTTTAATGGCGGCTACAGTCAGACTCGAGGTGCATTCGCCCGTGCCTGACAAAGAATGAGAGGATAAAAACAGAAAAGAAAGGAACGCACCTGCGCCGGCAACGTTCGGGAGTAAGACCCGTTGTGTGTCAAGGTTCGAGGGCAGCGCCAGATGGATGGGATCACCACCGTCTAGCCCAGTGGCAGCTCCCCATGCACGACATGCTTTGATACAACCCACGATCTTCCGTGGGTCGGACGCAGCCAAGGTGGATGTGTCGACACCGTACCGCATATATCCCATTTGCGTGGAATGGTTCTGCAGCTCATCGAAGAAAGAGTCGCCAATAGATTTGGAAAGGAATGGGTCGATTATATGGCGGCAAAACGCGCTGACCACCTTCCTGTAGTCCAGTATCTGCAGTCGGCATCCCAGCCCAGTTTCAGTCCAATCCCCAAGGCTGCTACTAATCTCCTCGCCGGTGAAGTCGCGCTGCACGCCAGGCCAGAGGGACGTGTAGTAGCGTTCAGCGTCCGCATGGCCTTTGAAGGTCGAGATCAATCGGCGCTCGAGAGGGCGAAAGATGGTGAGATTCCAGATCAGGTCTTTGGCGACGGATTTGACCGGGCAGTGCGGAATACAGTGCTTGCGGGAGAATTGCATGCTATTCTTCTCTAGCACGGCTATCAGGCAAAGCGCATGGTAGAGCAAGATCACGTTCCGGATGGTACCGCCAGCGACGTTACGCAGCGACTGACTGGCAAATTCGGTCGCACGGACAGATGGGCCACAGGACACAAGGGTCCGGACAGCCAAGATCATGCGAAGACGCTCGAGTGTGCCTAGTAGCTTGTGGCAGGGACCCAGCTTCCAGTGCAAGCATTCTCCCACGACGTACGTGAAGCGATCGGCCAGGTCGTCGTGAGACATGAGCCATTGCGGGTACAGCTCCCCCCACGCCTCGAAGCCGTTTGTCGGAATGTCGAGGAAACAAAAGCCCGGGGCAAAGTTTTGCGGCCGGTCTGTGAGCGTCTCGATCTCGAAGGGAGGGAAGCAAGAGGTTGGGATGCCCTTCCTAAAGAAGACATCTTCCTCGAGAATCCGGCGGTACTGCGCGTCTAGCTTCTGAAGCAGGTGGCGGAATTGGTGCAGGTGGATGCGATTGCCATTGAAGATGAGCTGAGTGTTTGCCTCGTTTTCCATTTGGACGTCTGCGTCGTTGTATTCATCACGAATCTTCTTGACAGTGTGGTGTATGTCGTAGATGAAAGCGCATGGCGTGTCCGAGTTGGCCGTAACATAGCGACGAACGAGTCCATACGCCCTGTGTTCTGGTGACAATAGTTCCGAAATGCAATCAGAGCGAACTTACTCCTCCGAGCTCAATTTCTGCGCCGGCATCTGGATGTGCATCTCACGCAACATTACGCCCCGATTGATCCACTGTAACTTGGCACAGGTCCGGGTGATGTCGTTGGCCCTGAGCCAGGTAGTCTTGCCCATACACGACGCGACGAGGTAGCGGTTGACAGGGAGTACCCAGTGATCAAGGCCGCCGTGAGCCTTGTGGTGAGCAAACATCACAAATGCAGCCTGATGGACAGCACCATCAGACGCGGATTCGGCAGGGGGCGCGTCTTGAGTGAGGACGTTGCCCAACGCCGCCAGCGCTACTCGTTGATTTGCGCTGAGTGGGAATTCCAGAGGGAGGGGATCGTTGTTGGCACACCGCAACATAGTCGTCAGCAGGCGCGAAAGGGCCAGGGCGTACTCATCAACACTCTTGAGCTCCAGCGGCCGCAATTCTTCGCGGGACGAATCTCTGTAGATTAATGTTAGCTACTGAAGAATAACAAGCATAGAACGTACGCAGTGAGCTGCGCCATCAACTTGAGCAGGGCAGAAGACGACTGTTTTACTGTGTGATGAATGCGCACACAGTATGCCTTACATGCGCTGTCCATTCGTTGTCGGAGTAAGCGCTGCGCGGGTGTCTTCGTGGGAATGGATATGGTCTCGTTCAATTGTGCCGGCGTGAGGTGCTCAACGAGGGAGTAAAATTCTTCGTTCTTGAATAGCAGGTCCAAGTCGTTGGCATTGTGTGGCTTGGAGATGGGCAGTTGGGCGTAGTCGGGTCGCGGAAGCGCCGTAAAGATCCGCGAGGGTTCAGGTGTGACACGTGGAACAAGCAGTGATGAGTCAACAGGGAAGAAACCACGGGCGTTAAAGCCAACGGACTGCCCCAGCGCCCGGAATGAGGTTTTCGCAGCGCCAGGGGCTAGACCACACTGGGGGCGGTACTGGTGATTGACCCTGAGCGCTTCCGTCGCAAAGCCGTGATAGCAGTGTCCACAAAAGTGCAGTTCCTGCGGCGAAACAGAGAGCCCATAGATAGGACTTGTGAGTGAGGTGGGATGGATCCAATCGGCCGGCTCGATGAGGTCGTATTTGAGCTGTAGCTCCGCGCCCAGGTTTTTAGGGACATTTATTCCCGTCCAGTGCTCCACGAGGTGTCTGCCCAAGCGATGCGGAGACACGGCTTTGCCGCATGACAGGCATATGACTAGCCTGAACGCAGTATTGATTACGAGATTGAAGCGAGCAAGATCGTGCTCAGCATCTTCGGTGATCGTGTCCGCGCCGAGCACCACGCCAAGCGATGTTTTCAAGGGTGGCTGACTGTGCGGAATGGGTGGCTCGCCTGGCGGCGGAGTGCATGGAGGGATAGACAAACCCTCTGGCGGATCGGTTGACACAGCTTCGTTTGTAGAGGTTGATGTCGTCGAGGGAGACCGCGTGTCCCCGACCGTTTGACCAGGTGTGAATGGAGACGGAGGGGTGGCAGACACTTCGACTGCATGCTCAGTCATGCTGAAGTGCGCAGAACGCAGGGCATCTGTGTCAGCGATTGCCCCGTTGTCGCTGAGACGGGCCGGGCATCTTCCAGGACGACGCACGTGGTCCTGTGAAGTGTGAGGTGTAGGACGGTGCGGTATCTGCTAGACTAACCCCGAAGGTTTGAGCGTTGGGATGGATGAATGCACAGCGAGTGCACGAGAAAACGCCCGCTTCGTTGCGATTGAAAAGCAAGGCCTGCACGTCGTCCGGGAACTTGGCTGAGACCTGAGCTTGATGGAATATGCGGCGATGTTTCTTTTCGGTGGTCCCGTCCAGAGGGACGTCGGCCTTGCACAGCTCACAATAAAAGACTTCATAAACGGGCATTGCGAGAACAATAGGTTTCGAGGCAGAAAGGATGGGACGGCGTACGGCCCGGTTGCCGACTGAGAAGGCTAGGGCGGACAGGACAGCGCCGAGCGCGACAGAAGACACATATAGAAGGCGTCGATTCAAGACCTATTACGTGGACAGGTACCTATAAGCACCTTGGCGCACATGAACGCCCTAGTCAAGCGAGTGGGGAGGGGGTGAGGGGTATGAGCGTCTCCTCGAGGCCTTCCTTGTGTTGACTCGGGATCTGAGGGCTAGGTGGGCTGGCATGGTCAGCGCTCACCCCAAGTCCCTACTCTGACTCCCTTCGCCATGTACTCCAGCGCCTTCCGGAAGATGCCGTTGTCCTCAGATTGGTCAGCCAGTTTGGGTAACACTCTAGCCAACCGTCTATGCGCCTCCTCTGCTCCTGGTTGCCCTGGATCGAATACGCAGTTTTCTAGACGTTCTGACTATGCAGCGCAGTATGTGGAGTAAGCGGACATTGAGAGGCAGGTTTAAAGAAACGCACCTGCGGACTTGGCGCGTATCCACTTGCCTTTCCGACTCCCTAGCCCCTTCCCTCAGGGATCCGTCCACTCGGTCTTGTTTCTTACTTGCTAGAGGCTGGTCATTGGTAGCGGTTGACGGCGAGGAGAATGAAGGAGAAGATGGAAGTGTGGAGCCCGGGGTTACAAGCCGTGTGCTGGTTAAGTCTCACGAGTCTCTGAACCAGCATACGTTGCTCTGCATCCTGGGCGAGCAGAGAGTAACGGTGCAGAGGGACTTGAACGTCACGTGGAATGACGTGGTAAGCTGCTTGGACTTAAGTAAGGCAGTGCCTTGTGATGTGACTGCGGTCACAAGGGGTGACACAAGATATGTTCGACAGAATGTGATGTCTTGTACCCTCCACCACGCCATAAATATATTGTTTTCATGTTGCAAAGCGTCTTCTAGCATTATTCATGAACGCTTGGCTGTTTTCGATAGACCACAGACCCCCTGCGTCCTGACATATTGAGCAGCGGGCTGAAAGTGATGGGTGCGCTGAGAGATTGTGTAATTCCAGAAGAACGGCTGAAGATAAAAATGCGAGATTCAGGATTCTACATCCTACAGAATGTATCTAACGATCCATGTAATAAAAATACGGATGTTGTGGATACAGCTCTCTGCGTCCCAGTCCCATCAAATGCACTGATGGGAATTGATCGCTTTGAGACCCTCCGCGGAATTCGATATGGGATACGCACCATTGCCCGGAAGTGGGACGCCGGTGTCCGCTTTCATTCTTTAGACCCTCAGCTAGGATTCCCCGATTTTTCCAGATTTTTCGGACAAGGATTGAGGCCGGCGTCCCCAAAATGTACTATGGTCGCAATTTGGGGTGCCGATAGATACTAGGCCGGCAGGTCTGATCACTTTGATGGCTGCCTGTCAACTTTCACCGTGCTCCCATTTCTCGCTCCCTATTCCCCCACAATGGGTTCTGCCTAGTTTTTTCATTCAATATTCATATTAGGGACCCTTACAAACATTTTGTCTGATTTGACCAATGAAATCCGGGCACTCCCTGCCCCGGGATCCCCGATGCAGTACCCATCACAAAATTTGATGCAGCGGAGCAAAGATGGCTCCCTTCCACACCAACCCCTGGCTCTAAAAATACGAAACTTGGGATTCAAGACCTTGGATACAATGTGTCGAGTCCCAGCAAAAAAAAATGGAGATGTTGTGTAAATAGGGTTTGGGATCCCCGGTTCATCAAAAACGGCCTGGTGAGATGATGCAAAAAAAGTGATCTGATTGTTGGGGGCTGCTACGCAGCCCCCGCCCCCCAACCCTGGGATCCAAGTGAAAAATGGATGAAGGGCCTCTAGGGCTTTCATACAAGCCAGGTTTCAAGAAATTTGGTTGAGAATTGAGCTTGGGATCCCCGTTTGCAATGAGATCATTTATTTCGGGGCCAATACCACTAGGGTAACACTCTGGCCAACCGTCTATACGCCTCCTCTGCTCCTGGTTGCCCTGGATCGAATACGCAGTTTTCTAGACGTTCTGACTATGCAGCGCAGTATGTGGAGTAAGCGGACATTGAGAGGCAGGTTTAAAGAAACGCACCTGCGGACTTGGCGCATATCCACTTGCCTTTCCGACTCCCTAGCCCCTTCCCTCAGGGATCCGTCCACTCGGTCTTGTTTCTTACTTGCTAGAGGCTGGTCATTGGTAGCGGTTGACGGCGAGGAGAATGAAGGAGAAGATGGAAGTGTGGAGCCCGGGGTTACAAGCCGTGTGCTGGTTAAGTCTCACGAGTCTCTGAACCAGCATACGTTGCTCTGCATCCTGGGCGAGCAGAGAGTAACGGTGCAGAGGGACTTGAACGTCACGTGGAATGACGTGGTAAGCTGCTTGGACTTAAGTAAGGCAGTGCCTTGTGATGTGACTGCGGTCACAAGGGGTGACACAAGATATGTTCGACAGAATGTGATGTCTTGTACCCTCCACCACGCCATAAATATATTGTTTTCATGTTGCAAAGCGTCTTCTAGCATTATTCATGAACGCTTGGCTGTTTTCGATAGACCACAGACCCCCTGCGTCCTGACATATTGAGCAGCGGGCTGAAAGTGATGGGTGCGCTGAGAGATTGTGTAATTCCAGAAGAACGGCTGAAGATAAAAATGCGAGATTCAGGATTCTACATCCTACAGAATGTATCTAACGATCCATGTAATAAAAATACGGATGTTGTGGATACAGCTCTCTGCGTCCCAGTCCCATCAAATGCACTGATGGGAATTGATCGCTTTGAGACCCTCCGCGGAATTCGATATGGGATACGCACCATTGCCCGGAAGTGGGACGCCGGTGTCCGCTTTCATTCTTTAGACCCTCAGCTAGGATTCCCCGATTTTTCCAGATTTTTCGGACAAGGATTGAGGCCGGCGTCCCCAAAATGTACTATGGTCGCAATTTGGGGTGCCGATAGATACTAGCTAGAGGCGCCCTGCGATATGAGGCCGCGCGTTCGAGTGCGCAAACAGAATTAACACATCTTTGAGTGGTTCTGGCAGCTCCGAATGGAGAGACTGGGAGATGGGTGGTTAGCTTGCAGTGAGGTGTCGCCAGTTGCGCGGTGTGTGTGATGACATAGATAGCTGACGCAGCGCTGCAAAGGATTGAGACATGGGGGGACACGCATGTAGGACAAAAAATGCCTGATTCGCGCGTTCATTGAGATCTCTGTAAGTCATCGACTCCTCTCGCTCCGCACAGCTCATTGCAAGCGCGTCGGGGTAGCGAGCGGCCTGGTGCTCGAACATGACGTGGAAACGCAGCTTGCTGACCTGGCCCACATCGGTTGCGTCGATCGGCGGCAGCAGACACGGGATGCGGTCACCCAGAAGCGGCTGCAGGTCGCAAGCCGTCTCCGCCATGGGCGCGATAGAAGCCACGCATAGAAGCCATGTATTGGAGCGCTATTACGGACATGTAAGCTATGACCGCTATTGCGCAAATGAACGCTCCCGTCGAGAGAAGGTGGCGGATTTGGGGTGTATATGCGTTGAGCGTTGCGTTGGCCCGAGATCTGAAGATCGGGTGAGCTGGCATGGTGAGCACTCACCTGTAGAGCCCCCTGTTCGCACGAACCCTTCCTCCACTTGCACTAATCCTTCTGCTGCCCTAGCCCTATCCCTGAAACCCCAGCCCATCCATCCCACACCCGTTCAATGGTGGCTGCGGTTGCCTGGTCGGATGAACGATGAGAGCGATGAGTGCCGCGCTGTGTTGTCGCTAGTCACAGTCGCATCTCGCATCTGATGGCCCGGCCTGGATTTCCCCTTCTTGAGGATCCAGGAAGCTGAGATTGAGCATTTCATGGGTCATAGCGTTTGCCTGGTCAGACTGTACGATGAGTGCAATGCTGATGCCATTGCATAGTGACCCCAGGTCTAATTCTTAACTAGACAATGATGAGTCTGCTAGTGCGTGATCTGACTTGAAGAAATTTGTGTTCCTATTAGGGAAAGCTATGCTAAAACGCAAAGTATCGGGTGAACTTGGCTGTGGGTCTCTTCTCCGTAGTCACAACCCCTTCCACGAACGGTGCCACAAAGGATTTATTATCGATGGGCACCTCAGCACCAGAGCGCGGTAGCGCATTGAGTTGTTCCCATGTCTGGCGCGATCTCGGCGTCGTCGCACTCGGAGGCAGGTAATGGAACCTGTCTAGAACGTACCAGACCGGGAACTCAGCCAGAATCCCAGTCGCATTCGGGGAAATGTGCATGTATTGCGGGTGGCTGAATATCAGGTGCACAACGTACTGCGGGGCATGGTTCGAGCAATCGTTCTAGATGTTGCCGGTAAACACTCACCTCGCGACCCATATTGGGGAACCGGTAGCTGGGATGGGTGCATGCTGGGATCTTGATCTCCCCGTCCATTCGCAGGAAGTGGTCCGGCTCTTCGATCTCCTCAAAGTCTACTTTGATCTCTTCTGTCGACGGTGTAGGTGAAGGGGCGCGTGTGGTCGTAGCTTCAGAATCGGCAGCAGTAGATTCCACGTTCGACTCCGCATCTTCCCCGCTCGGCAGAAAGGCCACATTGTGCTCGGACAAAGCATTGCCGTCGTCAGGACTGAGCGAAGACCCGGGTTCGCTTCCCTTCTGAACTGTAGATGCCACCTGCTCATCCTCGTTGACGGTATCTGCAATCCAGACCTCCCTCATGCGCTTTGACTGGGCGCCTTTGACCGTGTGCGAGCCGAGCTGCGGATGTTTGACCGATCCCGGCGCTGGCGGGTCCGGCAACTGGACCATCTTGATTTCAGGGACAGGCCCTTCATCGTCCGGCCTTCCATCATCCGTGCGCCAGACGCGACCATATCCAAGCCGTCCGAGATAGCGGTCTTTCCGCGACGAGGTCCGCGGGTGCATCACATTCGCTGCGAACATGTCGGAGCTGAGAAACGCTACTTCGACGGCACCAGGCTGCCCGAGCGCTTCGAGTGTCAGTTCGTTTTTGGACCACAGCAGAAGAGAGAACTGGACCACATCCCCTGCTGTAACGACGGCTGGGAGCTGGACACCGAGCTGTCAGTCTGTTAACGATAGAAGTTGCGTTTAGCTGCACAATGTGCTCACGATGCCTTCCATTTCAACCATCTCCTCGCCCAGTCTGCCTCGTCCCCCGAACGGGGTAAGCTGCCAGCCGCCGATCACTTCTCTGCGCAATGGCCAGTCTTCACGGGTCGGAAGATACGGAAAGGGTGTAGGCTCTTGAACGACCCGTTTTGAGAGTGGAAGGTACTGCATCGGCATGTCAAACTCTTCGTCTGGCTCTCCGACCTTGTCATAATCGATGTTGACCCCCACTGTGTATTTGATCGAACCGGAGAAGCCCGTGACCATGGTGATTGTATGGGATGCTGTATTCGATAAGGATGAGTACAGCAGATGAGAGATGACCAAACCCACGAGGCAAGGGAACACGACTAAGATTCTGAGCGGTGTCAGCTTGGCCCACAAACGAGTAGAACATACATACCCGTTTCTTTGTGTCGTCAAAGTGTTTGATTTGGAAATCAGCTGGGAATGCGGGAAACGCGAACGGGAAGACAAATGTTCCCTTTGGAAACTTTCCCTGCCACTCGTGAAATCCGCTCTCTGTCGTGGTTCCTGTTTCGTTCATGAGAGCTCGCACGGCTTGAGCATTCTCCTTCAGTCGCCTTGGATCGCCCATTGCTCGGTTCCACACCGTAGCTTTCATGGCCAGATGGGGCAAAGAAAACAAGTCGAGGACGGAGTCGGTATTGATAATGACCTGCGCGAGCCTTTCCAGCAGAAAAGTCGACATACTGAGCTAACGCACCCAAACATCGATACTCCTGATCTTCATCTTACGCGCCACCTTCAATCTTACTTCCCCCAACACCTTTGCTACGTAGCGATGAGCCCCAGCGTTGTGAGCAGAGAATGACAGACGAACCTGCGTTGTGATACATGGGCATAACCGATTCGGGGCGCGCATGGCTGTAAATGACCACCCCAAGCCACGGCTTCTCCCCAGCGGATCTCGCATGCAAAGTCCCAGATATCCCTCGGTTGTAGTATGTCGGGATGGGCGAAGACTCCTCCGTTCCATCCATCAGCGGAGGAGAAGGTGGGTCTGATTCGTACCAGTGCGGGACGCCTGACGAAGACCGATCAGTGAGCCGCTGAGCAGGAAGGAGGATGATTTGCAGAGACGCACCGAGGGTCGAGAAGTCTGGCCTGCGTCGCTTCGGCACTCTTGTCCCACCCATCGTCACCAGGCTATAGAAGCTCATCATTGACTCCGCTAGCGACCGGATAGTGCGTCCACCCGAAGAGCGAATGGTAGATGCGTAGCTCTTGATACTCTTTTTCCCGACGGATAGCTTGCTGATAGATGCAGCGTAGCTCTTGAGGCTGCGCTTTGAAGACGATGGGTTGAACGCCTTTCCCGACGCGTCCTGGAAGGTGGGTGTCTCCGCTTCATCCCGTGCTGCGACATCTACCCCTGCGACCTCTCCCTCGGCACCGCTTTTGTCGATCTCGGACCCATCGGTCTGCGAGCTTGCAGTATCGGCATGCCGCTGGTTCCGCTTGAGGACGTTGCGGAGGAGAGACATTGACCGAGGAAAGCTCACCGAAACGTACTGATTCCTACTTATCAACCTGTTCCGCACGCGTTTCGATCGAGTACAGGTGTATGCGGATTTGATGCGAGAGGAACGGCAGAGGGTGGACGCTTGTTATCGGCACAGTGAATAAGGATCGCGAGAGATACGAGTCATGGTCATGAATGACTCGGATGTGCATTCCGGATTTATATGAGCGGGAAACTATGCCCTTCGCTCTGCGGCAGGAACATGGAAGAGGTGTTGGGCCCGCTCGTGATGATGGGAGTGATCCAGGGAAGATCACGAGGTACGTTCTTTTGATCTTGCCACACCTCGGACCGAATTAATTCCGTTCACCTATTCTATGCGGCGGAAAGGGTGGGCCGAAATGAGCCGGGCACGTAAACGAAGGTCTGCTGCGTCCTTTCGTTTCCTGACCACATCCACGATACGATGTCTGACTTCGAGCCTGTTCTCCTGGCGCTTCCATCGCTCACCCCTGCGCTGGCTTTGGAGGTGAGCTATGTCTTAGTGGAACGCGTGATCTTGCGTACTGAATGAGCATGCCTTGTAGGTCGTGCCCTATGGCCTTACGATCCATCGTCTCTTCGTACAAGCCGACGGCCGCGTGAGTCTACGTCTCCGCATTCACCTTTCAGAATCCGAGTCCGATGATAGACACACGATATCGTTATCGGGCCCGAGGACCCAGCGGGCCACGTCACGCAAAAGTATACGAACACGATCATTGGGCGATACTCGAATCGCCTGCCCATCGGTACGCACAAGATCGAACGGCACGGGATCAGCGCGGAGACCACTGCGTTACTGAACGGTGCGTCGGCTTCCTCATATCCGATCGGACGCGTCTTTAACTCAAAGCAAAGAGGGTGCCAGGGTATCGCTGCACGGCGGACCAGTCGGCTTCGACTCGGTGGGCTGGACGCTGTTAACACCTGAGAACCCACCGACGCTGTTCTCCGCGAAGGAGCTCGCGCATATCCCCACTGGCTCGTCGCCCTCCTCATACGCTGTATTCAGACTCGTATCGCCCGACGGCGATCAGGGCTTTCCTGGCAAGCTTGTCACCGAGGCACTTGTTGCTGTAGTAGAGCCTGGGGAGCAAGAACGACACTACAGGAAGCCCGGGGATACCTCGGAGAACGAAGAGTATGATCTGGGAAGTGTTGTGCTTGTGTATCGCGCCAAGCTAGATGTCGAGGGCGGCGCAAAGGCGGTGACGCCGGTGAATCTGACCCAGGTGCGTTGTTCGTCATGTGGCCTCGATAACACTGCTTAGCTCATCATAGCATTGGGGATTCAATCTTGAGGCATCCCAGCGTGGAACTGACTCCACGACGGTGAAAGGGCATATTCTTAATATGAAGGTCTGTTGTATCTATTCTCACCCATCACACACTGAACAATCTGAGCCTTGCAGGCCGACAACATTGTGAAACGCGATCCAGACAGTCTGCCTATTGGACTCATCCCCACCGCCAATACTCCTCACGCACACACTACCAAGGCCATCGGCGATCAATATCCCGATCCAGGATATGGTGGGTGTTCTAGATTTCAAGTCCTGGCGATTGTTGAAGTGAATCAACAGACGACTACTACTTCTTTTCTCCATTCGAGCGTGCTCCGACGCGCGTCCCGCTGTCGTCCTTTTCTGAGGTTGACTTGATTGGTGATCTCCTCCGCCCTTCGAATGGACCCAGAGCCCAGCGGGGGACTCGTTCTATCCCAGTCACCGAATTGTCGTCTACAAAGACGGGCTTGAAGCTGGTGTTTGATACGAATCGTGTGTGACCTCGTGTATTTGATTTCTTGGACTGAAGTTTCCGTCGCAGAACCCGGCGCGATGTTTTACACCAATATCGGCGCGAATCCCAGCTCTGGAGCCCGGAAAAAGATCCACGGAGGGTCTGGGGTCAAGGATGCGGGAGATTCTTACGAGCCTGGCAGTGCGTTCCCCATGACTTCGCTCATATGTGACTGGTTATTGACAGCCCTTCTCATCCAGCCGCGGCGTTTCTTGAATTCCACGAACCGCTTGCTGCCTTCTTGGACCCGGCGAACAAGGATAAGGAGGATACTCTGTTGACGTCGGATGAGCTTTACCATAATTACGTGCGGTGCGATGTGAAGTTTAAGGAGCCGAAGAAAGCACAGTGAGATGTCTTGTAATAATCCGAATGTATATCAAGTTTCAAAGTCTACCGCTGAATGATGATTGTTATGATCTGCTTCGCCGTTCGACGACTCTGCAATTTGGAATCTACCGGGCTGGGTTGCATGCTCAACGTTTGTCAGTTCTTTGCCATGTTCAAGTCGTCCCGGAGTAGGCCAATGCTCTGTGTCTTCCAGCTCCGGTTGTTTGAACTGAGTGATAGATCACACGTACCCTGGTCAACTTCAGCTGCTTTCTCCTCATATATCGAGGAGGAGGAATAGTCCTTGGTCACTTTCCTATTTGAGATCAAGACGACATACTGGAAATCTGGTAGCTAGCTAATCCGGATCATGAAACGGGATCTTCTTTTTCTTTGATTGTCCAGTGATTGCCCCCATAAAACGAACACAATTTGATACCGTCGACTGTCTCGGATTGATCGTTTGATTATACATATCATTGAGCGTACTTTCAGGGACACGATTAGCGAGATTGTATTGAACGATGGAGAACCGGATTCGCTTTGCGGTGATCTAGGATACCAGTGAGGAATTTTGACTGTGCGACTGTGCTATCTGAAGGTACAGCACCAACTCAGGGTGCATCAAGAGACTAGCAAGACTTCGCGAGCTGGAGAGAATATCAGCGGACGAGTCAGGACGAGGTACAATGGCGCCACGAACCATCATAATCACGCCCCATCCTATGCTTCACCACAGGTTCCAGGGTCGACCATATTCTCCCTTCGCGATCGTCATGAGCTTGGCGCAATGGCACCGGATTTCGGAGGGAGAAGAACAGTATCCGGTGGTCCAGCCAGCCGAGGACGCGCAGAGCATCAACGATGAGAGCGCGGAGTGATAGCGCAGTGTCAAGCTGTTTCGGACTAGGCGATAGCACCTGCCCGAATGGTCCCATCTGCTCGAAATCAGCCGCATCTCGCAGGGCGCAGACACGCAGGTTGGGGCACTCGTTGAGTACACGATGGACTGTCGCGGCGACTCTGCCCTTTGTCGGCAGCTCGCCACCCGAAGCGCCTGTGTTCTTGAATGCAAGATCAAGTGAGATGTAGAGCAGAGTCGGGGGAAGGGCGTCCCAGCGCCAACCGGCCCAGTCCTCCCAGACGTTTACGATAGTCAGGTGTGTGAGTTGGCTGAATAGCGGCCCGGTGAATGGCCATCGGTCGGCGGGATGCGGATGTGTTGCCCCGTGCCAAACTGACATCCGGCTTGGAGTAAGGGGGGATAATGCCTGCGCAATCGATTCCTGGCTGCCAAGGCTCCCGGAGGTCGTAGGGAGGAACCAAGTCGTCAGATAGTCGATTCTGGTGCATACGTCGGTGATTCGCCTCGCGTGCGCCGGGAGCATATCGTAGAGAATGCAGAGGGCTTTCACATGCGATGTGAAGAATGCCGGTGGCTTGGTGGATGATTTCTCCATTGTGCGGAGAAACGCGAGAGTCATCCGATGATTTGAGAGCCGGATCGCCGAGTAGAGGATCGGGTCTATCCTAGAAAGTCAAAACCGTGTTCGATGGCCAGTTCGAAGATGGAGGCAGGAGGGAAACGCACCATGCTTGAACGCCCCTCGAGAGTCTTGCTAGCGAACGCGCCGTCCCTCCATCGTCTCTGGCCGCAGCCTCAAGTACAAGTCGTAAAACGTCCGGGGTGAGACCGGCGGATCTCATGAGTGGGGAAAAACATGAGATCGTACCCCTCAAGGTCTACTTATATGTCCCTATCCATGTTATTGCCGGGAGTTTCTATTGAGCCCGTTTCCATAAGGCCCGCGGCGATAGCGTCCTGTCCCGTGGCTCAGGTTGCATGCGGAACGACCGATATGGAATGGGTCGCATTTCAAATAAGTCCTGATCGCAAGGACCACACAGCTTTCCAGGCGTGGAGAGGGTTTGCCCATCGTCGCGGGGTTGCCATTCGATGCCCTCATCCGGTGCGGTGTATTACTCAGTAGAGGTTCGAGCGGCTGCCGGGAGTCGGGTCTCATCACTGCCGCATTCCAAACTATTCCAAATTCCAAAAACACACACAACATATCCGTGGATCAATGATCGGGGATGCCGGGTGAGATCGCCGATCCGTCCGACTGAAAGCGCCGCAGAGGATTCGCCAAGGGTCAACTGTTTATCATGAGAGAGAAATTGACATGAGTTTAATGCGCAGGTCATTTGGGAAATGTTCAAGCTCAATGATCTTCACTTGTTTCATCGCGACTTGCCCAGACTCAGGCAAAGTTGTGTCTATGCGGCTACTCGAATGTGAGAAGCATCGGAGCACGGCGTTCCGTTCAAGTCTCAAGCCTTCCAATTCATTAGCTGCGTGTGTCACTCGAGCTGAAATGCAGAACTGGGCGTCCACTTTGGAATGTTTCTCCTCGGACTCCACGGATTGGGAAATCATTGAGGCGCTATATTCATCCCAGACTTCCGACTAAATGACAACATGGATTGCCATTCGCCCTCCCAGATTGTGTTGCGCAGCTGGATGAAAATCGAAGGCAGCTTGGAAGTAAGGCGGTTCCCGGATGTTTCCGTGAGACTACATTCAGTTAGCCAGGGGTTATCAGGCTAGAATAGTGAAGAAACACTATGATCTTGATGGAAGGAGTGTTCCCGTGGGAGCAGGCAATCTTGAAAAATCGAGAACAGCCAGAAAGCCTTCCATCGAAAGGCTAAGGGAGTGGTTTTGATAGCGGTTATTATGAATCATGTTCTGTGTGGTACTAGGGTCACTCGGTAGAAACAGCACACACTTTTAACGTATGACTTCCACAGGCGGCACCAATCAATCCCGCTTTCAGTTCTTCATTCACAGGTAATCAAAATTGGTTCCGCTCGCTCTCCGAGCCCGACAGTCGCCGTGATTTTGATTAGGGTGGGGAAATAGGGGGGTAAATACTGGCAACCGTTCCGCATTTGTGTTGATCGATCCCGAGTTTATGATGCTGGGCGGGCAACGGAGGACGGAGAGGGTGGCGACACTGAACGGAGCATTGAATGGAGGCTGAAAGGATCTTGACAGTGCCAATGACAGTTTCGAGAATCAGCTCGCTCAAAATCTCACTATCGCACGCAATTTATGTTGAGTCGGGGGCTTTCGAGACTTGGTGAGCCGCAATTAGATCTTCTAGTCTCGATCACATATGCGCGTGAGCAAGCCGCTGTCTACAGAAATGGCGAGCTCAGCTCACTATGAGAAAGGAGTTCGCGCCAAGGGTGATTGATCGGAACACGAGGCAACTGCCATCAGCACTGTGGCAGCTTCGATTTCGCACGCCCATCCTGTGCGCGACGAAACCTTCCTGCTTGCCTTTGTTCTCGTCTCGTCGCCATCGTTGTCGAGCCTTAACTTGACTCACGCGCATATCAAAGACTTATTCGACCACGAATCGCTATCCGCGTTCCCACACCTCACCTATAACGACAACTCAGGCCACCACCGACTCGCACGCCCAGCGACACGCATACACCAGCTTGTTCCCCTGACTTGTTACTTGGATCGGAAACCTGGTTTCAACACCTGGTATGTGCTGGTGCTTTCCGCCGCAGACATCGTTGTTTGACCCCTCTGTCGTGTGCAATAGTCCCTTGGTCTGCGATGGACGATAACAGCACAGACACGCCTACGCCTGCACCGCCGGCTGCTGTCGTTGCTTCTAAATCAACGCCTCTGAATGTGCACGCCCCAGTGTCGAACTCCAGCGAGCATCAACTCAATCTTCTCACTCCCACGCAGTTCGCGAAGCTGCACACGACTCATCTCCTCTCACATCCGCCCGACACGCTCCTCTTTCCCTTCCTTCACGGCCTCGAAGGGTGTAACGAGGCCCAGAACGGATTCTTCCGTGCTACAGCCGGCAAAGGGGCACCGCGGTATAGGGGATTAGTGTGGGTGTGCGTTGATGATGATTCAGCGGAGGAGGATATGGTGGTGCGGGGAGGGAGCCAGAGTGAGTTGCGCGGAGGGCCGGATGCATGGGACGACGAAATGGATGAGGACGATGATGATGATGATGAATTCACAGACGATGAAGACGATGAAGTGCTCATGGACGTCGACCGCACTATGCACGGCGCGTCGGCCGGCGGCATACTTATCGCTCCAGGACTGGTGTCAAGCGAGTCCGAGTCCGAGTCCGACCCTAACGCTGGAAAACATATGCACCCAGTCCATTCACGCGCTGCAGTACATCTCGACGCTACTCTCCAGCGCGACCTACAGGCTGCGCTGGATTCGGAAATGGAAATGGCACCACATGAGAGCTCAATCTCAGGCGCGAGCTTCTTCGGGTCTAGTCCTACCTCGACTTCGGCTTCTGATATGTACGTGCGACCTGTTCTTTTCATTTTCGCTGTTGCCCTGGTTATCCAGCGCTTGGACATGCATATGTGATGTAGGCGGTTTCGGCGTCGGGGCAGCTATTGTCTTCCCTGGGGCTTGACGTCTTCTTTTCTTCTTATCTTACGTCACTGCCGCTCGTTATCTTCACCTCTCCCATCAGCTAGTCGTGCATCTGACCTCTCTTCCTACAGACTGACACCGCCGTCATCCGAGTCCTCTTCATCAGCATCCTCGTCCTACGAGGCGGCTGAGGAGCTGCCGGCAGCACCGTCGGAAACGCCTGCCCAGCCGCAAGATCAAGCCACAGCTCCAACGCCGGCGCCAGCGCCCGCATCTGTCACAAATGAAGGACCTCCGTTGCTGACATGCAGCTTTCGGCCTAGCGAGCTCCTTCGACGTGTTCCGGGACTCCAGGTCACTGACATTATTCTTTCACTCTGTAACGTGCTGACGACGCACCACGGCAGGATGCCCGAGATGATAACAGAAGTTGGGAATTCCAACCAGCGCGTGTTCCGGACGGGATCTCACTTCGGAATTTCGGCATTCAGGTGGTGAGTATGACGTCGTCTTGCTCTCTGCCTCCGCATGTCTGATTGTGCATACATCTAGCCTATATATGCCACACTGTCTGATATCGTCTTGTACTCGGCATCCGGACTAGCTTCTCCAAGGATCCGGACCGTAGCGCAGCGATTTACTGCTGCCATCGATCGCAAACGGCGGGAAAGAGCTGGGCGTTGTGCTGGTAAGCCTCTCGATCACCTTGTTTGCATGTGTTGAAGACAGCAGATGGGGAGTCTCCTCTGGAATACATTGTCTACGTTCTCGACGCTGATATAGCTGCATTGAGGGCTGCGGTTCCGGAGCTGATGATGCGCGTCTTCCCCACCGGCGTCCCGCTCCATCCTCAGCACCAGCCTCATCATGATCCGGTCACGTACCGCCACCCGAACCATATCCCAGTCGCCATTCCTCTCGCACACACCGGCGGATCGAAAGCTGACTGGACGCCGAATACAGTCGACTTCGGGCAGCGAGAGAGGGATGAGATGCGGGAATTGACCAGAGCGAGCGAAGTTCTGAGCATGGCTCCCGAAGCAACGCCTGAAGATGGGGATGGTGGTTGGAGAGCAGAAGTCGGGCAGATCTTCCTCGGAAATTCGGGCGACGTGCCGATTCCTGCACCCCAGTCTTTTGAGCCGACTGATCCCTTCGACTGCACGAATAACGATCCACAGCTTGGGATGGGCTGGGACATCTGCGTTGAATGTCACGAGATGGGCGCCTGGCCGTCCCTGGCGCATATTCGTGCCGCGGAGGATCACATAGGACTGTTAGATGGGCTGTGGGCAGAGCGCTGTCTTGCTCAAGAAGCGAGTACTCTATCAGTCCGCCCGCCGCCCAACGCCAATGCCGTCATCCACTTGTCGTTCCCCAGCGCTCCAACGAATTCAGCTGGCACCGTCAGTGCGATGCTCCCATTCGTGGCGTTCTTGGAGCGCTGCATCCGACCAATAGTTGAAGGCAAGGATAAAGATGAGGGAACTGGAAAGGGACGGCGATGGAGTGCTTTCCCCGGGTCTCCGTTCCCGAATGCTGGCACGCGATCACGCTCGATGACATCGCCAGAGCCGTCGCTGCCATCTTCGTCTTCGCCGCTGTCTATGTCACCCCAGAAGACGCGACCGCTCAAAATCCTCGTCTATTCGGCGGACGGATACACCGAATCCTCGCCATTGGCGCTGACGCTGTTGATGTCGGCGCGCAGGATTTCGCTGCCGGAAGCGTATCTGGAACTACAGGTCGAAAAAGGCCGTAGTTTCTTTGTTTACCCAGCCGAACTCGGAGTTTTGAGACGAATTGAAGGCCGGCTAGGACTGAGTGGGTCAACGATTAGCATGGGTGGACGGCGAGGGAGTGTTAGTGTTGGGGGACTGATGCACGCGGGTGATGACAAGGTCTCACCGGCATCGGTCACGACGGGGCGTCCTCGAGCGAAGACGAGTCCGTGGCTGCCGCTGTCATTCGGAGGGGACCATCAGAGCTGGTTCAACGACCCAAGATTCGATGGAAGTTTCCCGAGTCGGGTGCTGCCGTTCTTGTATCTGGGGAACCTGTGCGTAGCTTGTCTCTCGCTTGTCCCTTTGGTTATTAACGCTTAGCGAACAGCAACCACGCGTCGAACGCATACATGTTACACGCGCTGGGCATCACCCATGTAGTATCCGTGGGCGAGTGTGCATTAGTGCCTCCTCCCCAGTCCACCAATCACTCCCCCTCATCCCACAACCATCACCATCACTCGTCGCTTTGGCACGAAGAACGAGAAGGGCGGATCAATGTGCTGGACATTACAGGCATCTGCGACGATGGAATTGATACACTCGAGCCCCAGCTGGGTCCCATCACAGCCTACATCGAGCGTGCGAGACTGGAAGGGGGCAAGGTGCTAGTTCACTGTCGGGTCGGTGTCAGCCGTAGTGCGACGGTCGTGATCGCATATGTCATGAAGCACCTCGGGCTACCGCTGGCCGATGCTTACCTTGTTGTCCGCAGCCGGCGTCTCAGTGTTCTGATTCAGCCTAACATGCGGCTTTTGTTCAACTTGGTGGGATGGGAGGTCGGCCTGGCGAAAGAACGAGCGATGGCTGGTGGTGACGAGGAGGAATATCATGCCCGGCTCAGGAAAGAGCTGGCGCGCAGTGTGACGTGGCCGGTTTTGGCGAGGGAAGTACACGCCTTGAATGACAAGTACCTTCGCTAGCCATCGGTTTTTGCTTTTGTTGCTCTGTAATCTGTGTACATGCTTTTCGTGTAAAATGTGACAGTCTGTATTATGATCCTCCTGCTTCCAGCTGCCATGCCACGGAATCCACCTTAGCTGCGACGTCGATAATCCAGATTAGCCGAACAGAGGGTGAGATGGAAGTAATGTTGACCGCATGAAAGGCGCTACGTCAACTTGCAATCGGTGCAGTATACTTAATACAACAGATGATCACGGGAAGTAAAGATGTAAACGATATCTCGGATGTTGTCTCTGTTCGTATCGTCCAGTCGACCAACGAGCCAATATCTCTAAGAGCGATAGAGCGCCTTTTTGCGTCTGCTGAGTTTCGCGGCTCGTCTGGTCGTCTGCACTCGCTACAACTCCTCTGCTTGAATGATGGAACTATCCAGAAACTGCGAGCTTCGGTCATGGTCTATGCTGGGTCGACGCGGAGCAAGTCTTATGCGTGACCGGATGAGATACGACTCATGCATACGTAACAGTAGTCAGACTAGACCTTCAGAGCATGTTAGGCGGGATAGCGGGTGAGGTCACAGACGGTTCTGCGCGACAACATGCGAGTATTTCACCACGCTGTGATGAAATCAGGCGTCGTCATTTTGCAGACTGACTATGTAGACGGTAATCAGCCGATCGGTGCAAATCTTGCAAGTAGCCGCGCTCTGCTGGACGAAATGACAGCGGATAGGAACGAATGTACGTCGCGTCGTGTTCGTCGTCCATTCCATCATCTCTCCCAAGCCAAAAGCAACGCATCGATCTTGGTCCCGCGAATATAGGAACCCCGATCATCCCGACAGTAGATGAGTTGAGCACAGCGCACTACTGAGGCTAATGAGGAGATACCATAGGATCTATACCCAACCAGGACGTGCGCCGGTAGAGAATCCGGGCTATCACCACCGCGCGCTATTCGGGCTGCTTTGGTTCTCTGGTTCAATCTGTGTTTGGTTGGTGTCCGACGATGACGGGGACTGCTTTCCAAAGCGCGCCGTCTTGGCTGATGCGCTCCCAGCGAGTCCAAGAATATTCAGAGAGAGAATTCGAGGAAAGAATGAACCAGGGAGGGCGTATGAGTTGCGGAGAGATCGTTCCTGCCTGCTGTACGCAAGGCTGACGAGAAGGGCACCCGTGTGCGAAAAGCAGCAAGAAGCGGAAGATTGAGCGACGTCAGCATCACGTGCGAACTCTCCGCTCAGTAATTGCAAGAGCAAGGTCTAGAATACAACGTGGTAATTGAACGGTCCATTAAATATATCGAAACTCTAACAAAATAAGACCAGAAAATAGATTTCGGATCCAGTCGATGGGTCACTCAAAGTCATAAAATTCGTCCCAGACACTGGACTCTTCTCTTGGCTCGGAAAAACGCGATATTGCGCTCGGTACCGCCAGGAGTTGAGACTCCGAGTTTCTCTCGATTCTCAGAGGAATTATGAGCAGCTGATTTTCAGGTGCTTGTGCAGCTTGTGCAGAGTCTACCTCATCAGTTCTAGTAGGCAAGCTACATTCCTTGCTAGCACTTTGAAAACGGACAGGACTGAGTGAGCGAGACCTAGCGGGATAGGCTCACGCACCATATTTGGGTAAGCGACTGCCATCTTCTGCGAATTTTCTCGACTGGCCTGGATCTAGTGCGAGACTCAGACTGCAGCCATCGTCAGTTACTTGAGCGAGAGCGCTAATCCACCGTACTTGCGCACCCTGTTCCCTGTCTGTACGGCAGTCCTCTTTTTCCTCGAGACGTTGCAGTCTATCCCTGAAGACTGCTTCGAGTCACCCGTCAAAACGGCACGAAATAAGCTGATCGGAAGGCGGAGGATGGTCTGCATGGCTTCACGTCTGGTCGGAACTGCGGTGTCAACGCTTTTACATCGGGGAAGACCTTTTATGAGCGGCGGAAGCACGCGTTGGCCAGTGTCTCTTTTGTCAGTGTTCCATTGTTCTCAAATGGCCCCTGGCATGCTCAGACCGTCTCTGACAGCACTCGAGTGGTCCACCTTATAACAATAAGTTTGTGCTCTGTTCACGAATCAATTCTATACACATCGATATAGGCTGAACGACGATGCCCAGATTTCAAGGACCAGATAAGAAATCCAGGAAAGACGACGGGGACTTTGTATTGTTGTCTGATTGTTGTTGTGTAGATGGTGCTGGAAAAGATAAGTCCGGATAGCCGATTCGGCCGAATTGATGGGCGTAAGCGGGCTGCTTAGGCCTTCCCGACCACCAAGTCCTGGACCGAGCCTGAAGGTGTCCGCTTTGTGTCTCTCATCAGAGTCCGGATGGTGACTCCCCGCTGGGGAAACGCCCAAGCTACTGATCAACGTCCCTTCAGCCTTCTGTGGATGCGCGGAATCTTTTGTGATAAATCGTCCGCTTCTTTGCACCTAAACGGTCATACACCGCATGAAACCGGGTTTAGAGCAGCCAGGAAGAATCCGCGATCCAGGCTTAAAATGTGAGTCAAGCAACAACAAGAATATGATTGTGAAGCTCGTCTGTTCTGCATGACGAGACGAGAAAGTATTCAAGTCTCCCGCATCGAGTTCGAAGTCTCTGCCCAGGCCGATCGAAATGTGCTACAATGCAAGACAGTTGCTGCCGGCATAATTGTCAGGTATCAGCACTGCATTTTGGATGGATCCGGAAACGGCCCAACCTTTGATCACGCACCTGTCACAAGCTTCATATCCTTGGTTTGACACAGTGTTTGACATTGACAGCACTGCTGCGGAGGCCCTAATGTTTCAATATAAAGCTCTGAAGACGGATCCTACGGGGTCAATCCACCTTCGCTTGTCATGGCATCTGCTCTCACATTTACGCACAAGCAATGCCAGGATTGCAAGATTATTGACAGTGCTGGCAGCGTGATCTACACACTGCGCACCACGAAAGATTTTTTCCTTCGGGGCCGCAGAGTCACATCTATTGAGGGAGGTGGGTTGTTAGGACGGATCGACTGGCGCGCTGGAGAGTTTGATGTGGGTGGCACGATCTTGAAATGGTCGGATGCCGGCGGTACTCGCTCGTGCGTGCCCTACACATCACGCCTTGAGTCATTTTCTAACCTTTCAGGGCTCCGGAATGGCGTTGGAGTGGTTCTTTGTATCGCTTGGAATGGCAGAATGGACGCCGTGAACTCTTGGTACGTATCGAGATGTTTCGGTCTTCAATCACTTGCACTGTCTGAAGATCAGTTTGCCAGGCTACGCTGACTTCCGACAACGTACCTGCCTTCACGATGCTCTTCACTCCATACCAACCCCATCTATTCGGAAAGAACGAGAAGCCGACGATTCGATTCCTTGACGCAGTCCAGGACGAGAAGCTGAAGCTATTTTTACTCCTTGCGGCACTGCAGATGGAAATGACGAGGCAGGATGTAAGGTCTCGGATGAGAGCTATGCAATTACTGAAGCCTCTCGATCAGGCCGCCCGCGACCGACAGAATGCAGCGATTGATGGATCGGGAGGCGCAGCGGTATAAAAGGCGGAATATGAAATCCTTCCAGGAGCTGGTAATAAACCTGACGACAACCTACATTTTGCGATGGAACATCTCTTCCCGATGCCTCGAAAAAAAGCGCAAAATCGATTCAGAAAAGATCATTAGTGTGTCTCTACTGAGAAAGTCGGTCAGACAGACTAATCAAGAATTGAACCAACTGTGTGCGTCAGAAATGTGCAAACGTGGCCACGGAGGTTCCTAGTTCGATGATCATAAGTTCAATCATGCCGTATTATGAGGGCGATCTAAGTTCTCGCAATCCAGGCAATATCCGCCCAGTGCCGGCCTTATTAGCTGTGTTGCTGTCCAAAAGCTCTGATTCCATCCAGTTCAGAAGGCCGCTGGGTACCGTTTTTTGCTTTTGGTAGTTCCAAGTCATCAGCGAGGGTAGAACTTGTCCGCATCAAGGAGTGTACACGGCACTCTAATCTCGTGAGTCGAATAATTGTTGTCCCATCCGTTATATGAGGCGGAGGGTCATCGATTGTTGCTTGATGACTTTCATTGCAGTCAGTGCAGAGAGACTTGGTCCTTCGATGAACCTCGCCGTTTCACTGATCTTCATCCCGTTTTGTCAAGAATTCACTCCATTGTTCTTCGATTGCTTGCTGACCGGCTGAATCAGAGGCTTAAGCCCTTGAAATTTCCCATAGTTCTCCCTCCGTTCATGCGCGTTCGAGCGCCATCAAAGCGCCAACGAAGTCCAATCACATTGTTGGATGTCGAAACCTTGCTTGGAAATGTAACGCATTGTCCTTGGCCCGAAACCCCTGATATAAGGATGACTCTTTCGCAACATCTCTTAAAACATTGCTCCAGGATCCAAGATGGCAACAGCTCACCACGGAGAAGAAATTTACGGCTTGCTGATCGCTCAAACTCTGGAACCGAGCCATGACGAGCTTAGATATGCCGTGCTGCAAGCTTGCCGCCGAATGGGGCTCATGGAGTGGGGGAGCGGCGAATTGGACAACGTCGGCCTCTACAACCTGCTCAAATTCATCGTGGATATGATGAAAGTCCTGGAGACACTGGAGGATGAGCTCGATGCCTTGCCGGCGAAGTCCGTGCGGGAACTGTGGAGAGTGTTCGTCGATCTCATGTCGTGAGTGCAGAATTTTCCGCAGCGCTGGGTATGTCATAACTTACATTTCACTTGCAGGATGGTTCAGGACTACTGGATCCGTTCCCCCGTCTCGCAACCACGGGATCCATTTTCCGATCACCAGGGCGAGATATTCGTACGTGGCTTCGCTCCTTGGCTGATTGACACTCGGCGCTCAATAATTTCGCTCAGACCATCGCCGCGATGCGATTCATGGCCGTCTCTCGTCAGCCGTGTGTTACGGAGCTGATTGTGGACGCCGTTCGCGAAGACCTGATCTCGTTGATCCGTGCTGGAAGGTATCACGTTTCATACATGGACTGGTTGATGAGTGAGATACGAGCCCTGCAAATTCAGTACCAATAAAAGTCTAGTCATCATTCACGCAATATTCAAATAAAATCTAGAGCGGCGCACAAACATTACTTTGAATGACGGGTAGACGGAAAACCACAACCCTAACAATTGGATGCGATCAGGCCGACAGTACAATCTTGACTCTATGATATCTGAGACAGAAGCGATGAGACAGAGAAAAATGAGTATGGTCGAACTATTCAAAAACTTGGTCGGGTGTTCCATTGATGAGCCACAGTCGAACATTCACCCTCGTGAAATATCCCCCACGAAGACTATCGTGTATAATTTAGAGATTTCTGCATCGTGGAACAAAAAAGATAGCCTGTATAAAAAAAAAGTCGGACTAGGCGGGAAAATTCCGTCAGGTCGAGCAGTAAGTATTAACCAACTCACCTTTCCAGCCTTAGAATATATCCAAAAAACTATCGCCCTCTACCCTTCGAGATCCCGTCTTTGTATCTAGTCAGCAAAGATGTTGGGTGAACGGATAACGACCGACTATCAGGGCGGTCAAGGTGGCGGGCGTGGGCACGAAGGAACTTCCACGTGTTTGATGTGATTGGATCAGATAGAGAATTGCACGTGCCAGAGCACTGTATACATCCTGGCATGGAGCTGGTGACTGCCCTCGGACGTCTTCCCTGGTATAGTGAAGTCATCATCCCAAGTCATGCACTGCTCGCCTTCCGAAATCGCGAGCCCTTCTCTCGTGTGCGAGGGACCTTTCCCACGGCTTCGACGAGTATCCACCGATTCGCTATTGACCCGTATATTCCTACTTCGCTTTGAACCGGTGCCCGTCCCTCAGAATACCGTCCGCCAGCCCCTGTCGCTGCAAGAAGATGCACTTAGAAACCGGACCGTGGGCTACGCATAGAGAAATGGCGAAGTGAACGAAGAGGTTGTGCATGTGGACCGAAGGCACCTGGCCTGGGAAACTGGCCGTCGATTGACTTCACACTGCCGGCCTTCTCCCTGGGGATGTTGACGTGAGCGTTGGCGAGCGTTGGTGAACGTATGCACCGCGCGCACTCGAGCTCCTTCGACTCTGTCCTCCCTCAAATACAGCTTCTAGCTCGCGCTTGTATGGGGAAGGGGAACCCCATCGACGCCGGCCTTTGATACGTACGTTCTGTGCGCTTCAGAATATACCTTTCTCTTCTCAGGGGGCTGTAGCTCTAATCCTATCATCATGTCTCCGGCACGTCCTGCGGGTGACCTACTCGACCACGGACTCGTCCCCAATCCTTCAGCTTCTCTTTTTCAGCATCGTTCCTCAACGAGAGGACCAGAAAGCCACCGGCAGCGCCTCAACGAATGCTTGCGCCGGGCCACGGATCAAGCAGCAGCTGACGCCCGTGCTCGACCGGAGACGCCAGCAAATGCAGGGACACCGTTGGGCGCATCTCGAGGTATCAATGGGGATCGAGTGTAGCCTCCATGCTGTATCTTTCAATGCACTCCATTTCTACGCGTGGGAGGAAACCTGGAACCGAGAATAACAGCCTGGGGGCCTCCAGACGGCATCTCACTAGGAAACCTAGGTGTTCGGAAGGTGAGTGTGCCGCAGTCTTGCTTACTCTATCTGTGCGTCCAACTACAAGCACATCCAGGCTCATACGGAACAACCTGAACGAGGGGATCGACGACAGGGATCTCTACGTAAATGCACGGACCCTTGTGACAACAGCCTGGATGCGGAGGACACAACGGCATGGAGATTGGTGCTGACTCCACGACTTTCCGCGCGCCAAGCACGAACGATTAAGGGTGTTGACAGGTAGATGGGTTCTACAAGCTTCCGAGAGCGAGCCATATGTTCGAGCATGGATTCCGAGGGAGAGCATTGGAAAAGTGGAGGGGTACAGAGGTTGCGTGTTACGAGCCTGGCCACATGCGAGCACATACGCATCACCCTTTCGATCCGACAGACCTGAGGACTACGACCTATGTCTTGGCGTGAGCTCCTTCGACTGCATTGAGGGACTCGAGACGGATCATGGCTGTCGGTGGCACATCTGCTCGTGAAGCGGAGGAATCTTCCTGGTCTGCTGGATGGATGGGGGCTAGCGAGGTGAATTGTACAGAGAGATGTGAATGAATCCGTCCATTGACTGACGAACAAACACCGATGGTGCCGTCTACTTGGATATTTCCAGAGTGCTGTGCTCGACATCCCTTCTACGAACTTTCTCCTTCAATCCGACCTCTGAGCTCCCAGACGATACGAAATCGATACTCTCTGGCGCTCGTCGGTCACCTCCCTCCGAATGCCTTGGCTCTACTCGTACACTCCGAGCCCTGGCTTCGGCATCAAGGCTGCGGGCGCAGTTTGGCCTTCGCAAGCGACCTGGGCTTCCTATTTTACACCCTCTGGCTGACCGCACGAATTCCTTCCCAGAATCTTGGACACTCCGGAACTCTCCGATTCTCTCCGGCTCTCCCTCGTTCCTACGGCTCTCCTGGGATTGAGAAATGCCAAGAGTCTTATGGGAATGTAGGCGTGGCTGATCGAGTTCATAGCTCGGCTGATACTCTTGTTCGACATCTGTCATCTGTCGTAAGTCACAGCCCAGACAGCCGTCATATGCCATTCCTGAGGCCCACAACATACTTTTACATTCACGAAAGTTGAATACAATTGAAGAAACTGGGAATGCGATCGCACAGTATCAGTCGACGTAATGTTTGTATCACCGCTGAGTGGTGCGCCGCATTCTGATGTCGGATCCGTGCCCGGTGAAAGATTCCAGATCCAAATCCCGCCCGACATCAGGGGATACGTCCTTCGGTTTAGCTTGCTGGTCATCAATGTACCACTGCAAGGAGAGATGGGACTAAGCTTCCGATTTCAGGTTGAGTGAGTGAACAACTCACCTGAGCGATTTTCTGTAAGCCCTCTTCTGCCGAGATGAGAGGGGCATAATCCAACACATCTCTTGCCAAAGATATGTCGTACGTCCGAGTCGCCTGTAGATACTGCATCCGCTGATGATTAAAATGCGGGGGGTTATTCCCTCTCCAGCGTGCCACGAAATCGTTAATGCGGGAGAACACGAGCATCGTTTGCTTTCCATATTCAGGGTCAGGAGCCCCCCGACCATCTTGCAGCTTAGCGACAATAGCGGGGACAATTGTTGCATAGGGCGTTGGTTTTCCATCCGAGACGAAGAACCCGCGACCTGCGACAGATGCATGTCGCGGATGCGCCGGGGAGAGGCGATCAGCCGCGAGCAACATAGCGTGCGATACGTTCTTGAAATACGTTTTGTCGGTTTGTACGCCAGGGCCTGTAACCCACTGGGGCTTGGTCGCAGTGAGACCCTCCTGGATAGCCTGGCGCAGCTTTCCTGAAGGACTTGCCGTGATTATAGCACGCGTATTGTCACGGCGAGATTGAAGAGACTCACTTGTACATGTCAGCAGGCCGTATGGCCGCAGTCCGCAGTCCATCCGCCCCCGAATCGTTCGCTTCGAGTGCCATCTTCTCACCAATAGTAAGAAAACTTAACGTCGAATCCGCCTGCGTCGCAGGATCCTGATATCTTGCATCCTTCTCACTCAATACCGTGCGCTCCGTACCGTCGAAGAATATCCCGGCGTTGCTGAGAAACACCAGCCTGCGTGATATCCCAGAACCAGCTTTGATAGCGCGGAGGATCGTGCGAGTTCCATCGACGCAGATCTTACGCGCAAACGTACGTGGATCATCATGAGATCCGAGGGGCTTGAGGAAGGCCGTCGTGAATATGCACGTCGCCTGAGTCTATATGCGCATTGCCGCCTTCCATCAACCGGTCATACCAGCAGCAGAGAAACGCACAGCAGCGAGAACACCAGCTACATCGGTCTCGTTCGACAAATCGCCCATGTAGATCCTCACGCGCGTCAAACCACCATCCGGATCCGTCCATTCTCTCACGCTATCCGGGTGAGAAAGATCCTGGCCATCGAACACCGCGATCTGCGTCTCCCCGCGTTGCAGCAGCTGCCAGACGATGGCGCGTCCAATGACCGTCCCACCGCCAATGACGAGATACGATTCGTGTGTCGGTGGCGAGTTTGCCATGGTGGGCGTATTTATAAAATCATGTGGGAGATGGGTGACTATTTATACAGTAGAGGCCGTTGAGAGAATGCGAGAAAGATCCGAACCCGTCTTGAACAGCAATTCCATATGATGGGATGCGTGTCATCCCGGCTGTGTGCAGAAAAGAAGTCGGAATGGAACAGGATCTCAAGCTCGAAGAGCCGAGAGTGAGGCTCAGCGCAGTCCATCGCTAGCTATTGTACGGTGTCGCAGAGCCTTGAGGCGGTGACTAGACCATGTATTATCAACGAGCTGTGCCTATCAAGGCTGTCCATCAATCAGACGTTTTCCTCGAAAAAGAGGGACAGCACTGCCCTCGACTATCTTTCTGCAGTGGATAAGGATTCGGCAATACAAAATGTTTTCGTCGATCTCGAATGCAAGACTGCTGAGACGACCGTAAATCCACATCCGATATCCAAAATTACTTATGGCTGTGTTGTGCTTCACCGGTCTTGCTGTGGACACTCTGGACAGGTCACGAATAGATTGAAAGTTACGCAAGCTCCATTGAAGCGCATCGATATGTTCTTCTTCCTCATCTTCATGTATACATCATAAATGAAAGGGATTTGCGCATAAAGGCACTCACATGCGGCAAAAACAGAATTGTAAGCAGGTGAACTCAGTGGTCTAGGGTGATCCTCCAGAAGCACATCCTCTGCATTTCTGTGTTCTGATGAGAAAAAAAGTCTCGGGGTTACCCCTATCACTGCACAATATACTCGCAAATTGATCTGCGATGCAAGGTTTACATGCATGTTTGCGAGGCAATGAAAACGATGCGCATAGTGACGACATAACGCACGCGATCACATGACGAACTGATAAGATGAGCTAATGTTTCTAGTGTCAGCTGAATCATCAGGAATAGAGACCACTTTGCGGAACTACATCTTGGTCATCTCTCCACCCGGTACAGCGCTCCGAGTGGGAAACTTGATGCCTCTAGCCCAGTCCGTCTACATTGCAAGGATTGCGAACTGACCGGCCATTGGGGCAGAACGCGATTCCGCAGCAGGTTGAAAGCTCGTGATTGTCTCTATATTCGTGTGTGCCGACGCATCGGCTAGCCTGATTGTTAAAGGTCTCGCTTCGATACCCCCATCATCCATGGAAATAAACGCAGCGGTGACACCGAATCGCGGACCGCGGACAGAGTCCGACTTACACAATACCATCCACGACACTTTCTCGTATAACACTCCAAGATATTCCGGACTTTGTCATGGAAATCAACTGAGCGGTTATTCGGTACTACGGCGCTCAAGGCTCTGCCGTCATCCCGAGTTTTATCATTTCCCTCATCTCACGCACTGTCATAACAAACCAGCCATGCCTATCAAGGCACCAACATAGAGCGATCTCGGACACTCAGTCTGGAGCCGCATTTATCCGGCTCATTCTCTTGCTGGACTGATGCAAACAAAGTTTACCCGCGAAAGCATCTCTCCAAATCACACATACATTCGACGGCCGCCAGCGGTTCGCTGTCGTATTTCAAGTACGCTCAAGTGCAATTCCAGCTTATAATTACAATGTCACCGAGAACCCCCCTGCATCGACAAATGAAAGATAAGTCCAAGTTGAATGGCCCGACTCGGTGCCCGGTTGCTGTGACGCTGTCGAGGTCGGTCATCCGATGAACTACACGACACGTGCGGTGAAGAAGCCGAGCATCGTTGAGTTGGTAGGGCCAAGAACAGTGCTAGTCCAACTGCAGAAATGGATCATCAGGGACCGACGATCGCGCTTTGCTACCGGCAGAGAGTGTAGCCAGAACGAACCCCAATTCGAGAAAGAGTACGCTGGCTCAAAATGCTCAGAAGCTGATTCAGCGCATATGGGACTCTCCAAACAACTTTGACGGACTCCGTGGCTTTCTCCAAGGAGAACAAGAAGCAGAGCAGGCAGTGCGTCTCCTCAACTGTCTTTCTTCCTACGCGGTATAGGACTAGGCTCGGATTCCGGGATACTTTCGACCTAAAAGCGTATAACAAGTACGCACGCACCCCCTCTTCTCGGAAAATCCAGGCCACAGACTGCCACAGAGGGCAAAAATGCATCTATATGATGACGGACTTGATCAGTCCGATCACTCGGCTATCATGTCACCTTCCTCCGGTGACATTGGATCAGCACCGGCGATGGAAGAGTCACGGGCGGCGTTCCTGCTCTCGTTAAATCCATATCAGTCTGTCTGCCGCACATTCTCCATCTTGACCTTAGCAAGCAATGAAACATCAAAGGCGAACTCCGGAGATCATGGTGGGAAGGGTTTCCTGCGAGGGCTGAAGATCAAACGTAAATCACTGTCGACGGCTGCGGTGTGCATATCTCTTTTTACTCTAACTGATTCGGGACCACGCTCTGGATGGACTCTGCTTCTCCACTGGCATTTCCCCCTTTGTCCGTCTCTGTTGTTTCTATCACTGCTCGAATCTGTACGGAGACACTTTCAGTCATCATTGTCATCCAGGCAGCCGCCTTCAGATGTTGAACTCAATCTCAGATTGCTCACGAGACAGAATTATTCTGGGTGGCTTTGGACAATCGAAATCGTATAAATGCAGCCTCCAAACTCACTCGAGAAACAACAACACCGGTCTCAGTGTTGACTCGTCTGATAATCTCCCTCCAGATGTTCATCTCCCCAACGCTTCTCTTTCTTGCATCTGCAGCTCGGATAGTTTCGGCTGTCACAGTAGGACCTATTGGCTCACTAGTGGTGGCCAACCAGACCATCGCTCCCGATGGTATCCCCCGCGCAGCGGTTCTGGCCGGCGGGACGTTTCCTGGCCCTGTCGTGACGGGCAACATCGGGGACAATTTCCAGCTGACGGTCATCGACCAGCAGCAAGACATTCGTATGCTCGAGCCCACTTCCATCGTTAGTTCAGTCTGCGTCTCCCGTTTCCCAGAACACTCACGTGTTTCCCGCAGCACTGGCATGGGTTGTTCCAGAACGGGACGAACTACATGGACGGGCCTTCTTTCGTCAATCAGTGTCCGATCTCTCCCGGAAACTCGTTTACATACGACTTTACCTCACAGCAGGCGGGGTGAGTAAGCTCCTGTTGCTATTTGCATCACTTCTGATTCCCTTCCGTTCAGAACGTTCTGGTATCACTCTCACCTGGCTACCCAATACTGTGATGGCCTGCGTGGCGCGATGATCATTTATGATCCCCAGGATGCCTACCTCTCACAGTACGACGTCGACGACGAGTCCACGGTAATCACCTTATCCGACTGGTACAACGTCTTCGCAGAAACCGTGATCGGTGTGGGGTAAGTCTTGTACATACTGCATCCTGTGACCAGATTCTGACAGTCGACTTTAGCGTTCCCTCTTCCATGCTGATTAACGGTCTCGGACGTACCGCAGCTACGCTCTCAAACACAACCCTGGCCGTAATCAACGTCACACAAGGCCTGCGCTACCGCTTCCGGTTGGTCAACACCGCCTGCGACTCCAACTACGTGTTCCAGATCGATGGTCACACGAATCTAACCATCATCGAGGCTGATGGTATCCTCCACGAGCCGTTGAGCGTCGACTCCATCCAGATTTACCCTGGTGAGCTTTACGCTGGGGTTTTTCGACGAGCAGTCACTGATCGTCTCCAGCCCAACGCTATTCGTTCATCCTGACGGCGGATCAAGCTGTTGACAACTACTGGGTTCGCGCAAACCCGAACACCGGCCCGACTGGCTTTACCGGGGGAATCAACTCTGCGATTTTGCGTTGTAAGTCAACACCATCGAATGATCCCGTCCTATACTCACACCTGCCGTAGACCAAGGGGCAAATTCATCAGAGCCCACGACTTCGCAGGACACTTCTGTGAACGGACTAGTAAATGAAGTCAATCTACACCCCCTCGTCAATCCCGGTGCCCCCGGTGGTGCGTTCATCGGTGGCGCTGATGTTCAGATCAACTTGGCCTTGGCGTTCAATTTGGTGCGCTCGCCACACGTACTGTAAATCTGTCTAGGCGCTGATTGTCTCGCAGACGACGCTTAAATTCACGATCAACAACGTGTCGTTTGTTCCGCCTACTGTTCCAGTGCTGCTTCAGATTCTGTCTGGTGCACAGAACGCGCAGTCACTGCTCCCTACGGGCTCGATCTTCACGCTTCCGCATTTCGCGTCAGTTGAAGTCACTCTTGCAGGTGGTGTGATCGGCGGTGGCGTCAGTCGGTCTCTCCTCTCGTCGTCTTGAGACTTATATGTCATACAGCACCCCTTCCATCTACACGGACATGCCTTCGACGTGATTCGCGCCGCCGGAAGCAGCACCTACAACTACGCCAACCCCGCTCGCCGCGACGTCGTCAACATTGGCACCACCGGAGACAACGTCACGATCCGGTTCTTCACGGACAACCGCGGACGTGAGCTCAAATTCACTAGCTTGTCTGCTTCATTCAAACGACTGACGATGGGACAGCGTGGTTCCTCCACTGCCATATTGACTGGCATTTGGAAGCTGGCTTCGCCATCGTATTTGCTGAAGATGTTCCCGACTGGGACTCGCAGCTGATTCCGACCTCCGAGTGGAACCAGCTGTGTCCCCTCTATGATGCGCTCCCGGCGTCCATCACGTCGCTCGCTGCCTGAGCCTTCGATGTATGCAATAGCACATTTCTGTAATCCGTTTCATATTCGAATTCTTTGTTGATTGATTATCCTGAATAAATTTTTTCTTCTGACATATCTTCATATACTGCGTCCAGGTTCCGATTGCGAGGTTGAACAAGGGTCACGTGTGCCTGGTAGAGGATCTAAAACTTTCGAGTTCCCTTCCGTCGCCGTTCTGATGGGATTGTCTCTCTCTTTCAGCCGAGCTTCGCTAATCATTCATCATCCCCTCTCTCATCTTTCGCTTCGTTTGGAACGCGACCGTTGACTCCGATTGGAGCGCTGGGGTTGTTTCATGTAAGATGCCGAACCACAAACGCACAGGTCAGGAGCCTAAAAAAGGTCTGCCTATCCGCACACCCATGTGTATGCGCCGACTCAATGACAAAATTCGACGTTCCGAAAATGCCTGCGCGATATATCCTCGACTCCTCTGATCGGTGATTTTCTCTTCTTGGGTGTGGGGGAATCACATCGGCGTGTGGCACACTGATCCGAGCGTAAACGGGCTTGCCAGTACGCGCTTGTTCATCAGGCTTACGTTGATCTAATGTTGGCTGACTTCACACGAAACGTGCATGCCGCCGCTGCATTCAGATCGCTGGGTCTGCGGCTAGCCGATGAGTACTTTCTGGTATTAACCTATACTGCTGGCGATTGGGTGCGCGTCGGTACGAATGCGGGATTGTATCAATTCTTTATGAGTGCACGAACGCGTCGCAACTCACTTGCATAAAGAGAGATCCTAGCCTTTGAGGTTGAAAGGACTTCCTCGCTTGAGGGGCGATGATGAAATTGTCCAAGCCTTCTTGACAATAATATTCCCGTATCATGACGAATATTGGCGTGCCAACGGAAAGAACAATCCTCACGTTCGAGTGTACAAAATTACCAAAGAACTGAGCTCTTGATGTATCCTTCGGTCTCATCTTAGTTCCTTTTCTGAAAGTCCCAAACCTTTGTAGAGATTCTCTCACCTCAAAGTGTCGCACTAGGCATGGACTAGCGGCTAGCCATCGAACTGCATGAGGAGCTGAAGATCTAGACTGGATGCCCCCTATACTTTGCGGAGCAGTTCAAAAGATCACGACGAGGTGCCTTCGTGTTTCTAGATGATATACAAGATACACACAACTCTTTTCTAAAACTTGTACACTGACGCACTGGATGAGCCAGCTGGCCGTTGGGCAACAGAAAAGAGACTCACCGCACGCCCCTGTGCTCGGGCTTGTCGCAAAGATCACCTCGTTAAGCGCATCCCCTGCGAGACCCTTGTACGGCGGGTAGTTCTCGCTCACATGCTTGATGAACGCTTCGACCTTGTCTCCTGGAACCAATGACACAGTGCAGCCTCCCCATCCGGCACCCGTCAGCCGGCTACCATATGCCCCAGCGTCCCGTGAGATCTGCGTCAGCTGGTCGAGCTCCTCGCACGAGCATTGGAAGTCTTCGGCGCAGCTCGTCTGTGACTCGTTCATCAACCGGCCCAGCTCCTGCAGTGCCGAGAGGTTGTCATTCCCAGCAGCCAAGCATAACTCTCGGAACTGAAGAACCCGCAGGGCTTCAGAGAAGACGTGCTTCGCCCTCTTGTACAGCTTGAAATGTGTCGCATCCACTAAAAGACAGATCAGATCTTCAAACTACAGGATACTCGTTTCACATTTCACCCACCTTCGACCCATGACAGGTACACCTGCTCGAACTCTTCAGCCGATAACCCGGAAAGAGCGATCATCTCCTCCTTCGTGGCACCGAACTCGGGATCTGTGGAACCTTCTGGCTTCAGACTGTCGACAGTGGCATTCAAACGACGCAGAACGTCCATCAGCGCTTCGATGGACATCCCCTTTCCCCCAGAAGAAACATCCGTTTCCTGCACCAGACGACCAGCGACCTCTCTAAAGGTGATCTTCTCCTTCGGACCGATATCGATACCCAGCGTCCGGGCCAGCGCTCGCGCCCCGACCAAGGTTTCTACCACACGGAGATTGTATCCACTTTTCGCTGTCAGAGCCTTGTCCGATACCTTGAGTGAATGGGCGCATACAAGCACAGCTCCGGCTGGCAGAGGAGTCGGCGAAGCGGTGAGAGATGGATAGAATGTAATGTAGAGCACGGAGGAAGGCACGGACATCACAGAGGCAGCTTGATCCATGCTGATCGTAGTCAGCATCGAGCATGAATAAGAGAAAACACACACCCTCCACTGTTGACGCCTACTCGTTTCTCGTTTTCCATCGACATCTTGACCAGATCGCCCTTCGTAGTTCCGCTGAGCTACGGTGTACATTCAGAATCCCACTCAGAGTGCGACGAGAGATTGGGCCCCGCACCTTGTCGTTGATTGCGAGGAACGTGAGTGTGCTGGCTACGACCATGGCAGCGCTGGACGAGAGCCCTGAGCCCGCAGGCACAGATCCGGTGACCAGCAAGTCCACTGGAAGGGGATGGACTGCGGAACCCTTGAAATGCTCGTCAAGCACGCCGTAGTACCCTGCTTTGACATAGTTCTCCCAGCGCAACTGAGCTGGGATCTCCAGATGCCAGCCCTCGACGTGCACATCAGCCTGCGGTGCGAAGATCTGTCTCGTGTACTTCGCGTACAGGTTCTCTGCTATGACACTGCCCGGATCGTGGTGCGGTTCAGACGGGGTGTCCGGAACATCGCGCGGAGCACAGGCGATGAGGATATCGCGCTCGATTGCTGCAGGCAGGACGCCAAAGAGTGCGTAATCGATGTGCTCGCCTGGAAGCGCCGTTAGTGAGAAGAGGGTGAGTCATGGTAGGCCGGCGACTACCAATAAGACTGGCAGAGAGATCGTGAACACTGTCGCATATGTACACACGCTAAGCAACTCACTTTACGCGCCCAGGTGCCCTAACAATATACGTCGGCTTCTTCCCGAACCGGGTTTCGAATTCTGCAGCGAGATTGTCCCATCGCTCGGCGTGATTAAGGGCGGTACCGAGGCCGGCGTAGAGATCGGTGAGGTTGGTGAACACTGGGATGGACTCTTGAGCGGACATTGGGTCGGTATCGAAGCGAAAAGACGGACGTCTCAGAGAATCGGATCTCGACCCATATACTGAGCTCATGTGGACGGAAGTCCGGCATCCGGCCCTATTTGATCCATCGGCATCTTTTTGGGAACGGGCAGTCTACGTGTGACAAATAGTGGGCGAAGACCACCGCAAGGATATGTTTTCGATGGGTCTGGAGGTTCCGGTGCATCCATAACAGGTGTGCTGGAGCGGCGATGCCGTCAGTGTGGGAGTGAGATGATCTGTGCAGATCGATGCTACACAGGTTTTCGGGGCAATTCACAAGGGATGGGAAGAAAAATATAGGTGTACAGATAGAGCCAAGGACGCTAACACGCTTCGGGCCACGCAAGAACGTCTCGACGAAAGTGGTTTTCGCACAGTCAACAAACAAAGTAATGAGTTGTCACGTGCTGCCGCTTATACGTGACACAGCGTTTGGTGTGACTTACTTTCCGCTTCCACTCGTCCAGAACCCGCGGTCGCCTCTGAGGTCCCTCGACGTCTTCTCGCCTTCCTCATCGGCGGTCTCTGACTGCATTCCTTGTCTCTGAATAGGCATTTCTCTCTGGTGTTTCCCTGGTCCCCCAACGGGTCAAAGCAAGCGACTTCTGGCCTCAATCCTACAAACAAACAAAAACTCAATCGCGACACGCAGACGATGAGCGCAAAGAAGAGCGGTACTAAAACTGCGAGTGCGAAGGAAGAAGAGGAGAAGACTTTCGAGTACCGTGAGGTCGTGCTCGGGAAGATGCGTGGATTCCCCCCGTGGCCTGCGATGGTGAGTGCATGCCTTCCCATTGTCTCTTCACCATTCGCGTATGAAAGGCGCCTTTATCTCGCTCGTGCTTCATCTTTCTCTGCGCGCTGTATCCCGTGATGCACTTACCCTGCGTTCACCATCCTATCTCGTTCTGGTGGCGACATAGCCCCGGCCCACGGACGAGCGCGTCATGTGGCCATGCCTTCCACTCATGATTCAAAGACATCTTTCCTTACTGCGTCTCCTGGATCGTTATTGCGCGGTTCGCAAGCGAAGTATGCGCTTGATATCCCACACCCCCGATTTTGTGTTACATTGGTGCCTACTGTCAGGAGGGCTATCGCCTGTCTTTCACGCATCTAGTGCTCCGAAGCTTTCGCTCAATCAGCTCGAGAGTCTACTTGGTCTTCCCACATCTCCTCGTGCACCTTTCTGCCCCAATTTCCTCAAAAACGCATCCCCTTTCTTTTTCGGCTCCTCTGGGGGCTGTTTTTACGTTTTATTTCAGTTCCTGGGCCCACTCCACATCATGTCTGATGTCCACAGCTAACGGATCGTCCGATTTCTCTTACAATGACGCTTTTTCCCTTCTACCCCTTGCTTTTCAATTTTCACATCTCTATCTCCCTTCGGCGGCCTCTGCCACCTGTATATCTTATCCCGAGACCTGAATCTTCACCCTGGGTCTTTGGTATCGTCTCTGTCGTCCTCAAGGGGCGAACACGACACCGTTTTTTCAGCTCGCTTGGGTGCTTTTGGATTTTCGTACGAGTATGGTCTTTGGGCTTTGGTCCTCTTCCTTCTTCTGAACTGTGTCATCGTCCTCCCCAGCGGGGACACCGCTTTTATTCTCATGAACTGCTCGTTTACCCGTTTCTTGCACGTTACCCGCCCCCACTATCACCTGATCATTTTCATGGTCGTCAATGGTGTACAATGGTTCACTAAGCGTCTTTCGTCGTTCGATCATTGAGGATCCTGATGTCTCCCTGTCTTCGACCGTTGTTTGAAGCAGGCCGTCCGTGCACCCTGATTTACCTCTCTCATACCTATGCACATCTTTCTGCAACTTCCTGCTCACACTCATCGCTAGGTAGTTGACCCCGGTACGGTTCCTAAATCAGTCGCCAAGGAACGGCCCGCAACGAAGAAGATCACGTACTACGCGGTGCGATTTTTCCCTTCGGGCGACTAGTGCGTATGTGTTTCCTGGTCTAGCTCTTGACGTTGATCAGCATCAGTGCATGGCTTTCTCCGCGGGACATTACGAATCTGCCGCACAGTCAGATCCTGCAGTTCATCGAAGCGCCCGAGCAACGAACAAAACCCGATCTCGTGGATGGTTACAAGAAAGCGTTGGATCCTGAGGCCTGGGAAGCAGCCATAACAACTGCTACACCACCCCCCAAGAAAGGGCGGAAGGGACGCAAGAAAAAGGACGACGACGATGAGGATGAAGATGAGTTAGCTGAAGGTACGCTTGCATGCCTCATTCTGTTCCTGTGCTGAAACAGATGGGTAGACAACTCGGAAGACTCCAAACCTGGAAAGAAACGTAAACGAGCAAGCTCGCCTGTAGCCAAGAAGAATGCTGCTAAGAAAGGCAAAGGGAAGAAGAGCAAAGAGACGGTGGAGAGTGAAGATGACGGCTCAACTAAGCCACCGACGAAGAAATCCAAGGGCAGTGCGGCTGAGACCAATGCTGCGCTGGAGAGCGATCCTGAGGCGGTCAAAGTGCGAGAATGGCGCCATAAGCTTCAGAAGACGTTCCTAAGCAGCAACAAGACTGTGCCTAAAGACGATGTGTGTGCTGACGTTGTCCCCAGTGAACTGACATCCTGATTCAGTTACGATCAGGACATGCCCGCAATCGATACTCTGTTTACCACCGTGGAAAGTTACGGTGGAATGAACATCGACTATCTTACTGTCTGTTATGGCAATATTCCCTCCGAGCATCAGGAGCTGATGCGCTGTTTACAGTTTTCCAAGATCGGCAAGGTGATGCGGCACATTCATCTTCTTGAGGACGAACGGGCTCCCCGGGACGCCGACTTCAAGTTCCGTGAAAGGGCCAAGGCCCTGGTTGACAAGTGGCAGCAGATTCTCAATGCGCATAAAGCCGGGCCAGATACCGATGGCGCCGCAGCGAATGGCACTGAAGAAGAGAAAGTTCACACAGAGGAAACGAACGGGGTCGCTGCGGAGCAAGAGGATAAGAATGAGGCCGTCGATGGCGATCTTACCATGATGGATGTCACGATGGACGGCGAGTGAGAGCGGTCGTACCCAAAAGCATCACATTGCACTCATCTTCTCAACCTCTCACATCCACGTGCTCTGTTTTCTTTACATCTAGTTCTCTATCCTGTTTGTTGTTTTTAATACGCCTTTTCTCCCTGTCATGCCTTGTGCTTTCTATTTGCATGATTGGACAGGTTGACATCAGCGAGAGGGAAGCGGAGATGTTGCACGTGATCTTGGAGATATTGCACGTGCAATTCATCCATTCGCTTGTGCAAGTCTACAGGATGTATTACTGGAATAGGGACGATCCGTCTTCAAGCGGAGAGCAAAACATCTATCATTATAGCACATAGATCTCCGAAATCATTGACATGCAATTACAAAACGAGTCGTATGTTACCGCCACTACACATGAATCAGCTGCGATCCTGAAGACAGCTAAATCACCTACCGGATGACATTCAAAGCCGTCCGAAGTATATAAGTTGCTGGGATTTCCTAGAATCATCTTGGCACGGAACATCTGGCCCCCCGACTCGACGTTTTCGATCCACCACTTGACCATCCAGTGCCTACAGACGTACTTGAACCAAACATAGAACTCCCAGGTGTACGAGTTGATCACACGTGGATTCGCATAGATCTTCTCCAGCCCGAAGCGCCGCCGGTAGTCGTAGGGGAGGAGAAAGCTCTCCGAACTGAAGCATTCCGTCTCGGTGGATGCACGGAAGATCAGAGCGGGCGTTTCTGCCGGCGTCATGTTCGCCGGGGTCGTCGCAGCAGAAGGATGAGTTGGTAATAGTGGTCTAGATAACGGGGACGTCGAGAGCTGGCCGTGTCGTTTCGAAGGGGGGAGGAACGGGTCAGACTTGAAGGACACGATACCGTTCCAGCAGCTAAATACCGGCGCGGGTTCATCTGCCATCACAGCTTCATAGCCCAGTCTTTCCTGGAAATATGGCCAGACCGTTGATGCCAGGCCTCCAAGTCGATCGCGGATGACCCATTGGTCGTACAATCTGATCAAGTTTAGCACTAAATCAGCATCGGGAATGATAGGAACTAACCCCCAATACGCCAAATCGAGTCCACAGGCCATATCATAATCCCCTTCTTTCGTCTGAATGAGTTCCACAATGCTCTCTGCCTCGATGAAAACATCGTTGCTAAACACTACTCGCGTGTATTCGGTATGTGTTGCAAGCGGCTTCATGACCAAGTTCCTCACTGCTGCAAGAAACTCGATGCGAGGCGTCTTCGTTTCCATCGACTGGGGACGCGGTATCGACGTGTCGCGTGTGAGGACCGAGCGCGAGACACCCATCGAGGCGAGAGTCCCGTCAAAGGCCTCGAGAAGCGTGGCCGTTTCGTCACCGCTGTTCGACTCCACAATGGACACAAAGACGTTGTCGGGGCCCAAGTAGTTGATCAGCTTGGTGACCTCCGTGATCCAGTACGGGAGCACCCCAGCGTTATTGTAGAACATGGCAGCCAAAAAGATCTTCTCTCCCGTCCCGTATCCTTCTCTTCGTAGTTCCCGATTGGCAAGCTCGACATCGGCTTTGAAGCGGTGGTCGATCGGCAGCTCGTAGGTCCGGCGCATGTAGACACCAAACGCAGCCATTCCAACGAAACCGCACCAGAGGAAAAACAGCCAGGGAATGGACCTCCGTGCTGGGGGTGGACGTAGTCGACGTGGAGACCCTCCCTCGGATTCGAAATCTGCCAGCGGGTCATACAGTCTTGTCCTGCCTCTCCCGAGTCGTCGCCACAAGTATCGGACCCCCGCTAACACTGCCAATGCGCCCGCCATGCCCGCAGACCATATCGGGACCGTGATGAGCGCCACGATGAAGTATGTGCGGTTCTGCGGAAATGCAGGCTCCCAATGTCCGACGAGTTGCAGGGTGACGTACTCCAGCACGCGATTCCAGACATGGCGCAGCGCATAGAGGGAGATCAGGAGTATGTGGAAGTGGAGAACGAGGCGGCCGATGGTCGTGACAGACCATGCAAAAAGCTGAAGCACGAGTTGAAGGGGTGCCGCTTTTGACGAGGGTGGGAATGATGCGGCTGCAGGGGACAGTCTGAGGGCAATGTTCAGGCGGTGAAACAGTCCGGGACTGGGAGCACGCATGTGGCTGTTGAAGGGGAAAAGGGAAGATGGCTACACCAGCGAGACTGCGCCGGCGTAGGCAAGGGCTCAGGCTGAAGCGCGCAGCGGGAAGTGCATCAGATAGTCACAATGTGACGCTATTGAGTCCTTGGCTTGGTTTTTATCTTGTCAGGGACATTTTTCATCCCCTCATCCGCCCAGAACGGAGCACTCCAACGAAGATATATGGCTTTCCAACAATGTCAACCTGAGAATGTGCAGGAATGTGCACATGCATAGATGCGAACTTTCCAAGATCCTAGATCTGACATCCACAACGCGGCAATGACACCCGATGCCCTGACGCCCCCCAACTTCCAAGCCCAACAGCCTTCCATACGAACGCCGCGGAGTGCATCTTCTGTGCTGCACTTCCACATCCATTCCCTTCACTGGTGTTCAGGTCAAAGGTCGCAGGGACAGTACAGCAAGCGCGTGTGGGGAGAGCATACCTTTGCTGCGAGACAATATCATCGTCCGGCGCACCGTCCACATTCTATTGTCAGAAAGAAAGCGCACGAGTGAGCTGAGGAAGGGAGGTCTATGCAAGTGCACGCGTCGACCTGGCATCAGCAGATTGACCTGGTCTGTCTAGGCAATCGGTGACATGGGGTGTAAGAGCTCCATGTTGAAGCACACAAGGCGTTTGCGATTACTGAGAATCTAAGCCGCCGCAGAACGAATACGCAGCATTAATAGCCCCGAGGTGTTGGGCAGCAGTCGAATTGAGGCCAGCCGATGATTCAAGCTTCGGACGCTTCCGATGCGGAGAAAAGCCAGAGGCATTCAGTCACCAGTGGCCTTGCACGAATCTCTTCCTCTTGCTTGATTTTTTCACTGAGGTGTGAATAATTCGCAAACTGGTCTGCGTGGCTCATGCGACTTTGCCGATACGTTTCGCTTTCAGTTCCGGGGAAACACGTTATAATTGATTCCGTGCGCGTCACAACTACAGTTTGTTATAATACAGGGACGATCTCAACAAGAACGGATTCTATGGACTCAGAAACATTCTAGAATTCAAGTTAGCTTGAGATGAATCATGCCGTGTCACACTCACTGCGATGCACAACCCCAGGTCCTGATTCGTCGTACTCCTGCTTGGTGACCCACAGGTTCTGGAACGTGCTCAAAGACGCCAAGATCGAGCCTCCGATCCAGACAGAGTACTTTCGTTCCGGCGGGGCTACCACCCGGACCTGGATGAAGACGGGGACATGAGCTCATGTATCAATGGGTGGCGGCGAACGAAACGCACCCGCACGCTGGCCGGGGCGAGAGCAGTGAGTTCTTTTTGCATGCGGTCAGACAGGCCCGGGAACAGAGTGGTTCCGCCGGAGAGCACTATATTGTTGTAAAGCTCGCGGCGAATGTCGAGATCGCATTTGACGATCGAGTTGTATCTGCCGATCAGTGAGCTTTCAAAACAGGGAGATGAAGCGGGGACTGAACGTGGTAAAATGAATCCCTGGATCCTCCAATCCTATCATCGACGGGTCGAAGAGTGCCTCTGGCGCACGGAAGCTACGAGGATGAATCAACACGTGCAAAAAACAAACAGCGCAGGAGCTACTACTCACCGCTCGTTCCCAATCGTGATGACGTTCCCATCCGGAAGCTCGTAGCTCTTCTCTAGCACGGACGACTGGCTTGCAGTGGTCATCTCCTGGTCGAAGTCCAAAGCAACGTAGCACAGCCGCTCCTTGATATCGCGCACGACCTCGTGCTCGGCGGTCGTCTTGAATTGATAGCCCCGCTCCCCGAGATTCGACACGAGGCGGCTCGTGATGTCGCGTCCCGCCAGGTCGAGGCGCTTGATGGCGTGCGGAAGGGAGAATCCTTCATAGATCGGCACTGTGTGGGACACGCCGTCGCCCGAGTCAAGCACAATCCCGGTCGTGCGGCCCGAGGCGTAGAGCGAGAGAACGGCCTGGATCTGAACGTAGAACGCAGGCGCGTTGAACGTTTCGAACATGATCGACGTCATCTTCTCCCGGTTAGACTTGGGATTCAGCGGGGCTTCGGTGAGCAGGACGGGGTGTTCTTCTGGCGCAACGCGCAGCTCGTTAAAAAAGGTGTGATGCCAGATCTTCTCCATGTCGTCCCAGTCCGTTACCACGCCATGGTCGATCGGGTAGCGGAGCGACAGAATACCACGTTTAGCTTGCGCTTCATCGCTGAGAAAAGAGTGGGGATGAGGAAACATGACAACTGCGTGGCTGCTAAAACTTACCCAATGTACGAATCTTTGTTACCGAAGCCCACCATGACGCCGGCCTGACGAGGGCGGCCGACGAGAGAGCTGGATGAATGAGGATAAAGTGAGACAAGTAGATGTAGAGGTCTCACGGGAATACAGCTCGAGGTGCGTCGTCGCCTAGACAGTATTGAGTTGACACGTCGAGCGCACGAATGCACATCTCTCACCGGCGACTATAGAAGCTTGATGAGTACATACGCAGAAGGGAGAGAACGAGAAGTAACTTACAACCAGCTTTGCACATCCCCGAACCGTTGTCGATGACCTGCGATACCGGTCAGACTTGTGGTCCCCAATCGCACCGTAAGCGTACCAGCGCTGCAATTTCGTCGTCCATGTGTAAGGTGGTTGCGAGTGGGAGAGATTTCAATGAGATGGAGTATGGCCTTGAACCAGAGCTTTATAGGCGCTCATGGGCGCTGCGGAGTCGCAACTCTGACTCGTGGAACGACGGCCATGGTAAGATTGACAATGGTCGCAGCATACGACATGCGGCGCAGCGATCAGTGCGTTCCCGCATCGAGCGACAGTGGATTCTGAGACAAGACAGCAGACACGCGCAGTGGGCAGATATATTGACATTGACAAGGACTGAATCGTGACTTGGCATGGCGTAGGTGACGGAAAGACAAGAGCGCTGACCCGTCACGTGCACGCGCTGATTGTAGGTTTCCCCCATCTGATCTCGCCTTTCTACCACCGCCTCGATCGATTATGCCACACACGGTACACTTGTCAATACGAAATGGAACTAGCCTAATACTGCACAGACCTCTATCCCTAGTCTCTCAGAGGATTTCTATACTCCCTTCTTGTCTGATGTCGCTAAGGCGCGGCTTCCCAGCCCCAGTGCGTGCCTAGTCTCAAAGTTCGCAATCCCTGACCGCGTTAATCTCTTACTAAGTTCGAAGCTTGTTCCCGCTTGAAAATCTACCAGGGATGATTTCCCTACTCGCGGGGAAGCCGAATCCGTACTCCTTCCCGTTTACCTCGTTCAAATTCGGCACGACCGCGCCTGGTGGCCAAGCTCGAGGAGGAGGAGAGGAGCTCGAACTCTCGGTTTCCGGGGATGATCTGACATCCGCTTTGCAATACGGACCTACCGCTGGTATGCCTGCTCTTCTGCAGTGGCTGGCGGAGCTGCAGGAACATGTACATGGACGGTCTCTGGGAGAAGGATGGCAGGTGATTGTAGGGACTGGATCCCAGGATCTGCTGGCAAAGGTGTGTGGAGCTAGTGAACTGGATGTGCTCTTACAATGCAGGCAATCACTGCCCTGCTTAATCCTGGAGACTCGGTTCTTGTGCAGTCCCCGATCTACGCGTGCGTGCAGAAAATCACAGCACGCTAGAGCTAATGGAGATCCGCAGCGGTGTAATTCCCTTGTTCCATAGCTTGAACTGCGAGCAAATTGGTGCGTGGTTTCTGGATGCACCACGATGCATTCTCACGGTTGTCGGCCAGAGATTGAGGGAGACGCTGACGGCATATCAAGTAGCTCTCTCCGCTTGATTCTCGAGTCTTGGCCCGCGGAGAAGCCCAAACCCCGTGTTCTCTACACTATCCCGGTAACCCATAATGTTGTTGTTCTCTTTCTCTCTGTGAACCCTGCTCCAGTATGGAGGAAATCCAACTGGGTCAACAGCTTCACTTGAACGTCGCAGAGAAGTCTTGCGACTAGCCAACGAGCACAATTTTCTGATCATGGAAGGTATTCCCATCCTCTCAAAAACGACTCGCCACTTGAACCCCAACAGACGATCCATACTACTTCTTGTTCTATGGCAAAGAAAGAGCCCCGTCGTATTTTGCCCTCGAACGCACTGAATCGGAACTCGTAGGCCGCGTTCTGCGCTTTGATTCATTCTCCAAGATTCTTTCGGCTGGAATGCGTCTCGGCTTCCTCTCCGGGCCCACTCCCATTTTGCGGGCGATCGAGGCCCACACCGCTACTTCCAACTTACAGACGTCGTCGCTCGTCCAGGTCATCTCAGCCAAACTGCTTTCGGCCTGGGGAGTCGACGGATTCATGCTGCACACTGCGGGGGTCTCCAATTTCTATCGCGAGAAACGGGATATCTTCCAGGCTGCGATGGTCAAGCACCTCAGCGGGCTGGCTGAATGGACTGCACCAGAGGCGGGGCTCTTCTTCTGGTGAGTTATCTCCAGATCTCGTTCAAAATGGATGGTATCCCGAACGATTTCCAGGTTCAAGCTGAATCTTGCAGGCTCCGGCGATGATTCTGCTGAGCTGATCCGGACCAAGGCGGTGCAACACGGCGTTCTTGCGCTTCCAGGGACTGCGTTCCTCCCGAACGGCCGGAAATCGGCGTACGTTCGCGCTGCGTTCAGCCTCCTAACCCCCGAGCAAGTAGACGAGGCTCTCAAAAGATTGCGCGAGACCATTCTCGAAGTTCGCCAGTAATTTACTCGATCATGTACATGAAGATGTTAAGAGTGATCTTTTATCGAAGTTTTCAGATATCGGTTGTGCGGGCAGGAGCCTATTGCCCTCGAATTTTTTCGCTCGTATGCGCAGATCTTTCAGCCATCAATCACTTGAGAGTTCAATGATGACACATGACTGAGACCGTTCAACAATATTAAATGGTCGCATTAGAGCTGTTCAGCAGAACCAAAAAATCAATTTGTTTTTTACGAGTTTCCTGGTTGTGGAGTAGACTTTACTTCCCAATTACGTAGGTGTGGAGTGTCGTAGGAATCGCACCGAGGCCGAATTCTGACCGAAAAGGAAACATGCCACCGAAGACGGATCTGATCATTCTGCACGTGTAGGCAGATTGAATGCATCGTTGTCCTCCATATTGGCGAGAAGACCGAGAACAACCGCGAGGGTTCAATTTACAGTGTTAGTGAGGAAAGATGGCATCCTCCGCCATGGAGTTTGAGTTCAGATGAGGACAGAAAATGAAGTGGTGGTTTGGCGGCTCGGCTCATCACATGATCATGGTAACGGAGTTCCCGGCGTTCATCCGGTATTGTTTGCAACTCAGATTTTCCTAAGCTCCACTCATATTTTACAAACTACTAGCTAAAAATCGTGTTTGAAACGACTGCTGAACAGCTCTATTGATCAATCTCAAATTGAATTAGACTTGAGAACAACTACGTTATCGATCTGACTATTCTCGTAACTTCTTGTCTAAACTTGTCAGTAGTTGATCATCATGAGACTAAATCATCTAATCTCGCCAAAAGAACTCTTGTGATATACCGGGATCGGCTGCCCCCAAGCATTTCCATTTTGTCCAAAATTAGCACTTCTAGCTCTGCATGAATCCCTTCCTGCTGTAACAGGCACGGACGAACGCCATACACAGATTCGTCTCTGCCGTATCCAGGCGGATTATGACAAAACACGCGCACGTGACGTTTTCCGCTAGCTGCGCGGGCATAGCCACATGCTCCCCCTTCGACTGTTTTATTCAGCTTCTGGAAGGTTATCAGCCAGCAACATCGCCTTCCCCAGAAAGTGGCTGCCGAGCGTGTCGTCGATATTCACAACCGGAAAAGCTTAGCAAACCAGTTTCCTAGCGTCCCGTTGCTCGGCTGGAAAAGGTTTAGTGTTATGAACATCCAGACAGGGCACGGTGTTGAGCCGGAGACTTTGTGGATAACGATCACAGGTCCGACGGGGATGGGGGTGGGTGACAGGTAGTATGATACAACTACGAGCTTGCTTCTTCGCTTCGGCCCCGGCTTCACTCTAACCACCATTGCCCATCGATAATGGCTGGCAAGGTGAGCAAGACTGCGCCAACCGACTGTCCCTCTGGATCATCTCGCGCAGATCACCACAAACAGTCTCCCAGAGTCTTTCTACACTCCCTTTTTGTCCGATGTCGCTAAGTCTCGGCCGCCTAGCACCAGTGCGTGATGACGGTCCCTGGCCTGTAGATAGAGGAGGAGGAGGGTATTGACCTCCCGGACAGTCCTCAGCCTATTCCCGCTCGAGAATCGCCCCGGGTTGATCTCCCTTCTCGCGGGCAGACCCAACCCGTACTCCTTCCCGTTCACCGCGCTCAACTTCAGCGCGAGTGCTCCGGGAGGCGACAGCGAGGCGCCGCTGCAGCTATCACTGGTCGGAGACGAACTGGCCGGCGCCCTGCAATACGGACCGCCGATCGGAATGCCTGCGCTGATGGCGTGGTTCGCAGAGCTGCAGGAACAAGTGCATGGTCGGACGTTCGGGACCGAGGGCTGGGAGATGCACGTGGGCACTGGATCCCAGGATCTGTTGACCAAGGTTCGTCGCTTGCCGAGCGTGACGCGCGTATCTCCTGCAGATTTCTGACGAGACACAGGCAATCACTGCTCTTGTGAATCCTGGAGACTCGGTCCTCGTGCAGTCGCCGATCTACCCGTAAGTCGGATCAAGCGAGGTCCATGAACATCACTAGCTCACGTCACCGTTTCCCAGCGGTGTCATCCCCCTGTTTTATGGTTTGCACTGTGAGCAAGTCGGTCCGTTCTGTGTCTCTCCACACATGATAAGCTCTCATCCACCTTCCAGAGGTTGACGGGGACGCAGATGGGATTTCCAGCGACTCCCTTCGCTCGATATTGGAGTCTTGGCCCGCAGAAAAGCCTAAACCGCGGGTTCTGTACACTATTCCGGTCAGCAACACAGCCTGTAATGCTTCTCCGTGAGTTAACCTCTTACAGTACGGAGGCAATCCCGATGGATCAACTGCCACACTGGAGCGTCGGCGAGAGGTTCTCAAATTAGCCGAAGAGCACAACTTTCTGATCATGGAAGGTGCGCCATGCCTCGATACCTGGGAACCAAATCATCGACCTTTTTCGAGATGATCCGTACTACTTCCTATTCTACGGCAAGGACCGAACGCCGTCGTATTTTGCACTCGAAAAGACTGAGTTGAAATCCGTCGGCCGTGTCCTGCGCTTCGATTCGCTCTCCAAGATCCTCTCCGCAGGGATGCGCCTCGGATTCGTCTGCGCGCCTGCGCCGATATTGCGGGCCATCGAGGGGAACACATCCGCCTCCAACCTGCAGACGGCATCACTCACCCAAGTCATCGCGGCGAAACTGCTCAGGGCGTGGGGCATCGACGGATTCATGACGCATACAGTCCGAATATCCGACTTCTACCGCGAAAAGCGCGACATTTTCCAAGCTGCGATGGTCAAACATCTGGGTGGGCTGGCCGAGTGGACCGCGCCCGAAGCCGGATTGTTCTTCTGGTGAGCGCTGGTCTTTTCTCGACCGTTCCGGCCCTCGCACCGCTAAACGAATGATCGAGGTTCAAACTGAACTTCAATGAAGATTCTGCCGAGCTGATTCGTACGAAGGCGGTTGAGCAGGGTGTTCTCGCGCTCCCGGGGACTGCATTCCATCCCAACGGCCGGAAATCAGCGTACGTGCGCGCTGCATTTAGTCTGCTTCCAGCAGAGCAAGTCGACGAGGCCTTGAGAAGATTGCGCGAGACGATTCTCGACGGTAAACAGTAGAAGTAGCGAATAAATTAGTTGCGCGTGTGGGTTAGATTATTGGAGGTAGGCACAGAAAGAGAGTGCAAGAAGACCAGAGCCTGCGGTGAAAAAAAAAGACCCTTTGGAGCTGCTCTGGGATGTAGCTGCTGCATTTCGACCTGGCTAGAGTTAATCCTCCAGTAGGGCGTGGTATACTTCGGCACGAAGAATATACCTGTCGGAGGCTTCATGAGATGCGGTTCACGCGTTCCTATTTCAAAACTCCGAAGTGATATCATCACTGATGTGCGGATCGTCGCGGGACCTCCGGGTTACGGAGACAGTTTGTAACCGAGACTGCTGAGCCAGCTGCCTTATAAATCCGGGGGTGGTGTGACAGGGTAGAGCAATCTTATCTGTCATCCGCTGCTTCATATTATATAAGTAGAATCTAACGATCGGTGCTGGTCTGCATCTCATTCTTACGCCTGCGTCCAACTCCCCAGCACTGTGTAACATGTCCAGCCCGCCAGGAATGCTCTTTTTTGCCATGGAGGCCGACCCTGAAGTGACTGAGGAGCGCTTGAACGGTGCGGCATAACCACACCATAGTCCATGGGAGCTCGACCCGACTGACGGGTGTATGCCTGAATAGACTGGTACGACAACGAGCACATCCCGCTGCGACTAAAAGTTTCCGGGCTGGTGCGTGGCTGCCCCGCAGTTTAAGACGCGAGGTCTCATTGATCGAGCTCGCAGAACACCGTCACGCGCTACAAAGCCACGGACGGGCAGGTCCCCACTTGGCTCGCGATGTATAATTGCGACACTCCCGCGGTAGTCCAGTCCGAAGGGTACACCTCCCTCGCGGCGCTCGGATCCGAGAACGAGAAGGATATCTTGTCCAGGTTCACAAGCGTCAGCCGCCGCATATATGAGCACGTATCGACCACGACCGCGCCCGGTGTGTCTGACGAGGAGCTGCCGGCCAAGTTCATCTACGTTGCTGGACTGGAAGTGCCTGGGGGAGCTGAGGATGATCTGAACAGATGGTGCGTGCCTCTCGGTCAATCGTATCTTCCTGGGAAGCTGACTTTCGTGCAGGTATGAGGAGGTATGTCCTCATACGCAGATCCGTGAGACACGTAATCGAGCGTGATCAGGAACACATCGACATGTTCTCCAAGATTCCCGGCTGGAAGCAGACTCGGCGATATCAGATCATCGAGCACAAGCAATTCGGCGCTGCTGTGGAGGGACGCCCCGTTTGCAAGTTCCTTGCCGTGCACGAGTTTGACAACGGCGATTTCGTCCAAACACCAGAGATGCGGGACGCGGTCTCTTCCGAGTGGGCTAAGCGCGTGTTATCCACTGTTGTTCAGAAGGAACGGAGAGTTTTTGGTTTGCACAAGGGCTTCAGAGCCTAATGAAATGAGTGTATCAGTAATCTGGCTTATCTGAAGAGCAAAAAATACTCATTTCTGATCTCCCGTTCCAAGTTCACTCGAGAAAATCTAACATTTCTTTCAGGTAATCCTTCACGCGAGGAGAAAATTTTATCATAAATTAAGGAAGACAGTTGTACTGCAGGAGCATAACAAGTGCGGCTCAAGATGCTGCTGCTGAAGTATGATCTACCGCCACTGGTGCAGCATTAATGCGACAGTAGAATATGGGCGTCAGATCGATCATCGGACTAAATACTACAGCGTTGAAAATCGATACGAGCTCCTTCACGGCATATTTTGAAGCTTACAACTCAAAAGGCAGAGATGGACCAAAGCATCACAATAGACTACTTCAGCACTCTTTTCTTCTTAGAACGCGTGAAGTCAAGGTATTCTTTCAAGCGCATTCTAGGTGGTCTCAGTTGTCAATGTATTCAACCCTGCCGGACGTTCACCCAACAAGGAGGAAATTACTACAGCTTAAATCTCTCATGAAAATAATTCGTGGAAGGTTTCCATTGAAGGCGAATGGTTCCTAGTAGGTCGATACACCAGCGGTGGTGCGCGTGAACTGTGACATATGTCGCGCGCGGTAGTCACGATCATGTGGCATGTCACGATCATGGGGCCCATCACGGTCATATGTGCATGGTAAGCAATGCTGCCGGACCATGAACGCGTCAGGGAATGGCGTGGCAGTGCCGGCACTTTAATATCATCCGTCACCCGTGGATTTAAGGAGATAGCCAAGACCGGGGTTGACCGCAATCACACTTTTCTTCCTCCCTCCACTTCACCGTTAGATCGAACATGTCGAGCCCGCAAGGAATGTTATTTGTCGCGATGGAGGTCTCCCCCGTAGTGACTGAGGAACGCTTCAATGGTGCGGAAGCCATCTCTCATCCAGCGCGATCCCGTCTGACCGCATATATGCACTCCCAGAATGGTATGACACTGAGCACGTCCCGATCCGACTCAAGGTCCCTGGGCTGGTGCGTGCCATCGCCTCACGACTCATAATCTCCCGTCGATCAGCGTCACAGAACTCCGTCGTCCGCTACAAAGCGTCCGACGCTCAAGTCCCCACCTGGCTCACGATGTACAACTGCGATAACGCGGGTGTTGTCGGTTCCGAAGCATACACCTCGCTTGCAGCTCTTGCCTCGGACAACGAGAAAGATATCGCCTCAAAGACCATCGGTGTGAGCCGACGCGTTTACGAGCACTTTTTGACCAAGACCGATCCCGGCGTGCCCGACGAGGATCTGCCGAGCAAGTTCATCCTGGTGGCTGGCTTGGAAGTGGCGTTGGAAGACGAGGATGAGTTGAACAAATGGTGCGCAGTCTTGCATCCGCTTCCATCCCATCGAAGTACCGAAAGCTGATTGCCGTGGCTGCGTAGGTATGCAGAGGTATGTCTCTTGCCGCCAATCGGGACAGAATGATCGAATATCGAACGCGATCAGGAGCACATCGATTTGCTATCTAAGATCCCCGGCTGGAAGCAATGCCGACGGTACAGGATTCTTGAGCACAGGCAAGTCGGTGCTGTCATGGAAGGAAAGCCGGTTTGCAAGTATCTCGCCATTCACGAGTTCGACAACGGCGTGTTCCTCAAGACTCTCGAGATGCACAACGCGGCCACAAGCGAGTGGGCGAAGCGCATGGCGACTAAATTTCTCCAGCACGAGTTGAGGGTGTTTGAGTTGCATAAGGGTTTCAAAGCTTGAGTCCCCACTATCTGATGGTTGTCGGAGAACATTTTTGTCTCTCTAGACTCAGGGAGACTCCGTACTTGTCCTTGTACTTATATCCACCTAACGTGTGTATGACGAGTGCAACTTTGCCGTGCCATATATGGGCATGATGAGGTCAGATTTGATCAAGAGTGTTTCATCTAGAGCAATCACCATTCTATCAATTATGATAAAATCCGTTTCTACGCGATCTTCCCACATTACAAAATCTCACAGCCAAAAGTGCTAATGATCGGACATGTGGAAATTGCAAAAATCTAGACTGTGCATGATGCATAGGCTTTCCAAATTTGAAATCTGATGCAACATGCATGCAGAAATTCCAAAGTATGTTAGACGGAATTCTCAATTTTTCTTGTACACAAGGCATGAATTATTGGAACTAAAATACTCAAGACATTCTTTGATTATCATCTTGTTCTTCAGGGTTGTTATTTGAAGTTTCAATTGCTTCCTGGCCATCAAAACAACCATTGAACTTGATGTATGTTGTAGCACTGCAGGGGGACTTATTTTTTCTCCATGAAAAACATGTGACAATTGTGTCAATCAACAAGAAATAATGTCAAAAAGAGAAGTGAATTTGAAGGCTAGAGAATACAACAAAGTGGCTACTGTATTTATACCCAAATCCAGTCTGAGTCATATCTACAACTAATGAGTCATAAGACTATGTACCACATGGAGCGCTGGTTGTCATAGTTTGGCCACTTTTTCATCTTATCATCAATGATCTTATCTTATTTTGGCACAACTTATCTTATCACGGATCACAACCAGTGACGGTCTGGGCTAGGGGCCCAGGGGATTATCTTTATCGATCCAAGGCTGTGCGACATATGCTCCAGAAGGTTCTACTACAACCCATGACCAGTGTTCCATGTGGTACATAGCCTCTGGATTTGGGTATAAATACTGTAGCTACTTGGTTGTATTCTCCAGTCTTCGAATTGACTTCTCTTCTCAACATTATTTCTTGTTGATTGTCACATAATTTGAAGACTCCCCTCATACCCTCCTACCTCATACCTCTTACCACTGCATCCCTCACTGCTATGCCCGCTATATCCTCTTAACCCTTATCAACCAACTCACCTTTTTACCAAATCATCTAGTCGTTCCCTGCAATTGCAGTGAAGGGTTCATCTCGAGCAAACAGCACCATGTCAGGGGACGCCGCACTCCTTGGGCATGTGACCATGCACGTGACCCACTGCGCCCTCTCTGCCGACCCGTGCCTGCTCACCTGTCGATCACCCAGCCTCCTCCTCCTTCTCCGATCCTCATCTCCATCCATGTCGACATCCGCCCTCTTCCTCCTTCCCCCGGCCATCTCCCTCAAATCCCCGCAAGCGGTCTAGCCAAGCCTGATTCCTTGCACCAGGGAGTGCTACTGCTGTATGCACTCCTCCCCCTTCACTTCGGCCTTCTCCCGTGGATGTGGTCTACTGCCGTACAGGCTTGTACCAGATGCCCTTGCGCTCATCCGCACCACCCCTCTTCCCAGTTGGGCATTGGTCCTCGCCTCTGATGTCTCCCCAGAACATGATGAATGATATCCTGCGGGAACTAATCAACAAGGGACATGTGGTGGTCTATCTGGACAATATACTGATCTTCACAGAAAATCTGGATAAACATCGATGAATCACCAAACGGGTACTCAAGTTGCTCCAAAAGCACAAACTGTACCTGAAGCCCGAAAAGTGCGAGTTTGAACGCACGGAAATCGAATATCTGGGTGTAATTATTGGACACAACTCGATGCGGATGGACCTTGTCAAGATCAAGGGCATGATGGAATGGCCGGAACCAAAGAGCATCAAACATGTCCAAGCTTTCCTTGGATTCACAAACTTCTATTGACACTTTGTTTGGGGATATGCGGAGGTGGCCAAACCGTTAACATGGCTGACAGGGAAGGCAGGATGGTCGTGGGGTACGGATGAGCGTGCGGCATTTGATGGATTAAAGAAGAGAATCGCAGAGGATGCGGTCTTAGCACTGCCAAATGACACCAGCCAATATTGTCTGGAAGCCGATGCTTCGGAAGGGGCAACAGGATCTGTTTTGAGCCAAAACCAAGACGGCATTTGGCGCCCAATTGCATTTATTTCACATGCATTGACCAAAACCAAGCAAAATTATGAGATCTACAACAAGGAAATGCTTGCAGTCATGTTATTGCTCGACGAATGGAGGCAGTTACTCCTGGGAGCCACGGAAACGTTTGAGATCTTCACTGATCATCAAAATCTCAAATACTTCTGAAAGCCGCAGAAGCTCAACCAACGGCAAGCACAATGGATCACAGAGTTGGCAGAGTTTGATTTCAGCTTACGACACCGGTCCGGCGCACTCAACCGCAAGGCAGATCTCTTATCACGACAGGCGGATCATGACCAAGGCAAGAACGACAACAAGGACATCACCCTGTTGAAGCCCGAGTTGTTCCGATCACAAGAAGTCATATTCGAGGGACAGGATCAACAGCTGACTGATGAGATCAAGGCCATTCGCTCAATTGATGGAAGTGTCAAGGCAGCATTGGAGAAGTCTCTCCCCGGATGGAAAAAGGAAGATGGACTTATCACGTATCACGGGAAGCTCTATGTACCAAGGGACAAGGAGCTACGAGACAAGATCATTGGACTACACCACAACACGCCTCTCGTTGGACACGCAGGGATCAACCAAACGCAAGAGATGGTGGAAAGGAATTACTGGTGGCCAAGGATGGGGAACCAAATTCGAAAATACATCCAGACTTGTGAGGCGTGCCAACAGACGAAGACCAAGAGGGCAAGGACCGGAACTCTGCATCCACACGCGGTACCAAGTGCCCCATGGGAAATCATCTCAATGGATCAAATTGGACCTCTACTGGTCAGAAATGGGTATGATGCGATTCATGTGTGGTGTGACACCCTCACGAAAATGATTCACGTGGAACCAATCAGTACTGACATCACTAGCAAAGGAGTAGCACAGCTAACTCGGGACTGGGTCTTCCGCTATCACGGGATCCCTCGCAAGATCATCACCGACAGGGAGGCACGGTACATCAAGGGCTTCATGAAGGAAACAAATCAGATGTTGGGAGTAGAGATGAACCCTGGGACCGCATACCACCCAATCACGGACAGGCAGACAGAACGCATGAATCAGGAGATCGAGCATTATTGTCATAGTTCAACCACTTTTTCATCTTATCATCGACCATCTTATCTTATCTCGGCACGGATTATCTTATCACAGATCACGGCATCTGACGGTCCGGGCTAGGGGTCTAGGGATTATCTTTATTGATTCAAGGCTGCATGACATATGCTCCAGAAGGTTCTACTACAACCCATGACCAGTGCTCCATGCGGTACATAGCCTTATGACTCATTAGTTGTAGATATGACTCAGACTGGATTTGGGTATAAATACTGTAGCTACTTGGTTGTATTCTCCAGTCTTCGAATTCACTTCTCTTTTTGACTTTGTTTTTGGGTTGATTGTCACAATTATCTCCGCATCTATGTCAATTACCATCAGACGGATTGGTTGGAGTGGCTGGGAATGGCAGAGTTTGCATATAACGACAAAATGAACACATCCACCAAAGTATTGCCATTTTATGCAAACCATGGATATCACCCATGGAAAGAAGTAGAGCAGAGGATGGAATTGAGGAATGAGTCGGCGGAGGAATTTGCAAAAAGAATGAAAGAAATACAAGACGAAGCAAAAACAGCATTAGAAAAAGCAAATGTAAAAATGTAAAAATACTACAATAATCAAAGAAAAGAAGTCCTGGAGTTGAAGGTTGGAATGAAGGTGTACGTGGAAGGAGGGAATATTGAGATGGATAGACCATCAAAGAAGATGAGCAACAAGAGATTAGGGCCGTACGAGATTTTGGAGAAGGTTGGAGCGGCCGCATGGAAACTGGACTTGCTGGATATGGACCGGAGACACCTGGTGTTCAACGAGTCACTGTTGACAGCCTATCACAAACCACCCCCCCCCCCCCCATCGCCAAGAGAAGAGACCCGTGGCAAAGATGATTGGAGGAGCCAAAGAGTGGGAAGTCAAAGAAATCGTGAAAGAACGGAAGGTTGGCCGAGGGAAACAATACTTGGTCAATTGGAAGGGATGGCCGCACAGAAAAAACACCTGGGAACCATCACGTCACCTAACCCACGCAAAGAAGGTCTTGGCAGCCTGGGAGAAAAAACAATCAAATCCGAACACCCGCATTTGCGCTGTGCCGATACTCCGAGCTGACCACTGTGTCAGGGGACGCCGCGCTCCTTGGGCACGTGACCATGCACGTGACCCACTGCACCCTCTCTGCCGACCCGTGCCTGCTCACCTGTCGATCACCCAGCCTCCTCCTCCTTCTCCGATCCTCATCTCCATCCATGCCGACATCCGCCCTCTCCCTTCTTCCCCCGGCCATCTCCCTCGAATCCCCGCAAGCGGTCTAGCCAAGCCCGATTCCTTGCACCAGGGAGTGCTACTGCCGTATGCACTCCTCCCCCTTCACTTCGGCCTTCTCCCCGCAGATGTGGTCTACTGCCGTACAGGCTCGTACCAGATGCCCTTGCGCTCATCCGCACCACCCCTCTTCCCAGTTGGGCATTGGTCCTTGCCTCCAATGTCTCCACTGGCCGGCCCGGCACTGGCCTGGCCGCTGGGCTCCTCCAGTGTGGCCTTCCACTGTTGGTGTCTCAGGAGCTGGCCATCACTGGCCCCTCTGAGCCACTCACTATCTTATCTGGGTTTGTCATTATCTACTTGTCATCTGCCATTGTTCCATGGCAGTGATATCCCATCATCATCAGTCACTTGTCACAGCTGACTATATAGTGTGACACCTGGGCACATGGATCCTTGAACCGTTCTCTAAGGATCCCCCTCTGTGCTCAGGTGAGTAGTATACCTCCCTTGTATTTGATAGTCTCTAAGGATCCCCCTCTGTGCTCAGACTCATGTGAGGTTGTTGTGTGCTGTGTGCTCTCTTCCTTCGGGCTGGCAGGAGTTGCCCTTACAGCAGAACGGTTCCACCCCATTGGACTCCACCCAGCTGAGCGTCAGGACAGTGGCAGTCTATGGCGCCCTGTTGCTGCGCACTGGTGTGGCCTCCAAGCCGGCTGGCGGCTAGTGGTTTTGTAATTGGTGTGTCCCTGTCGAGTCCCTGGTAGTGTTAACTGGTCCACTCCATACATCGCATACGCATCACCCACAAACCCCCGGTCATCCCTCCCCTCCTCTTCCTCCCCCCTCATCTCCCTGGCCTACTGCCGTTGAGGCTCGTGCCATCCGACTCCGACCTCCTCCCCCTTCGTTCCCCTCCTGGATTTGGGACTTGGCCTCCCTCTCTCTCCCCCCTCCTGGCTGGATGTTGGTTCTGTGGCTTGGTGGATTTGGATGGCTGAGCTGGGTTGGATGAGTTGGTGGTGGGATGACTGTCATATGTGCTCTGGTCTCTGGTTGGGTCCTTGTGCCCTAGATATGTGATTCTGCTCCTCTCCTATGCTGCTGAACACATTCTACCTAACCTGCTCTACTCCCCCTCCCCCATGGGCACCTCTGTGAAGCTGGACCCCCTGGTCTTGTGTTCCCTGCCTTCCCACCTGCCTCTACCCCTCTCCACCTCCTAGCTGGCTGCAGCCCTGCTCTGCCCGGCTGCCCTCTGTGTGCCCTCTCTCCATCTCTCCCATGGACTCCCCTCCCCCTGCCCCCTGCCAGCCCCACTCCCCCAGAGCATTTTCGAGTTTTTGGGGCAGTGGCAGTGCTCGAGTTTCCCACGCTGTCGAAAACCCGGCCATCCTCGGGCTTGGTGGCAGTGGCAGTGTCTAGTCACCTGGCTGTTCTCTCAGGTGACCCCCCATCACCCCCGCCCTCCGTGGCAGTGCCCCACTCCTTGCGCAGCCACCACGCCCCGCCCTCTGCGCAGCCACCTGCCTCTCCCCTTTGGCAGAGTTTGGTCCGCTCTCTGCTCATGTGACCTCATGGCTGTGCTCTGGATCCCCACACTGCCACCTGTCTCCAGTGGCAGTGCACTGGCATAGCCACAGTGACAGCCCATTGCCTTTGAGGCAGTCTGCTGTCTTGTGTAGCCACACTGTTGGTGTTCTGCCTCTAGGGCAGTCCGCCACTCTGTGAGCTGCTGCTGTGTGCTGTGTCATGTGCAGGGAGTCATGTGATATGTGGCTGCGCTATGTCACATGCATATCACGTGACCGTCCTTTCAGTCATGTGACCAACATGTCACGTGATCCGTGGCTGCGCCCCAGGCACCATTTCTGCTGCGCTTTTTCGTGGCTGTGATGGGACCCTAGGCTTGGGTTTCTCTGTGATGTGATGGATCTGGCATTGCTTGCCCATGGCTGCCGCTCTCTGCTGGGTCTGGGTCTTTTCTCATCGTGCGCTGGGCCGTCTGGCCTCCTCTCTTCTGCTGCTTCCTCGTGTCCTTGGGTCCGTGCTCCTATGCCGCCAGGCTCTCCCTGCGCATCCAGGCCTACTTCTTGGTTGCTGCCCACGCTCGTCGTGCATTATTGCAGGTGGGCTGCAACCTTGAAGGGGGGATTGTCTATTGTCCCCCATGACCGTCCATTGGTCACTTGGCACCTGCTTCTCTGCAGGATCGGTTCGGATGGAGCATCCCTTTCTCTATCCCCAGCTGATTGTGATGTTGCACCTGGTGCAGCAGACCCTCTCCCTCCGTCCCATCTCCTCTGCACTCCTCCCTCTGTTCCCATCGTCTCCGCCTTGGTCCATGACCTCTCCCCCCACTGTCTCGCCTCTACGCACGTCTCCACGGGCATATACCCCTGGCTTTGGCCAGCGGAACATCCGCTACGTGCCTCCGCTGTTGTGCGAGGCCTTGCGCTAACCGTGTGATGGCTGGCCCCCTTGGCCGGCTTGTTACGTCTTGAGCGTCAGAGCAGTCGGTCCTTCTGTTGGCTCTGTCCCCCCTACGTGTGTCTCCATGGGCGTATACCCCCCGCTTCGGCCGGCGGAACATCTGCTACGTGCCTCTGCTGTTGTGCGAGGCCTTGCACTAACCATGTGATGGCTGGCTTGCTGTTGTGGCCGGCCTGTTACACCTTGGCTCCGGACATCCACAGCAGGTGGTAGACCCGTGCATCACTGTGACAATCAACCCAAAAACAAAGTCGAAAAGAGAAGTGAATTCGAAGACTGGAGAATACAACCAAGTAGCTACAGTATTTATACCCAAATCCAGTCTGAGTCATATCTACAACTAATGAGTCATAGGGCTATGTACCACATGGAACGCTGGTCATGGGTTGTAGTAGAACCTTCCGGAGCATACGTCGCGCAGCCTTGAATCGATAGAGATAACCCCTGGAACCCCTAGCCCGGACCGTCTGATGCCGTGATCCGTGATAAGATAAGTTGTGCCAAGATAAGATAAGATCGTCGATGATAAGATGAAAAAGTGGCTGAACTATGACATTACCCCTCTCTAGGGTCGATGTCCTCATCGACTAGGCCAATGGGCGTGAAGACGTTTTCGTACGGATCGAAGAGTTGTCACTGGGGGTATGGAAGGCGCTCGTCTTTGGGTTTGTAGCGATGGATGAGGTAATCCCAATGTCCGGCTTCGAGAGTTGGCAGGAGGCGAATGCGTGTGTCTGGGTTGGATTGTTTCCTCTGCCAATCTCTCAGGACCTTCTTCGCGTGGGTAAGGTGACGTGATGGTTCCCAGGTGTTCTCGCTATGCGGCCATCCCTTCCATTTGACCAAGTACTGTTTTCCTCGGCCGACGTTTCGCTCTTTCACGATCTCTTCGACTTCCCACTCCTCTGCTCCTCCAATCATCTTGGCTACAGGCCTCTTCTCTCGGCGATGGGGGGGTGGTTCGTGATAGGGTGTCAACAGTGACTCGTTGAACACCGGATGTCTTCGGTCCGTGTCCGGTAAATCCAGCTTCCATGCGGCCGCTCCAACCTTCTCCAATATCTCGTATGGCCCTAGTCTCTTGTTGCTCATCTTCTTTGATGGTCGATCCGTCTCGATATTTTCCCCTTCTATGTACACCTTCATCCCAACCTTCAACTCCGGAACTTCTTTTCTTTGTTTATCGTAGTATTTTTTCATTTTTTCTTTTGCTTTTTCTAGTGCTGTTTTTGCTTCGTCTTGTATTTCTTTCATTCTTTTTACAAATTCCTCCGCCGACTCGTTTCTCGACTCCATCCATTGCTCCACTCCCTTCCATGGGTGATATCCGTGATTCGCATAGAATGGCGATATTTTGGTAGATGTGTTCATTTTATCGTTATATGCGAATTCTGCCATCCCTAGCCACTCCGACCAGTCCGTTTGATGGTAGTTGACGTAGATGCAGAGATAATGCTCGATCTCCTGATTCATGCGTTCTGTCTGCCCATCCGTGATCGGGTGATATGCGGTCCCCGGATTCATTTCCACGCCCAACATCCGATTCGTCTCCCTCATGAAGCCCTTGATGTAACGCGAATCCCTGTCGGTGATGATCTTGCGAGGGATCCCGTGGTAGCGGAAGACTCGGTCCCTGGTTAGTCGTGCCACTCCTTCGCTGCTGATGTCAGTACTAATTGGTTCGACATGGATCATTTTGGTGAAGGTGTCACACCACACATGAATTGCGTCATACCCGTTACTGACCGGCAAGGGTCCGATTTGATCCATGGAGATGATTTCCCACGGCGCGTTTGGAACTGCATGCGGGTGCAAACTCCCTGTCCTTGCTCTCCTGGTCTTGGTCCGTTGGCACGCCTCGCACGTCTGGATGTATTTCCGAATTTGGTTTCCCATCCTGGGCCACCAGTAGTTTCTTTCCACCATCTCCTGTGTTCGGTTGATCCCGGCGTGTCCGACCAAAGGGGTGTCGTGGTGTAGTCCGATGATTTTGTCCCGCAACTCCTCGTCCCTTGGTACGTAGAGCTTCCCATGGTACGTGATAAGCCCCTCTTCCTTCTTCCATCCGACGAGTGACTTCTCTACGGCCGCCTTGACGCTTCCATCAATTGATCGAATGGCCTTGATTTCATCGATTAGCTGCTGATCCTGTCCCTCGAATGTGACTTCTTGTGATCGGAAGAACTCGGGCTTCAGTAGCGTGACGTCCTTGTTGTCGTTCTTGCCCTGATCGTGATCTGCTCGTCGGGACAGGAGGTCCGCCTTGCGGTTGAGTGCGCCGGGTCGGTGTCGTAAGGTGAAATCGAACTCCGCCAACTCCGTGATCCATCGTGCTTGCCGTCGATTGAGCTTCTGCGGCTTCCGAAAGTACTCGAGATTCTGATGATCGGTGAAGATCTCGAACGTTTCCGTGGCTCCCAGGAGTAACTGCCTCCATTCGTCAAGTGATAACATGATTGCGAGCATTTCCTTGTCGTAGATCTCGTAATTTCGCTCGGTTTCGGTCAATGCGTGCGAAATAAATGCGATTGGGCGCCAAATGCCGTCTTGGTTTTGGCTCAAAACTGATCCTGTTGCCCCTTCCGAAGCATCGGCTTCCAGACGATATTGGCCAGTGTCATTTGGCAGTGCTAGGACCGCATCCTCCGCGATTCTCTTCTTCAATCCATCAAATGCCGCATGCTCATCTGCACCCCATGACCATCCTGCCTTTCCTGTCAGCCGTGTCAATGGCTTGGCAACCTCCGCGTATCCCCGGACAAAGCGCCGATAGAAGTTTGTGAACCCTAGAAACGCTTGGACTTGTTTGACGCTCTTTGGTTCCGGCCATTCCATCACGCCCTTGATCTTGACTGGGTCCATCCGCATCGAATTGTGTCCAATAATTACACCCAAATATTCGATTTCCGTGCGTTCGAACTCGCACTTTTCGGGCTTCAGGTATAGCTTGTGCTTCTGGAGTAATTCGAGCGCTCGTTTCGTGATCCGCCGATGTTCGTCCAAGTTCTCTGTAAAGATCAGTATATCGTCCAGATAGACTACCACGTGTCCCTCGTTGATCAGTTCTCGGAGTATGTCGTTCATCATGTTTTGGAAGGTAGCCGGGGAGTTCGTGAGACCAAAGAACATGACCAAGGGCTCGTACAGTCCACGGTTCGTGCGGAACGCAGCCTTCCACTCGTCACCCTCTTTGATCCGTACGTTATTGTATCCCCATTGGATGTCGAGCTTGGTGAAGAACTTGGCGCCGCATAGATTATGGACCAGTTCGGAGATCAGCGGCAGCGGGTACCGATTTCGGATTGTCATCTCATTCAGCTTCCGATAATCCTGGACGGGACGTAGTGAACCATCTTTCTTTTTGACGAAGAAGAATGCTGAGGCCATGGGTGATTTTGATGGTCTGATTCGTCCGCTGGCCAGGTTCTCTTGTAGGAACTCGTCGAGTTTGACCTGCTCGTTTCGTGATAGCGGGTACACCTTGCAGTCCACTGCTTTGGAACCGGGTTTGAGCTCAATCGCATGATCCCAGGTTCGTCGGTCCGGTAGCGAGTCGAATGATTCCTTGGCAAATACTTTGACGAATTCCCGGTATTGATCCGGAATTTTCCCTTCGGTCATCCTCTCCTTCTCTTTTTCCGCTTCTTCTGCAAATTTCTGCGCCGGTGTTTCCTTCAGCCGTAGATCTACCTCCTTTCCAAAGTCGATCAGCAGGATCGATTCTCCCTCTTCCAGATCCAGTGCGCTCGTGTCCAGGTCGATTGCATCCATGTCAATCATCGCTTGGTGTTCCTCGTGACCCCTCATGTGACACCGTTCTGGGCATCGGCTGAATCTCATCGTTTGCTCCTGCCAATCCACCTCCGGGTTGTGTTCCGTCAGCCAGTCAAGACCAATGAAGATCCGGGCCTTCCCCAAGCACGTCAGAAGGAACGTGCGTGTCTCCACGTGAGGACCGATTCTCATCCTTAGGTCAACGTAATGCGTGATCCGGCCGCTGATGTTTTCGGTGTTGTCGGCGTTACGAGCCACAATGGGTTGGGGAAGTTCTTGGATATCCAGCTTCTCTGCCCGCGCGTAGTCGGTATCGATGCAGCAGGTGCTACAGCCACTATCGAGTAGCGCCTTGACTCCGCGCGTCTTTCCTGAGTCCAGGCCTGTGATCTGGACATATACGTCCATCGAATGTCTCTTCCTTTCGGCCTGGTAGTTGCGCAATTCCTGCGCCAGTCTGCTGGGCTGGGGGCCCTTCTGTCTCTCGGCTGCCCATTTCCTTTGAACGGCATCCGGCACCCTTGTGCGTTTGGGTGCTTCTGGAATCCTGATTTCGGCAGATTCCTTGGGCGCTTCCTCCTTTTTCAAGGATTGAGCCTCCGGAGCGATGCTCCCCTTTTCGGTCTTTGTTGACGTGGTTCCTTCTCCACGAGCCATAAATACGTAGGAGTCCAAAATTAATTTATCCGCAGCTTTCTGATCCTTTTTACTTTGTAAATACTCTCTATTTAAAACTATTTTTCTTTGTCGTTCCTTTTCCATATCAGCAATGAGAAAATCATGAATATTGGTACGTAATGAGTCCGAGATTGTATATGTACGTGTAGAATCGTTCATGTCTTTAATCGAAACAAGTACAGAAAAACGTCCATAGTCCGGACGCTCCACCTCCTTGGCTAGAGGAGTGGAGCGCTTCAAAAACCCTTCTCGCGCAGCTTCTCGGCAATCTCCTTCAGGAACTCGTTGTCCTTGTCCCCGTTCTCGATCTCTTCTAGCATTGTGGCCCGATTGAAGAACGTGCGCTTCTTCTTGGGCTCAGGGCAGTTCCGCGCAATGTGCCCAGGCTGCTGACAGTTGTAGCAGATGATATTGCGGCCACAGGCGTGGGTGCGATCGATCTCCATCGGAACCGGCTCATTGGCCGCTGGTCGGGCCGGAGCGGGTGCAGGTGCTGATGGTGCAGCCTGAGGGCGGAATTGGGGTGGGGGCCGCGGAGTTGAGTGCGCATAGGATGCCTTACGCAGCTGATCGCGCAAGGCATTGGCCTCGATGTTGACGCACCAGTTCTTGAAGGCACCATATGCCTTGGGCAGGGGGACGCCGGTGTTGTAGAGGCGGCTTGCAATTTCGCTGCTGAGTCCGCGCTCGAGGAACTCGATGAGGATGTTGTCCTGATCCCCCTTCTTGTACTCGCCCTTGTCATCAGTTGAGGCGACCACGTTGTACCCCGCGTCCGCTGCCAGCATTTCGAAGTCAGAGATGTAGTCCGCAAAGGACCGTCTGCCCTGGCGAAGGGCCATGAGTCGGGCGGCAGCGACTTGCTCTGCATTAGAATCCCCAAAGGCCCTCTGAAGCTCCTCCAAGAAGCTTGTCGCGGTGACTCCCGCCTTTAGTCCTTGGAAGCCCTCGAAATTGTGCTGCTTCCAGTTCATCGCCCATCTTGAGGCGGCGCAGCTTGTGCCGCTCTCATTGCGGAGGTAGGACAGGACGAAGAGGATTTTCGTCTCGTCCAGCGAGAACTCTGACCGATAGGCACCGATGTAAGTGGTGCACGCGTCCACAAAGCCCAGGTATTTGGACTTGTCGCCATCAAAGTAGGGGGGGTTGGCAGCGAGAGTGATGCGGTGATGTCCTGACATGGTAGGAGCAGGTGCGGTAGGTGGGGGCGAGGGTGGTTGTTCGGAGGGTAACTCGCCAAGGTCGGGGATCTCGTCTTCAGGCGGCGGGAGGGCGAGGTAGGGGTTGGAGGGTCCGGGTTCGTTTTGATGCGCCAGATCGGGCGACGATGGTATGATGGGGGGAGGGGATGGGCTCCCAGATGACGATGGGAATTGGTACGAAATGGTGGATTCGTGTGCTGTACAAGCACTCGAGGAAAGGTTCTTTTGCTAGCAAAAGATCCCGGGCCTAGCTCTTCACGTGCCCGATGATCCCGAGGTGCGTTTTCCCGAAGGTCTCCGCAGCACTCCTTGTAGCTACCGTAAGGCTTGGGTCGGGCTCAACGTTACCCGTGGCCTGGTGCTGTTTGCTTGATATGAACCTTTCACTGCGATCGCAGCGAGCGACTAGATGATTCGGTAAAAGGGTGAGTGGGGTGGTAAGGGTGAAGAGGATATAGCGGGCGTAGCGGTGCACGGAGCAGGGTAGGAGGTAAGAGGTACGAGGGTATGAGGGGAGTCTTCGAATTATGTGACAATCAACCCAAAAACAAAGTCGAAAAGAGAAGTGAATTCGAAGACTGGAGAATACAACCAAGTAGCTACAGTATTTATACCCAAATCCAGTCTGAGTCATATCTACAACTAATGAGTCATAGGGCTATGTACCACATGGAACGCTGGTCATGGGTTGTAGTAGAACCTTCCGGAGCATACGTCGCGCAGCCTTGAATCGATAGAGATAACCCCTGGAACCCCTAGCCCGGACCGTCTGATGCCGTGATCCGTGATAAGATAAGTCGTGCCAAGATAAGATAGGATCGTCGATGATAAGATGAAAAAGAGTCGAATTATGACAATCACCCGCCGACCCCATCTATTAGGTGGCTGGTGCACGCAACATCCCTCCCTTCCGCATCCGACACGTGCCTTTTTTTTCGGTTGCCTCTATTGCTGCTGTGCAGCTAGGACAACCGATTGGTGCGTCGAGGGCGCCGCACCTTGAAGGGGGGATGAAGAGGCAGTGGAGGGAAGCGACTGCAAGGGAGCTTCTCTCTACAAGTGGGACGACTTCAGGAGTCCTGGTTGCCCTTACAGGCACCTGAGCTTCTGGGAGGAGCAGAGTGACGACCACCCTGACCATAGGGAAGGTCGTGGTACAGCCACACATGCATAGCTGTGGGGCTGGACCTTACAGCGGGACAGCGACCGACCACTAGGTCATAGGGAGCTGACACGCAGCTCAGTGACGACGCACCAGACGACAGAGTGGGACGCGCAGCATACCACCGGAGTAGTGCGTCCTTCTTTTTCCCCCACCCACCCTCCCTTTTCTTCCATCTGCTTTGCGCTGCCTACGTCGGGACGCCGTAGCTTGAAGGGGGGATGATGTCAGGGGACGCCGCGCTCCTTGGGCACGTGACCATGCACGTGACCCACTGCACCCTCTCTGCCGACCCGTGCCTGCTCACCTGTCGATCACCCAGCCTCCTCCTCCTCCTCCGATCCTCATCTCCATCCATGCCGACATCCGCCCTCTCCCTCCTTCCCCCGGCCATCTCCCTCGAATCCCCGCAAGCGGTCTAGCCAAGCCCGATTCCTTGCACCAGGGAGTGCTACTGCCGTATGCACTCCTCCCCCTTCACTTCGGCCTTCTCCCCGCAGATGTGGTCTACTGCCGTACAGGCTCGTACCAGATGCCCTTGCGCTCATCTGCACCACCCCTCTTCCCAGTCGGGCATTGGTCCTCGCCTCCGATGTCTCCACTGGCCGGCCTGGCACTGGCCTGGCCACTGGGCTCCTCCAGTGTGGCCTTCCACTGTTGGTGTCTCAGGAGCTGGCCATCACTGGCCCCTCTGAGCCACTCACTATCTTATCTGGGTTTGTCATTATCTACTTGTCATCTGCCATTGTTCCATGGCAGTGATATCCCATCATCATCAGTCACTTGTCACAGCTGACTATATAGTGTGACACCTGGGCACATGGATCCTTGAACCGTTCTCTAAGGATCCCCCTCTGTGCTCAGGTGAGTAGTATACCTCCCTTGTATTTGATAGTCTCTAAGGATCCCCCTCTGTGCTCAGACTCATGTGAGGTTGTTGTGTGCTGTGTGCTCTCTTCCTTCGGGCTGGCAGGAGTTGCCCTTACACACTGGGATTACCTCATCCATCGCTACATACCCAAGGACAAGTGACTTCCATATCCCCAACGACAACTTTTTGACCCCTACAACAACGTCTTCACACCGATCGACCCTGTCAATGAGGACATCGGCCCTAGAGAGGGGGTAATGTCATGATTCAATCATTTTTCACAATCATTCCATTGATCACCTTATCTTATCATTGACATGGGACTATCTTATCACGGATCACAGCACCACATGGTCTGGGCTTAGGGTTCAAGAGGGTTATCTGTACAAGAGGTCACACGGCGTGTGCTCCAGAATTCTATACTACAACCCATGACCAAAGCTCCACACAGTACATAGTCAGATGATGTAGATAAGACTCAGACTGTGTAAGGGCAACTCCTGCCAGCCCGAAGGAAGAGAGCACACAGCACACAACAACCTCACATGAGTCTGAGCACAGAGGGGGATCCTTAGAGACTATCAAATACAAGGGAGGTATACTACTCACCTGAGCACAGAGGGGGATCCTTAGAGAACGGTTCAAGGATCCATGTGCCCAGGTGTCACACTATATAGTCAGCTGTGACAAGTGACTGATGATGATGGGATATCACTGCCATGGAACAATGGCAGATGACAAGTAGATAATGACAAACCCAGATAAGATAGTGAGTGGCTCAGAGGGGCCAGTGATGGCCAGCTCCTGAGACACCAACAGTGGAAGGCCACACTGGAGGAGCCCAGTGGCCAGGCCAGTGCCAGGCCGGCCAGTGGAGACATCGGAGGCGAGGACCAATGCCCGACTGGGAAGAGGGGTGGTGCAGATGAGCGCAAGGGCATCTGGTACGAGCCTGTACGGCAGTAGACCACATCTGCGGGGAGAAGGCCGAAGTGAAGGGGGAGGAGTGCATACGGCAGTAGCACTCCCTGGTGCAAGGAATCGGGCTTGGCTAGACCGCTTGCGGGGATTCGAGGGAGATGGCCGGGGGAAGGAGGGAGAGGGCGGATGTCGGCATGGATGGAGATGAGGATCGGAGGAGGAGGAGGAGGCTGGGTGATCGACAGGTGAGCAGGCACGGGTCGGCAGAGAGGGTGCAGTGGGTCACGTGCATGGTCACGTGCCCAAGGAGCGCGGCGTCCCCTGACAGACTGGACTTAGTATAAGTACAGTAGCCATTGTGTTGTATTCTCCAGTCTTGGAATTGACTTGTCTTTTCGATTGTATTCTGTGTTGATTGTCACACTCCAGAAGGTTCTACTAAAACTGATGACCAGCATTCCACACAGTACATAGTCTCATGACTCATTTGATGTAGATATGACTCAGACTGGATTCAGGTACTATTGTGTTGTATTCTCCAATCTTGAAATTGACTTCCCTTTTTGACATTATTTCTTGTTGATTGTCACACCAATTTTGTTTTTGAAAATCATAAGATATTTTATTGGATTACTCAATTCAGGTATATCAAGGACCAACAAATACTGTAATCTTTAAAGAATGTTTATATCACCTAGTCAGCTTGCTTTGTTCTCGCATCTGCTTCCCATGAAACCAGAGGTAAAGAGGGAAAGGAATTCCAAGCACAATGGACAACCCTGCTAGAAGGGAATTTCCACCTCCTTGGCCCAATGCATTGTACATCTGCTGGCCAAACAAGGGGAAAATAAACCCAAAGAGGGACCGGAAGATCTAACTTAGCATGAGACATTTTCAAGAGAGCCATGGCATTTAAACTGACTGAGGATGCAGAAAGAGCACTAGCAGCAAATTGAAATGTGTCCACCAGGTACAATTGGGTGGAAAGACTGGATGAAAAAAAGAGGAAAAATCAGTGCTATCATGATGCAATGATAAGATCAATACATACAATGTTGACATCATTCCTGACCCACAGTTTGTCAACAACACTTTCTGAAGACCAAGGTGTTCACACACCAAATCCAAATATTCCTAGGACACATTGAGATTAAGCACTGTGGGAAAATGAATAAATACTGACCAGAACCAATGATGGGCATAATCCAGTGGATCCTTGCTTGTGCTGACCAACCATACCATCTGCAGGCTCCTATCAGGGTGCATAGAGTGGAAAAGAAACCAACTTACAACAAACCAATGGGGACAAAGAAGGAGCCAATGATCAGTGGAGGGATCCGCATCTCTGGCTCCCCTATTCCACCATTCTTCTCTGAAAGCTGATTATGGATAAGTGGCAGTGACAGGGCCCTGTTTTCTCTCATACCTTAACATAGATATCTTTCCCCCACTGAGCACTGAACAGAGATGCAAAAAGAAAGCCAACACCAAGGCCAATGTAAGCTAATCCATTTGTGCCCGCATTGAAACTGTAGGTGTCAGTGAAGAGTTCTGCCAATGATGAGATGACAGTTCAACAACAGTTCAACAAGACCTTACTGCTGAAGACAGTAAACATCAAGTAATCTTGAGATCAATGAGCCGTCAGCCAAAACTCAAGTCGATATACATACATATTCCGAACATGCTGCAAAAATGCTCAGAGAAAACCCCGAATAGAATAGAAAGACCCACAAGGCAATGTAAAGACTGAGCAAGAAACAGATCGTGCTGCCAAAGAGCAGAATTGCTGGCCGAGAGATATTGATCCACAGGGAGCGCATGAATGTTGTACGTTCCTGAGCAAGTCCCGTGTTTGCCGTAGCCGCCTTCTCAGGGTCGGAAGACTGCCGTGCCAACTTCGAACGGATATAGGGCGAGTACGTTTCTCGAAAGATAGGAATCCCTGCAATTGCGCCGAAAGCTTGAAGCCCCCCCACCAGAACAAATACGTATTTGACTCCGATTGTCTCCGTGATGAATCCTGCACATCCATAGTTTATCCAGTGTTTTTCAGGCCGAAAAAATTCACAAACCCCCAGCGATCGGTCCCACCACTGAAAGTGGTTTCAGATCCGGTGGCTCGAGGAAGAAATGAAATATTAGCACGTACCAGGACCAATGAGTGGCCCCAAACTGTATATTGCCATGGCAGCCGTTCTATCGCGTTCAGAGAAGAGGTCACTGATGACACCACCTCCGAAGGCTACTGGTGCACTTCCCGAGAGGCCAACTGAATGAAGACAAGAACGAAGGAATTAGTTGTCGTAATGACCTGTATAGGTAAGAACCACTTACGGAGCAATCGGAACACAAGCAAGCTCGCCAGGTTCGGCGCGAAGGCACACCCCAGACTGAACCCAATGGACAGTACGTTCATGATATTTAGAAGCTGCCCGCGTCAGTTGGACGAATAAGAGATAGCCGGAGAGAAGTACCCATCGTCTAGGGTATATTAAATTTCACGAGTCGAAAAAAAAAGTGCTACACGCACCTTCCGTACATCTCCTACGCCCAGTCCGCTCTATCAGACCACCACGAGGACGAAGGAAAAACTGCGCACCGAAAGGGGGGCAAGGAACAAAGCCTGAGATATAGCCTGTCAGATGAATTCCTTGATAACAGACGGTGACGCACCCCCAAGGAAAAGGTGATCAAGAAGATAGAGAGCGTCATGGACAACACGGTCTCGTTCGTTATGTGATATCGAATCCCAATCTGGGGGAGGCCGGGTGCCATGATACTGGAGGACAATGGGCTGACAAACGTGTAGAATGAAACCTATTCATGCGTGAGACGCGTCGGAAGAGGTAATGTATGATTGCGCACCACCGCGGCTGACGACCATTTCTTGCTCGTGGACCAGTTTCGTGGATTCCGCTCGTCATCGTCCCAATTATCCTCCAGGTTCTTGATTGCCTCCTCTTTCGAGTCTTGAGACATAGCAAATTTGCTGTTGTCCTCAGCTCCGGGGGCCGCCACCGACATTTCATCATGCACGGGAACCTGAGTCAGAGAACTGGTGTGCGACGCCATATTGTGGTGGGTGTGGACAATCGAACGTATATCACGTTCTTATAAGGGCCCGAAACATCGAAGCTGGGGGCAAGGATACTCGAGAAGGGTCAGCACGATTTGCTTAACACCGTTCGTCGCGCGAAGAGCACGTGGCTGTGCTCAGGCAGAACCCGATCCTCGCAGATTGTGAGATTTCGTCGGAAGGTGCGCTCCGATGTGGCCGGAAACTCTGCCCTCAAACTATTCCAGAGCTCTGTTACCGATTCATGGATTATCGCGATTATCGGTGGCTCGGTAAGAAACTTGAAAGAGAGTGGCATGCGCGGAGGGACAAGAGAAATTGGACGGCCTTAGGCCCATCTATGCTCTCGATCGTGCACCATGCTCCCACATGACACAGGCCGTTTACCCGTTCGACTGAAGAGTGCATATTGGCGGCACGTGTCTGCGTTGTTCTTTGTCACCGGGCGCAGCCAACAGTGTTAATTCGCACAATTTTCAATACTAGTAGTGCACTTGCATCAGAAATTAGACACTCCTGGTCCAGACTGGCTCTTATTTCAGCTGAGCTCGTTCTTTTTTCTTTGCCTCGCTCCAGGATACTGACAACAGGAGGGATTCTGGATTGCGGATGTGTGATCTCAGTGGCGGTGCAAGTTTCTTTCCGGCTACTATGGATGATCGATGATACATGATAAAGATAGGATGGAATATTCCACTTCGTGACCGGGCGAGTTTAAAACAGCGAGCTTCACGTCAGACACGGCAGAACGGCAGACCATCTTAGCACCACCGATGGGCAACTCGCTGCGCTCCTCGGACCCATGGGTACCGTGCGTGAAGTCGCAGTACAGACATTTCTCACATGGATCCTGCTAAATGGGATGGGAGATTTCGCGTCTTTCGATGCGCATCGTTCCACTCTTTCAAAAATCAGCTATGGTGGATCTCGCATTCTCCGACTCAAATACGCAAGTAAAATACAACAATCATGTCCCCCAAGTAAATCACATCGTGCGCTGAGCACTCAATCGGACCCGCGGTGATTTCAGATCTCTTAAGAAAGTCACACGGTATCGAGCAACTTCCCATCGGTCCAATCGGAATGAAGGACGGTACAGAGCAAGCCTTCGTCCTTAGTAGAATGACGAATGAACTCATTGTTCAGAAGTAGATGGCTTACATTCGGGAGAGGTGTATTAAAGGAGAAGCTCTCTGGTGTTGTTCCACCTCGAGCTCAGACGGCGACACCGGAAAGTTGAGTAAGGGAAGATATAGGACAATCCATAGTGACCGGCGTCGCAAGAGACATGGAAACTGGTCGATCGGAGGGAAGGTTTCTGGACGGATCATGTGTACCTAAAATAGAACATGGACTGAGTGACGTAGGTTCCGGCGTTCCGCTCAATTTTGGCCTCGAAATCGCTTGAACTCGGAGAATTAATGAATGATGGCTCGGCGAGAAACCCGAAGGACTTGTCCCTGTTTGTTCCCTGTCATGGCGTGGCAGTGCCAGCAGTTTGACATCCTCCTCCGTCATCGGCATTTCAAGGAATGGCCAAGACTGGGGTTGACCGACTGGCTGAACCCGTTCGCATCTTCCTTTCTCCATCCACCTCGCGGCGAGATCTAACATGCAGAGCTTACAATGAATGCTATTCGCTGCGATAAAAGCCCTTATCCGATGATCCGAGGACAGTAATCCTCTCTCATCGAACTTGGCGGTACATCCGTACGTGTTAGTGCAACTCCACAGGCCTCTCCGTCAAGCATTGAACTCGGCCGTGTCATATATCGCATGACGCGGCCAAATTTGAACGATCGCACGCTCATGCATGGTGATCACCGCTCTGGGAGCTATCGAAAAAATCTGTAGAATCCATGTTACTGAGCACTTTTCCTAAAATAGCCTGTGGTGCCACCTCATTTCGTCGGAGTTCGAGGGGACTTATGACATTTGGACACCCTTTTCTTGACATCCTTCTCAGCACATGCACCTGCGTCACCGTGATGTCATGACAAATATCGCAGCGGAAACCCGAAGCGAGATGAATCCGTTGATGCTTCAAAAGCCCGCGCCGGAGATTCTCGAGCCGCATGCTCGGAGCTCTGACGAGGCAAAAGTGCTAGTAAACCGAGGGGAGATTTTGATCGTTTTCTGAGACGATGAATGGAGTGGAATGCGGACTAGGCTCGCCCTCTCGGACCAGAATACCGCGAAGCACACTATGATCGATCGCTCGAGTGATCCCTAATCCGACGCTTTCCACTGCTCAACAAGTCATCTTCTAGTTTCGCTCTGTGCTCGTTGAATATTTGTTGAGGGACCTTGCCTGGGGTCTCCGTTTTTTTTTTGAACAAATCTATCCATGTATGTTGCAGTTGCTAGAGATCGGACATGTGTAACATTCCCTCCGCGGGGAAGCATAGCGGAGACAGCAGAAACAGGATCCGAGATCCGCTTCGAAGCTCATGAACCTGAAGTAAAAACCGAAAGAACCGCAGGTACGGCCCACCTCCGGGAGCCATGCGAGAGCGGACAAGACAGTAGGAGATGAGTAGTGTCGAAGCATCGGCCAAACCTGTAACCCTGAGCAATGCATTCAAAACTGACCAAGCGATGATTCATACATGGAAGTCAAACACGTTGGGTTTCGGTCTTCATCCTCCGAGAAATGTACGTACGTTGCTGATTTACATGCGCAGTGAGCCCGGTGGCAGTCTATAATTATGCTAGTGAGCGGCATCAGAGCCAATCAGAGCTCCTTGAGCAGTGTAATGGATTTTTTATGCCTATACTCTTGGCTTCAGGCTCGTTGAATCCCTGATACTCGAATTGATTGACTCACAGTCTCCGCTGATGGCAAGTTTAATATTGAACCAGCTATCACGTGACTGCGGAACGGGTTCATCTCTTGTGCGCCGATCCGCGGTCTATCAAACGGCGCGATGTTCGCATGGAAATACATCCTAACTTGCAATCTCTTCCGGTAGAAGCTCGTGAATGTGGTCTGAGGCGCATGGCTACTTACCCAAACGCGAGCCATGGCTGGCTTCTTTGAGTGATCATTGTCTGTACCCCCCGCTTTAAGTAGACGGTGAACATCGAGTTGAGCACATTCAAACTTCTCTTCATTCTCCGTCTACTGTCTTCCACTCCTATCGAACATGTCGACCTCACAAGAAATGCTGTTTTTCGGGATGGAGATTGCCCCCGAAGTGACTGAGGAGCGCTTCAACGGTGCGAAAACCCATGTTGCACCCCCGGAGAGATTCATCTGACAACCTATATGCACTAATAGACTGGTACGACAATGAGCACGTCCCGCTCCGACTAACTCTCGCCGGGCTGGTGTGTATTCTCCTCCTGCTCTGCGCTCTTTCGTTGATCGCCATCGTAGAACGCCGTGACCCGCTACAAAGCCACGGACGGGCAAGTCCCCACCTGGCTCACGATGTACGACTGCGACACTGCAGCTGTGTTCACATCCGAAGCGTATGCCTCGATCGCCGCGCTTGCCTCCGATAACGAGAAGGAGATTCTGACCAAGATCACCGGCATGAGCCGCCGCATCTACCGGCACTTGTCGACGAATACCGCTCCCGGAGTTTCCGAGGAAAGTCTGCCGAGCAAGTTCGTTTTGGTGGCTGGCTTGGAAGTGTCGGAGGGTGACGAGGATGAGTTGAATAAATGGTGCGCAGTCTTGCCTCCGTTCAATCCATCGGATACTCGGATGCTGATTTCTTTGATCGCGTAGGTATTCCGAGGTATGACGTTTTCTCCGATACTGAGAAAGGCCTTGATGATCGAGCGCGATCAGGAACACATCGATATGCTTTCCAAAATTCCTGGCTGGAGACAATGCCGACGATACAAGATCATCGAGTACAAGCAAGTCGGCGCTGTCATGGAAGGAAAACCGGTCTGCAAGTATCTTGCCATCCACGAGTTCGAGAAAGGCGATTTTCTCCAGACACCCGAGCTGCAGAACGCAACGACGACCGATTGGGCGAAGCGTATGATGTCCAAGGTTGTCAATCATGAGAAGAGGGTGTTTGCACTGCACAAGGGCTGCAAATCTCTGAGCAAGTAATGTCTACCCTCATGTACTGCATAGAATCCGTTCAAGACAGGATCGGTATTACTTTCAATCCCAGATAAGATGACCGCCGTCCATCTTCGGCAATGTTTCTTACAAACGAACATAGAGAAAACTTGTGGTTGCTTGAGACAAGCTCCTGACTTGAGGTGGTTCAGATTGCCCCTGCCGCGCTCGTTGAACATTGAAGGCACTTACCTGACATGTTTAATGCGGCGACTGATCCTTCAACTGGGCGGTGCCATATATGGGCATTACTACGTAGTCAAATTTGATCAATTGGTAACTCGTTCAATGCAAAGTGACATTCTGGTCTTCGACTGGGAGTTTCAGGCAGCGATCGAGGGTAGAAGAAAATCTAGCGAGTCACAAAGGGACCGAACTTCGAAATTCGAAGCGAATTTCCGGGCAAGTAGGTAAATATTTCCAGACGAGATCGATGCGGTTATGCGCTCATGTTCGGGGTTGCAAATTGGTTAGAGAGTTTCTTCGCCTTCGATGTCCGAGCCCACCAAGGACACATCATCAACGTCGAACCATCCGGAGGTGAACGGTCCCAAGGGACTCGGCGCCCTTGGAAGCGCCTTGAACACTGTGTCCGACGGACTGACTGGACGTTTGGCGCAGGGAGAAAGAGAACGAGAAATGGAGTGAGGGATGGCACGAGCTTTGTCACATGCTCGAAGAGTGAAAGGTGACTGGAGCACGTCGTTCTCATAGTGCTCTCCATCCTCAAGTTCGGCAGCAGCCGCGGGAGTTCCGGAGGCTCTGTCCGGGTTGGGAGTGACACAGCTAGAGACATGAGAGACCTCTCTTTCTTCGACCACACCGCTCACGAGCTGCGTTAACACGTTTTGCATCCTTGGAGCTTCGTCCTCCCCACCTGCTTCGTCCGCCAGGTCTGCTTCGTTTTCTGGTACATCAGCTTTCTCAGCGAGTTCCTCGAGCAGCGCATGGACTCTGTCGAGACTGCCATGCTCGACCCATAAATCGAAGAGGACCTGAGGATCCAAACCAAACTGCCGCGAGAGAACGGTAAGGAACATGTTGACTGAGATCTGGAGATCTTGTTTGGACAAACGAGGGTAAGGGATGGTAATGCAAGGCGCAGTTGGGGTGATAAAGATGGGTTCAGTCGTGGTACTCGCTGATGCATGTTGAGTGCCGTCACTAGGAAGTACGTTGAAGACCATGCAGTTCCGACTAGAGGCTTCCGATACGCACTGAATTGACGGCTCAAGCTTTCGTCTTTCCGGTCCCGCAAGCGCCACCTCGCAATTCACGTCATACTCCGATCGGCGGCGCAAATAACGCTGTTGCCAGGACACAGCGACATGACGGGAACCCCACGAGGTCTAGCGGATCAGTCCGTCAGTTCAACGAAACGACCCGCTCGGATATAGCCCAGACCGCTGCTGCTTCCCGATGAACATGCAATCCAACCCTCTCCTCCTTCTTAAACTTGCACAAGAACGCTGCGAACTGCGAGTCTTCCTCGGACGTGAACTCTTTGCGCGTCCGCGACGGCGAACCCGAGCTTGGCGGCGATGCGATTCGAGTTGAACTTCTTCTCGTGCTAGCGCGAGATGGCATCTGGTTTGACTTGACTCGAATGAGTCGGAAATAGAAAAGGGAGGGTGTGGCAGGTTTGGCAGCTTCTCCCGAAATCAAAATCTCACTGGCCCGTGCAGGTAAACACTACCCAAACATTGCCACACTGCACTTTTGATGGCCACTCATATTCAGGTTTTTGTTTCAGTGACCAAGAATTCATTTGAAAACGAGTGCTGGGGTACTTACAGTACATGGGATCAGTAGTGCGCATGCACCACTGCGAGTCAAAGTGGAAATTCATGGCGGGGTATGTAAAGCCACATGTTGCGGACTATTGCGGGCCGTCTAGCTCAGCTGGTTAGAGCGTCGTGCTAATAACGCGAAGGTCTTGGGTTCGATCCCCACGATGGCCATCCTTTTGCCAATAAGTCGCGTTCCCCTTTCCCTGCACTATACAGCTCATTTCGCTGCTGCTTGTCAGAAGCCTCACTTTCTGTTGCAACGCATTCGCAATACGCGACTGGGCATGCAAATTACTCACTGCCGCATGAAATTTTGGTGACGCCCTTTTACTACCTTTATTCGGTTCATTGAGAGTACATAGACCGCTAGCTAGTTGGACACAACACGAGATGTATTACAGTCTAGGTCAAATTTTCTAGGCAGACATGGGTATAGATGATAGAAGTACACAGTGAGCGCTAGTTACATCAGTCCGTTGGCCTCCGCCCGGATCGACTCGTTCGAATGGTTATCGGGGAGTCGTCGTCACTATCCGTCTCGTCGTACACATCGCCCTGCCCGTAAGCCGCCTGTTCGCCATAGCTGTCGCTGTCGTCGTCGACGTCCCGCTGCGGCCCCGTCCGGGGGACGGCGATCATCCCCGCTTGCATCACCCCGGGGTCGGGCTCGAACAGCGAGTCCCAGTCGTCCTCAAGCTCCTGGCGGTGCTTCTCCGCAGCAATCGCATCGGCCATCCCGCTTCCCGTCATCGTGCTTCGTTTTGAGAGAGCGTCAAAGCGGGACGTGGTCGCGGACTCTCGACGGTCGGTCCAGGAACTTTTCGGCGCGGAGGTCGAGAGGGCAGGGTATTCGGCATTGCGCGGCACGTCGACAGAAGGTCTCCTGCCAGTCTCCTTTCCTTTTCCCTTGTCTTTCTTTTTCGTCTTTGGGGCGAGAGCCTCCATCGCCGGTGCAGACCGTGCATGACGACTGGGTCCGCTTTCCTTCGCTGGCCCGAAAAGGTTCCCGAGCCGGCCGCGCAAGCCAATTTTCTGCCCAACCTTCCGCAGGCTCCACTTGAAACGGGCTTCGTGGATCGCGTTGTCGACGTCAGCAGAGGATATCTTGATCGCGGGTGTCGTCCCAGCAAGCCACTCCTCCCGACGTTGAACGCCTTCCAACAACCAAGAGTCCTGGAGCGGGATTGGATTATAGAGAGGTGACACGAAAGGGCTGCGGGCACTCACCTGCACATTGTCCGTCTTGAATCGTTTCAGGGGGTCCTTTTCCAGCATCTGATTCAGAAGGTGGAGAACACCGTTGGACTGCCAGTGAACGGACTGAACGGGTATGCGCTGCGAGCTCATCGCACTCAGAGGCTGCCATGGTTCCTCACGGATGACACGATACAATAGCGCTTCATTCGCAATCTGGGATTGGCTTTCTGCTCGTGGAATGAAAGGAACACGCCCGAAAAGCATGCAGTAGAGTGTGACGCCAAGGCCCCAGAAGTCGACGGCGGTGGTGGTTTCGCCTGCGGGGCCGTCGCCGCCGGGCGCGATCTCGGGTGCCATGAAAGAAGGGGTCCCGTCGTGCTTGATCTTCTCCTCCCCTTCGACGTCCGGATCGGCCACGGTAAGATGTGCGATTCCAAAGTCGCCGATCTTGACATGCGTACGGTCCTTGGTCCACATGATGTTCCCAGGCTTTATGTCGCGGTGGATGATGCCCTGCGCGTGCACTCGGAGGAAGGTCAGGATGCATTCATGGGATTCTGTCCAACGCACAATACTCGAGCCCCAGCACCACATCCCTCGTCACTCGCCGTGCCTGCTCCATGGTCAGATACGGCTCGCTCTCGCCATGCTTCCACTGCAGCTCTCCACCCTCCATGAACTCCATGACTGAGATACCGTATCCGTCAGTGCAAAATAGCCAGCCTCAAGGTAGGAGATACGCACTGAGACATATGTTCGCCGACATCTTGTCGTCGATGAAGGTGCGCAGCTTGATGATGTTAGGGTGGTCGCATTTTTTCATGATGGCTATTTCCCGTCGAATCTTCTTCTCTTCCGTCCCCATTCGGTCGACGAGGTTGTTGGGCCGTGAGGTGCGCGGGAGGTTGATGCGATTCGGGTTATTGGCGCGCAGGATCTGCATCTGCGCGGCCGACTTGTTGTTACGCGCGATTTTTTTGAGCTATGGGCGTAAGCGCATTAGACACGTCAGTGGTGAGGCAAAGTAGGGAATAATGCCTAGGCAGACAGACGCACTGCGTAGAAGCCACTCTCATGATTCAGGCGGATGAGATAGACGGTCGCATTGTTGCCTTTGCCCAACTGCTGTAGCATGTCGAACATGATGTTGTCAGACTGCGCGGGAGCTGGGAGAGACTCGGAGGACGGGGCCGATGGAGAGGGCATAGAGTGCGACGACGCATGCAGAGAGGGACGAAGAGCGCGAAGAACCCAGCAGCCGTGGCTCAAGTACCGATGCTGGCGCCGATCACCCCCTGGACCCCGGACACCTCCGCCTGTCTTCTTACCACCACCATCAACCATGCAACTCACTGGAGCTATTGTACCCACCGACACCTGTTTCGCAGTCAACTGCGACAAGTGTGGCAAGACGACGTGGAAGGTGAGAGCTTTCGTTCGAAACACGTAATAAATCTCGAGCTTTACCAGGGCTGTGGCCAACACATTGAATCGGCGCGTATCAGAAAGTAACCCTTCGATCTCATATTCGGCTCACCTTTGGCTCTCAGGTGATGCAGAATGTGAAGGATGAAGACAAGTGCACCTGCAAGCGCGAATGAGTCCACCGAGAACCTCAATCCAAGCCAATAACTTGTAACCGACGATTGTATAACATCTGACGAGCTACCTTTTTGTACGCATGGGCGGTTTCTCACCCTCATTCTTTGCCCTTGAGTTTGCCCGACGGCGTTCCAGGATGCCCTCTGCTGCCCATTCTGTCTTTCGCACCTTCGGATGTCAACGTCACTTCATCCGCCGACATTGTTCCCATCAGCTCGCGTCGACATCGAGTCAGACCGGCTCGTGTTCAGCCTAATTCGGCAAGCAGCGATGAGAGCGTACATATTTCGGTGGGAAGAGAATGGAGCCGACGCACGCTGACGCCGTGTTATGGTCACCATCACCGTCGTCGGTGTCCAAACTATTCTCGAGTGCGCCCTTTTCGGCAGCCGCTTGAGTCAGAGCGCGCTCGGGTCCCGCTATCTCTCTTCCCACAAAGTGGCCACAGAACTACCCCACACTACTTCATAGGCCGCCATCGTCGATCTCTATCACGCGCGAACTTCCCATGCCAGACAACACATCGTGGAAACCTCCTGTTCGAGAAACACATCAATCTCCGCGGACCTGCGCGTTGCAGTCGGAGTAAAGAATCTCTCCATTTTGTTCTTGGTGACTCTGGCGGCTCTGAGCTCGTCTGACTACCTCGCTTGAGGTCGTGGAGATCCGGCAGCTTTCGGCCATCGTGTCTTGGTACTCGTCGGCCGGGGCTAGGACGAGACAGGCCTGCGCCCTACGGCCAACAGTCCGAGTCCGCTCCATGATATGATGAGGATGAGAGATCTCGTGCAGAACCTTCTCCTGATCACATCTTTTGGAAATTGTGTCTACAGCCCCCGGCGTTGGAGCTGATTTCTCATGGCTATGATTCCTTGATTCCCCGGCCACGCCGCTGAGATTGAATTCGACTACATGCATCACTCGATTGCCGCCGAGGGTGACCTTCCATGAATGCGGTCTGTCACCCCCAATCTTTATCTGCGAGCTCGGGCTTCCAAACACTTGTTTCTATAATCAAGTCTAGACAAGCAACAGTGCCTGGCCTCTCCTGAAGACAAAGGCAGCCGCAGCGCCATCGCGGAACTAGTGAAAGGCAAAATGACATAAGTACGGGGTCCTACTTCCAATGCACCACACTCTCTAACAGGGTTGCTGACGGCATGATTTAGGATCTTTGTCCTATCGTCCTTCCGCGCATTTTCGCCGAGTCAGAGATTTAGGCTGAGCGTGCGATGCCCGGGACGCCACCGTCTTGTCGGGCATGTGTATTTTTGACTCGATTGATACATGTCTATTTCTCCGAATCTGATTCAGGACTCGAGGGGACTGACACAAGAGATATCACAGCGGAGGTTCTTCGCCGAAACGTGATGGGGTGTTCCAGGTATACGTTGTACTGGTGGAAATATACAAACAGATACGAGCCAGTACACAGAGCAGGGTATTCAGGTAGTCAGATATTCAAACACTAGCCTGTTTCCGCTTCGACACATCGGTGACCCCTTCGCCATGCTTTCCAGCACGCTGCTTCCCGACCATATCGACATGCTCTTTCTGCAGCCTGCGGATGAGGACAAGGACGTAGAACCCAGCCAGGATACCACACGACCCAGCCGCGGCGGACGTAACCACGATCGTGCTGATGCTCGACTTGGTAAGCGACGCGTGCTGGGCCCCGAGAACGCTGGAGAGCGTCGACAGCACACCAGCGAGCGAGTTCAGGAAGCCGGGCATGAGGATCTTGTTCAGCGTCCAGATGTAATTCCCCCGCCAGCGGTATGACAGCCAGATCATGCCGCCTGCGCCAATCCCCGTGCAAGCCCAAGCGATGACAAATCTGAGGGTAATGCAATAAGATAATGTGCAGCAGCCAAAGATATCACAGAACGCACAGCGAGACGTGTTGGATAACGTTCAGAGCAAACGCCTCGATCCCGCCGAGATTCGTCTGTTGTTGCAGATTGCTGAACGTTCCTGGGAACAGCACGAACCCAGCGAGCAGGATCCACGTGAAAAAGCTCGCTAGCAGATTGCACCACAGCTGGGTCGGATCAGTCAGCCGCGATCCACGATAGACTGGACCAGGCCAGACGCGTCAGACCACACACCGGGATAGTGTCCACCGCCAACAGCATATTCACGTAGGGAGAATTGATACCGCTGTGCTTCAGGTCGTCCACTGTGCTCGTCAGCGCTGGAAGCACCTTCTCCTTCATCGGTACTGGTGGCGCAGGACGCTTTGTGTCGGCTTCGGAAGCGCGCGGCGCCGCTGGAACGTCTTCCCGAGTGCTGGCCAAAGCAGACTGTGCAGCTTCACCAGAAGCAGCAGGCGGGACCCGCGGTCTCGCAGCGGCGGCAGGCACGACTGTCGGCGTCTCGGACACCCTCGTGGACCTACGCTCCTCGGCAGCAGGGACCGCAGCAGGTGTATCCAGCAGTGGCGCGGGGATAGGCGCTGAGCCGGGAAGCACAACGACATTCTGCTGCGCAGCGGGGTCTTGAACGCCGACTCCACCCTGCGGCGGATCTGGTTCGGGTGTGTCCTCGACCTGCGGTTCTTCAGAGATGGGACTCGGAAATGCATCCCCCTCCTCCTCCTCCTTGACTTCCGGCTTCTGGGCAGAAAGAGTGCGAGCTAGCTGACGCACGTAGCCGTTGGTAGTCTGCCTGCGCGTGGGCGTTTTGGACGCTTGGATCTGCTGCGGTGGGACTGGCACAGTGTTGCTCCGCATCGGTGCACGGATCGTTTCATTCGGAGAGGCTGGAGGTGCACCGTTCGGGAGTGCCGCGGTTGAGTGGTTGGGTGTCAAAACGGGACTGTCCAGCGATACGAAAGACTGCGCCGCAGACGACGTCTCGGCATAAGACGATCGGGGGCCGTCGCTGACAGACTGTCCTGGGCGGAGGGTATCGCGGCGTGAGAAGTCTGCGGCGTCCGGGTCGGAGCGGCCTGCGACTGATTCATCGGGGGTTCTAAAGGATTGCGATAACGACGACGTGTCGGGGATAGAGAGTCTGCGTTCGTCTTGAGTCAGGGCCGGGTCTTTAACCGAATAGACAGAGTGTCCCCATCCAGGTTCGCTCTGTCTCCGCGCCGCCACATCCTTTGCCGTCGGGGCCTGCCCGGGATCTGACAAACGTCGTGCGGCCGATGGCGCCTGCGAAGGCCCAGAAGAGAAATCTTGTTCTTCAGTATCATACATGTCGTCAAAAAGATAAGAAGGAAAGGATAGACCAGAGGTTGTGCGACTGATAACGGTGCTTTGAGAGAAAAAGAACTAGGTAGCTGTTGGGGAACAGACGGCGGGAACTGCCCGGGTGTCTATAGCACTGCCACGGAAACCCTGATGATGGGAAGTATATCAATCACGATCACGTGTAGTGGCCACGAGTGGGTCCCAAATTCCTCTACTCAGCGCAAGAAATATTCTGGCAAGGGGAATATTGGAGAATCACGTCAAAAATGGAACCAATGCCTTAGAAACAGCCATTGGGGCTCTCTAACGCGTGGCCTAAGGTACAATTCATTTCCCATCTGCAGAGGCAACCGACGAAACCTGAACTGACACTGTTGATCTCTTCCGCTTTTGATCTTGAAAGACGAGAAGTATATCACTCGATAGGCACACTGTCTTCTCGGGCAATATTCTTTTTCCCGAAATTTTGACTCGCGACCCTCTGAACAGCTCGTCGTCAGCGTAAGCTCTAGAAATCGAAGATCAGGCAAATGGGCTCTTCCAGGAGAAGCAGTGCGATCAGGCGTGCGACATAGACACGGAGATCATCAGCAAATACAATGGCCGGGTTATACTTGCCACGATCGCAGTGGTGCGATGCAATCGCGCAGCCGGTCACTCTAATCTGGGTGTGCACATATCTGAGATAGCTCAGCCAACAGTCGCGTAAATGACATTAGGCTGGCAGGTGACTCTGAGGTGAGCATCAGAGCTACATCGAGGATCGCCATAGTCTTTCTCTCCTTTTCTATCAAGAATCCTGGAATGCATGACAAGGCGCGGTACCACATTTCCAAAACGACAGTAGCTCTCGATGCGATCGATGCACAGAAACGGACCGTAGATACCTAGTACACGGTCCGGCCCAGATACGAAACTCAAGCGCTTACAAGTCTCTATCCCCAAACTTCCTCTGTCACTACACCCCCCAGCGAGAGGTACACAGGAGCAGATGCGCAAATCGGATGAGAAACCCATGAAACAGGAGGAACAACTCTCCGTGAGCACACCGTACGCATCCTCTCCCGGACCCCAACATTGTCCAACTGCGCGACATGGTGGCAGCTGCGCTCATTTCTGATCCCCCACGCGCCACGACTTTCTGCGACATACCAACATCGGTGCGACCTACTCGTTCTCCGCATCGCAGCCGGATGGGACCGCACGCTTGGACATGCGCCGGCCCGGTGAAAACGTTCGTTCCACTTCGCGATCTCCGATATCGTAGCTCTCTATCCAGTCATTGTGGATTTCGCCCAACCGATTTCTAGGACGGATGTTGATTGCGGGGAGGTGGAGGCTGTGAATGCGGCAACCATAGATCCAGAGGTGCTGAACGCGCGAGGAGAATAAATTTCCGCAGTCACTTTTCCTATGCTCTCAGAGCAAGCATAGCTATCAAAACCCACGATATTTTCGTGAACACCTGCAGGTCATGCTTCTTACTGATTTCGGCCCATCGGGCCGATCTACCGTCTGAGTCAATTTTGAGTGTTGATGCTGCTCATGCGGTAGCTGTTCTTGGGTCTAACTGGCTTGCATCGGGATTGATGTGGCAGGAGGTAGGGAGAACGCAGTCGGTGCCGCGCGGGGCACCGACCCAGATTACGCATCAGTGGGTTTGATTGCAGACTGGTGAGGAGGCAGAACGGATATCTACGTATTCGTCACGCGTCACAGATTCAACCGATTCTTGTGTCGAAACTCGAACGCATTCAAGCAGACACCTTCCGGCTAGGACGGTCCGGTTGCGGCGCATATGATCGGACCGAACCCCCTTTTGGCACTGAATTGATCAACCATCCGAGACGCCGTTCGGGATGACTAGCCCCTGACTTCGCTTGAACCAACGGATGCTCATTGTGGATACCAGCGAACACTTTCCTCGTCTGCTTCTCTCATTCGCGATGACCTCGACAATTTCTCCCAATTTCTCTGTGGGCGCGGACTACAGGGAAGGTTCCGAAGAAAGCGCCAGGGAAGCGCGTGCCTTTGGAGCCTACTACACAGAATAGAGTTGGGCGGGTAGCATAGAATAGTGTCTCTATCACTCTACCACCGCATGAGCAGCTCTTCCCAGAGTGAAATACCCAGCAGCCCTGAGCTCTCTGCGGTTCCAGTCATTGCTTCAGACCACACTCTGAACATCGGATCCACACAACAAGCGAGGATGAAAAGTTGGGCGCTCGTGAATATGCATATATCTACCTTGACAAGGACGTCGTCGATAGGGCGCCGCGCTTCCAGATGCCAGACAGAAGATGGAGCAGGACGCATGTTGGTCTCACAGCAGATGAATTTATGACGCGGTCAGTAGGTTCTAGGGGATTTCACTTACACTGCATGTTTCGACTCCACGTCTGCAAGAGTGTACGGAACGTGACATCGACTGTAACATGCATCGCAAACACGTGACCGCGAGTAGTTGTAGAGTGACGTGACTGCGCGACCTTTCTTCCAACTTGAAGTATGGCACGACGACAAAGTTCAGCCTCGAGATCGTTTGAGTATCCTCTTACAATCCCCTACCTCCGCTTCTGAAGCACATGGTCCTCGAAAGATTCGAGCTCAAGATGTGACTGGCACCCCTGGACGCCGTCAGTCACTCAAAGGCGAAATCCAGATTGTCGTTCTGTCGGCGCACACATACACGCCTTCCGGACAGTTCTGCTGTGATCGCGCTCGAGCTTGGCTCCCATCAGGCACTATTGAATCGAATAATCCAAGACACTACGCGGTAACAGCGCCGGACCGGCAACGGACCGCTCTCAGGCGAGCGTGTGACCCATTTAAATAGTTCCCCACGGGGGGATATTGACACCGACACCCAGGTCTCCGGTTTCCCCACACGCCAGCCATCCGTCCTGAAGATGTCTGTCACCTCATCGGACCGCGAGAAGGAACAGAATGTGATGGTGGAGAACTACTCCGGAGTCTCCGATGAGCGTATCACCTGGCGCAAACGGTTCTTCGGCCGCGCGGACGCTTCGAACGACGCTTTCTACGACGAGGCGCTCGCCAAGTACGGCGCGGAGGGCGCGATTTCGCCCGAGGCAGAGCGGCGGCTCGTGCGCAAGATCGACTGGGTGGTGTTGCCGTGCTTGGCTATGGGATGTGCGTGTCGCAGCGCGTAGTGACGCCAGCTCGTGATTGACCCGACCGCTCCAGATGTGTTCTACTATGTGGACAAAACAACACTTTCCTATGTACGTCGCATGCCTGGTACATACACGCCTTCTGATGCTGTTTCCGTAGGCTGCTATCTTTGGAATCAAGGCTGCGAAGCCCAAGGGGCTGGGACTCGTCGGAACGGAGTACAGCTGGCTCTCCAGTATCTTCTACTTTGGCTGGCTCGCCTGGTCCATCCCCTCAAATTTGATCATGCAGAAATGCCCCCCGGCCACCTATCTCGGTGTGTGTCTCTGCGCAACCCTCTGACAAGGACTCACCGAACGCAGCCATCAACGTGTTCTTCTGGGGCGTGTTCCTCATGCTCCAGGCCGTGTCGCACAACTTTGCAACCCTCGCTGCCTTGCGTGTCATCTCAGGGGCCTTCGAAGCCATTGCTGATCCAGCTTTCATGCTAATGACTAGTCCGTGGTCCCCGATATGCGCTACTGCTAGTACTGACGATACTCAGGCATGTATTACACGCGCGAGGAACAGCCAAGCCGGATCAGCTTCTGGTATGCATTCAACGGAGTCGGAGTCGGCATTGGTGGCCTGCTCGGCTACGGCATCGGCAAAATCAAGGGCGACCTCACCAGCTGGCGATACGAGTTTATCATCGTCGGCGCGATCTGTTCCACTTGGGCGATCTGGCTGTTCTGGCGGCTGCCGAATTCACCTGTGTCGATGGTTTGGCTCACGCGCGAGGAGCGCTTGATGGCCGTCGCCCGCCTCCGGAAGAACCAGACCGGTATCGAGAACCGTGAGTTCAAGATGGACCAGGCGATTGAGTGCATGCTCGATGTCAAGACTGTAGGTTATCGCTGGTCAGTTGATTTCATGCGACTCACTTCCCGCTGTAGTGGCTCTTCCTTCTGCTCGGCTTTGTCGGCAATATCCCCAACGGTGGGATCAGTAACTTCAGCACGCTCATCATCCAAGGTCTCGGCTTCAACACTTGGCAGACGACACTGCTTGGATTGCCTCAGGGCGCGCTCGTCGTCATCTGGATCTCCCTCGGGGCCTATCTCAATGCTCGTCTTCCTCCCAACAGCAGGACGTACATCTGCATGTAAGTTGTGAATACAACTCAGGCGCTTTCCCTCGTACTGACCACAACGGTAGGCTATTCATGCTTCCCACCATCGCAGGCTCTCTTGGATTCCTGCTCGCCCCGGTGCACGCCAGCGGCGGCCGTCTGGTGTGTTACTACCTCACCGGCAGCTACCAGACGTCCTTCGTGATCGCGCTGTCCATCATCACCTCGAACACCGGAGGGCAGACGAAGAAGATGCTGACGAATGCGCTGATCTGGTTCGGCGCCTGCGTCGGCAATATCGCGTCTCCGTTCTTCTACCACTCGAATCAGGCGCCGACGTACCACCTCGGCATCGGCAGCATGCTCGTCGCCAACATTCTTGAGCTCTGCATCTTCGTTGTGCTCCGGGTTATCCTGGCACGGGAGAACAGGAAGCGGGAGCAGGCTGCTGCTAACGGCAAGGTTGTCGAGGAGAACGAGACAACGTTCAAGGATCTCACGGACAAGCAAAACCCCAAGTGGGTCGAGTGTCCGATCCGCCTTTCTTTCGCTGACTACATGTTCTTTCAGTTTCCGCTATGTCTACTAGCTTCCCGATCATCATCTATTCTCTCACTGTACACTATCTGGGCTCCCCAGCCCTCTTGTCCGCGTTCGGTCTTCGTCTTCGGTACGCTTATGTTTCTGGGTCGACCTCAATTCTGTTATGACATCACGAATGGAAATTTAAAAAAAAATGAATAAAAGTGACAAAGCCGCCTCGAGCGCGCTTGGATTGCGGAAAGAAATCGCCTCGTTGAGAGCCCGTGTTGTTGCAAGGATAAACTTGAGTCTCAGAATCTATCTATCTGATCGAACCGACACTGGCTTCGCCCTACCTATCACGTTCTTGCTCGTACGTTTCATACTTGCGTGATCCCATGTGTACTGGACATTAGAACGATTCTCGGCCCGGTGCCTATTCTTCGCGCGCCAGCGCCCTCCTGGCTCATCCCGATTTAGCAACTGAGCTGCCTAATGCGGCAGCCCCTTGCTATTGTGACTTTCAGGAGAGACCGGCATGGGTGTTCTTCGCTCCAACCCGGGCTTGTCTGGTCCCTATATCGGTGCCCAGTTCCTGGCTTTCTTCTGCCCTCCCACCCTCCTCATGTCCCTCACCCGCATTCCATTCCCGCCGCCGGGCCTCGGGCCAGAGCCGCCCAGGTCCCCGCGTCGACTGTAAGTTGCCCCCTGGTGCATCATCCGGCGAAGCGTGCGACTGAGTCGGCACAGCCGCGCGAGCTTCGCACTGGCTGTCATCCCGGAGATCCCTGTTACAGAGGAGGCGGAATACGACGATTGTGCGGTGCTGAGTCCGCGCAGTCCGCTCTCTACGTTCGTCATTCTCCCACGCGCCCGCATACCGAGCTCTGATGCTTTTGCCCGGCAGTGTTTCTGAGCGGGGGGAGGACGAGGATGTCCCAGACTCGCCGCAGAGCCTCAAGTACGTGGTATTGCCTTACGATACACCATAACATCTCACCCCATCCTCAGCTTCGCATCGGGCACACTCAACGGCCGAGTCGACAGCATAGAATTGTTTTGCGAGAGCCTCACGAAGCGGGTCAACGGTCTCAAGCAGCAGCTGGACGAGATGCGCATCGATGTAGTCGGGCTGGAAGGGACGATCCAAGGGATAGAGAAGTCCAGAGCGGGATCCCCTCCGCACTAATCGACGGATACTTTGTGTCCATTCGGGTCATCCGTCCCTTCGTTCGCACATACACTCCTTTGTTCAATCCCTGCTTCCTTGTTCTCTTGCTACGCCCCCTTGTAACAGTTTCAGTGGTACACACGCTTCACCATCAATGCAATTCATTCACTCATTTATGTCCAAGTGTTATCGCCGCGATATCGCGTCCCGAATAGAAACAACCCATCTCATTCAACCAGATATCTCGCCGCATGCCACATACGCTTTTTCTTCGGCACGCAACGCCGCAATAGAATGGCGAAACCTGTTTACACATGAGACTCGGTTGCGAGATGCGATGTACAATTCAGCTCACCTCGCTTGCTGATACAGATAATCGTGTAATGCCCTCGACTGGTCCAGAGCGTGGCGTTTGTGGATCATGGTGAGGGACATGCAGATCGCGATCACGGCTGCGCATACACGGATGGTGAACGTCATGCGGGGTCAAACGAAACGAAGCGAAACGCCAACTTACCTGCGACGATGGCCGATGCGGTGAGGGCGCTCTGCCACGGCGCGATGCGCAGCGGGGTCTCTGGTGCACTCGCGCATGCCCCAGAGACACAGTTCATCTGCGTGCACAATCAGAAACTTCAGCCCAGCGTCTTAGACCGCACTCCGGCGAGAAAACACCCACCAAGGTGCATTGACGGTCATTGACACAGGACGCACCGAGGGCCAGCGTCGGCTTACACGCCCCGCTCTCGCAGTAGAGCGTCGGGGAAAGGCAGTTGTCGCGTGTAACTGTCGTGGAGACCGGCTGCCCATCAGGCGCGATGTCGGTGTAGACCGTGTCGTCGGAGGTACAGCGTTCGCCGAGGGTCGCATTGGCGTACCTGTGTGGCGTTCAGTTCTGCCTTGAGCCTGGGGCAACGACGCGTGGTCGACTGTCACGCACGTGCAGATCGACGCTAGGCAGAGCGAGTTTTGCTGCCCCACCGAGGGAGGCGGCGGCGGAGACGGCGCGCACTGCTCGTCCCGATTCAGCTGGCACGCTCCACCCACACTGACCAGCGGCCGGCATCCACTGCCCTCGTCGGGACAGAACGACCCGCGCGGGCACATGGGCGGGAGAGCCGCTTCGGCGGGGAAGCCGAACGGAAACTCATCGCGGCGGCATTGGCGCGGGATGCACGTGGACGTGGATATATTCGTGCCGGAGCAGAAGGTCGTGTCGCTGCAGTCCGACATGAATTTCTTCGACGCGGGGTCGAGGTGGTCGTTGCTGGACGAGCAGCGGAGAGGGGAGACTGGGTTGGCGAGGATAAGTGTGCATAGCTGGAGTAGACTGAGGATGTGTCCGAAAGAATGCATGATAGGCGCGAGTTACAGGATGCTCCTCGGGACTATGGTCTCCTATTCATGACTGTCTTTCATCGCGGGGGATGACAGATGTGGCAATTAGAGCAACCCATATCTTTGCTGCATCATAAAGCTGATAGTTCTATCCCGAATTAAGCTCGACGCACCGCAGAGTGGACTGAATGGTGCTAAGCAGAGAGTTTGCACGTGCATAACGGATGATTTCCACGTGACTATATCTTATCTTAACGCTTTCACCACTACAGATTGTACTACAGGCCGGTCCCCAACGCCTCATTTGTGCCTGTAATGCTCTGGAGTATCCTCTAGATAGAACATCCGGGGGCCTTGCGTTGCGGTCCCACCATCCCTTCCCAAGAAACGATCACACTCAACTCCTCTCCATCTACAAGTCGCCCGACGCGAAAATCGCGTGATAGCTCTCCGCTGGGAGACGTTCAGATACCGTTGATTCCACGAGTGTCACGAAAGCAAAAAAACTGACCTCGCTGGCGCATAGCATGGACGCGTTCCGGTTTCGCAGGCGAGCCGTCCTCTTCGAAGAGATGCAAGCCCGGGTACTATCAAGCAGATGAGATGCAGGGCAGCACATAAAAGTAACACACACGGAGTTCTGTGCGACAGGAGGCGGCAAGCAGTACTCGATCTCGACGCCGTACTCGTCGGCCGACCACTGCTGCCCCGGCTCGGGGACGTTGTACACGATCGCGTTCATGCTCTCGATCGAGACCTCCCAGTCGTTGAAGTTGAAGGGCGACAGCAGCACGGACGAGGTTGCCAGGTTCGTAAGCGTCATCGCTAGACACGGATGATGTTAGCTCGCGCGGGAGCAGCGAAACGAGGTGCACGCACGGGAATCTTCTGCTCTGGGGATGTGGTGCATGCCCAAGTTGATCCAGGTCGTCAGATCCTTCTGGTCGAGGGACTCGCTGCGTCGATTGTGTAAAGGAGCTTCCCACATCCATCTGAGAACAACACCCACCCATCGAAGAACTTGAAAAAGTCGACCGGAGGCTTTCCGGGAAGGTTGATGTTCCAGAGCGACGACGCGCTGGGCTCCGTCTCCTTCCGGACCGACACAGCAAACTGCTGCTTGGCAAAGTTGACATTATGTTCCGTGCGCTTGTTGTCGAGGTTCGTCTGCGGGTGATACATGAGAAGCGTTGAGATGCGTTCGGATGGCCCCGCGTACCATGTGGATGGCAGAGACACCGGGGTGAACGACGTAGCCGCGAGCTGGTGGACAGGTAAGCAAACATCTAGCACCCGACGAATGCAGTATACTCACGGTTGCCCCAGCGGTTGTGAGCCTCCTTATTGACGATGAGGAAAGCGCCCTCCAGATTATGCGGGTAGTCGAGCAGCGCATCGCTCTCGTTTGCGACGTACTTGCGGACGATCTTCTGCTGGTTGACCGCGCCCCAGTCTTCCTCGAACCAGGGAAAGGAAGTGACCTCGTTCTCGAGAGAGATGGCCATGAACGAGTTCGCCGTGCCGGCGATATCGAAGTCGACTTTGTAGTTGCTGTTCGTTCTGTGAGCTGGTGCATTGAAGTATATGGACCACGCACATGACATGATCGTGCAGAGATCCCACTGGAAGGGCATCAGTAGGGGTGGTAATGGGCAGTGCAACTTCCCGACTGACTGTAAGTGTCCCTAATGCGGGTCCCGTAGTCGTGCTCAGATTCGGCCCACCACGCTCCCTGTAGATAGCCGGAAGCAGAAACACGGAGCTCGATGGAACCGTCGAGCTGGAACGTGTAGTCGAAGAGATAGTCGTAGTTCCCAACAGTGCTGATGGTGCGCACGACGAGCTCGTAGCCCTTGGTGGCGCCCATCTCGTCTTTCAGATAGCCCGTGTGTCGGCTGATCGGCTTGTTCGAGTCGCGCTCGAAGACGCAGATTGCGTCTTGCCGGATAACCGTGCCGGACTCGGCGTGGGTGATGGCTGGGAGGTATAGCGCGTCATAGGGGCAGTCGTAACCCTTGAACAAAGCCCGAGTCGCCGTCCCCATCCCGAATCCACCGTCCAGGAACACAGTGCTGGCCTGATGCGGATCGCTCCCGGCTGCGCGAATAGGTGAGGATCGCAGCTAACTTCCGACGAGAAGCTGTCAACGACTCACAGTACACCGCAAGCGCTTCCTGGGGCGCGATCTCGTAGATGATACGCTCGCCGCGGAAGTTGATGTTCCAGAGACTCATCCCCATGTCGCGCGCAAAACTGAGGTAGAACGACCAGCTCATCCACGACACGAACTGGTTCTTCTCATCGACCCGGTATCGAGGTCCATTGAACGACACCTGGCGGGGCCCCGCTCTCTCGTCTAGGTCTCGCTTGTCTCCCTTTCTAGCGCGGGCGGCCCAGCCCTCCTCACCAGGCTTGGCAACTTCGGGCGCCGGTGAGCGCTTGAGTGTCCCGTTACTGCAAGGGAGACGGTTTCAGTGCGGCAGACGATTTCATCCGGACCACCCACTCGTATGCTTCCAGAAAGCTGCTGACAGTCTTGAACATCTGGCTGTTGTATACTAGGTGCACAAGATACCACTCGTCGGGGTTTGTAGACGTCGTATCGACATATAGAAACATGTCGAGGGCGAACAGGTAGGAGCCGGGGACGTTCTTCTTGAGCTGCAGCCACATGCGACGGAAAGAGCCGTCGTAAGAGAACGGTGTGCTCGCACCAAAAACAAGTCGGCCGTCGCCAGCGGGAGGAGGAGGCGCATTCCCGACCTCAGAGTCAGAAAGCGAGCTGCCGAGGAGGTCGATGAGAGCATGTTCCATGGGTCCGAGGATCTTGTGGATGAACGTCTGTGTGTAGGTCCCGTTGAGAGTGTACAAACGAGCCGTGTAAGGAACATCCGGCCGGTTGTTGTAGATGTGGGTCAGCTCAGTAAGCTTGACAGAAGGAGAGGACAATGAGAGCGACGAAATAGTCTTCGGCAGAGGTCCGAGCAAGTATCTGCCAATTCTGGGTGGCGACAGACCTCCAAGGTTCAGGATTACCTAACGAGGTTAGAGGGCGCATCGACGACTGTGAGGGAGACCGACCTTGGCAAACCGCTCAGGTTCGGGACCAGCACCGTCCAAGTACGCGAGCGTAGCGTCCTTCGGAGGAGGAAAGTTCTCGATGACTTGAATCGCGTTATCACTGGAAAGCATGTCGTCAGTGACCGCTCTCCGAAGTGGAACCGGACGCGCACAAGTCGGCTGCAGCCATGACCCCCGTGAACTTCACCAGCTGCCCATCGATCTCCGTCTTCGTTGAGACCCACTCCCGTAGCGCAGCAGCCTCCTCCCGGCCGAAGTTCGCCCACACGTTCTCCCGCGGGGCGGTTATCGGAATCGGCGCGGTGTCCGCGCAAAGCCCAGGGACCTTGTCGAAATGGCGCGCATGTCCGCTGATCGCGCCGTTCACCGATGTCCGCACAGAGTTGGGCCCGAGAAGATAGAGTGCGGCGCCCGCGGAGACAACACCGAAGAGCAAGAGCATGCGCCGGCGCGCGATACGCGACGGCGATGGCGCAGGCTGCTGGGGGTACTCAGGACCTGGCACGGCGTCCTTTCGAGCTGGCATCGCAAGACAGAAATCGAGCTGACTCAGAGCCGGGAGGCGTGGGTTTTTGAATGCTCATGGCTGCTGCGAGGTCCTTATCGAAGTGTAGTTATCACAGGCATCATCATGATTGGCCGCGGCGATGACGCTGCGGTCCTGGTATTTCTGGCCCCAAAAGCAATCAGTCCGCCCACTTTCGCCCCGAAGTCGCCTCAAAGTGGGCAATTCATGTGTCGCGCGGTCGACCGGCTTTCTTCTTGAAACCGACATTTGCTGCGAAGGGCCGAATCGATGAAGCTTAGCCATCTCTCTTCTCTGTTCATCTGCAGATGAGTTCAGAAGTTGCTGCGCGTGGTATCCAGCCAGCACTTGGAGTACAGCTCAGCGCTCGCTGAAGGTTGACGAAGAGAATGTCGTTCACAAATCAATGATCTCGGGAGTCTGGAGGTTATCTCGGGAGGAGATTTAGAGGTAAATTCGGTGGTCCTAATCCGCAAGAAGAGACAGATGCGACTGTCGGCGCAGTGAGGTTATGAGATTATCGATAGGAAACAAATCTTAAAACCGACTCAATGTAAGTACTGTGATATCTCGATTCCTAGTCTCCGGACACCGTCAGGCGTTTTTCTTCCAGGTGCCACATTTCGAGCCTGAGATGGGTGTCTTGTATGCCATGCCAGCGACAAGTTGAGGAGCACATGCCAAAGCGCGCATTCTTTCACCAATGCATGCGGTGCGTCGGACACTGGTACCCGCCCGGGTTCTTGAAAAGATACAGTTGGTGGTAGTCCTCGGCGTCCCACCACGGACCGGCTGGCACGATCTGCGTAATAATCTTCAAGCCCTACGAGGAACATGTATATGACTGGGCTGAAAACGCAATCGGTCCGATGTTAACTTACCTTGGGCGTGAAATGCTTCGCTTGCACCTCCTCCGTGACACGCTGTGCAACCGTCTGCTGGTCCAGCGTCGTAGTGAAGATCGCAGATCGGTACTCTGCACCCAGTAAAGCCGGACAAGTGCGTATATCAGCCCGAGCGCGGCAAACCAGAAGAAAAAAGCAGAGCGCCAACTCACGCGTGCCCATATCCCCGCCCTGCCGATCGACCGTAGTAGGATCGTGCGTGCGGTAGAAGAATTCGACCAGCTCCGCATACGAGACCACGTCCGTGTCGTACTCCAGCTTCACCGCCTCCGCGTGATTCGTCGCGCCCGTGCACACCAGTCGGTAGTGCGGGTTCGGGAAGTGGTCGTTGCCCCCTGTGTACCCGACGGTCGTTGAGAGGATGCCTTTGCCGGGCGCGGGCTCGAGGGGGTAGTGTTTGCGGAAGATGTGTTCTGTGCCCCAGAAGCAGCCTGCACGCGAAGGGTTAGAGACTGAACAGTTGGACAACTCCTCCGACGCACCAGAGGCGAAGATGGCGACTTCCTTCATGTCTATAGTAGCAGGGTTAGCTCTGCACACCTTTGAACATACAGAACGCACTGGAACGGTTGATATCAGTCGAAAGAAGCCTGCGTGCGGAAACAAGGTGGCGGAGTCGAGGTAGCAGCATGAGAGAGTGGGCTGATAAAGCAGATGGTGGTGGTCATCTGAGTCGACATCGTGGGTCTGGTCAAGGTGATATCAGTCTGGGGTTCTGAGCCCCAGAGATCCTGACTTCAAATGAGGTAATAATGAAATGGAACAGGCCATGGGTTCCGGGTGGGCGTTTCTGGAAGAAACTAATTGTGATCCGGCAAGTCTGGAATTCGCATTCGGACTGGAACTCAGATAACATCAACGAGCCTCAGTCCTGGTAGTGAATTACATACAACGGCAGAAGCCGTGACTTTATCGTAGTATCAAGTCTTATATATAGCAGGGGTCGGGTACATGTGCGACCAGTACCACTTTTCGCAGGAGACTACCGCTTTTCCTTCACGAAGAACTGCAGCGTGAGATACGACGCGGTGATGAGCACCCCGAAAAAGATTCCGAGAAGAGCGGTGTTGGGCCACCAGAACGACTAGAAACAGGTCAGTTGATGTATGGCCGTCCGCAAAAAGGACCACGAACCTGAGCGTGTAACCCAAACGTCGACAAGATCAACGCAGCTGGAACATCCAGCTCGACCCCGTACTTAGTTTCCGTGAGATGCAGATACCTCAGCTCGTTCACAGCCAAGGCCTCGAAAGCCGCATGGAAAAACGATAGCGTGTGAAGCCACCGGAGGGCTATGGGAACACTTTCCCGATTGATGAGCAAGCCGGTGAACATCAAGCTGTGGGAAGTAAGTGACAGCACAGTGCTTGGTAAAACCCACACGCACTTGAACAACATGACCAGCGTCCCCACCAGCCCCGCGACGCTCGTGTTTGCAATCGCGATCGACAAGAAAAGCACCACCATGGCCGTCGTCAGATTGAAAAGCACCAGGATCAGCATAAACTTCCAGAATGAGACGACGCTCGGCACCAGCCCAACCAGTGGATACACAATCGCCCCAAACACGAGTGGAGGGACCACCCGCAACGGTAGAATGTCAAACAAGACTTTGGATGAGAAGTACGTGAACGTTGAGTAGTAGCCGTTGGCTCTGAGCTCCAATGAGTGGCGGAACGTCAAAAGCAGAGCGCACACGCACCTTTCTCGAATGAACAAGATGCGCTCGTTCGCAAACAAACCCAGACTTGACAAACACGAGAATCCAAACAACGCAAGCGTAAAGAAGAATAGCCCCAGTCGATTCTGAAATCCCGAAATGTCGTTTCTGTTTTGCTGGGATCAGCGGGGTACTGGTACGAAAACTCAAAACCACGCACGTCACATTGTGGAAGAACAAGCCGCAGATCACTGTATGGAGAATAAGCCTCTGCACACGAACTGGTGCGCGCAACTCACATGCGAGACCGATGGAAGACACATAATGTGCTGCGAGTAACGCTGGGTCTCGATACAGGTTCTTGAAAGCCCGACCACTGAGAATACGGAACTGAGTCCCGTACCCAGCTCGTTTCCTTCCCCGCAGCAACGTCGTCTCAACGGCCACATCAGGTAGCTCACCCGACAAGCCAGCACTAGCCCCACTCTCAGTCGCCCGCTGGAGAGCTTCAAACTCGATCCGAATCTCCCGAGCGACCGAACTAGAGGCATACGCGGCCGCCAGTTCCAGCAGTTTCGCCGACAGTACTTGATGGGGCTTCTTGTGCGCGGAGGACAGCGACATCGCCTCGAGCAGCTGCGAAGTCTTGCGCTTGATGAAGTTACCGGAAGCTGACCGGGTCGCCAGTTCCGTCGACTCGCGCGAGCTGCTTTCTCCATCGTCAATGGGAGACTCAGCATCCAGTGTCGGGCTGTCGTCGCCTTCGAGACTCGCTTGCACAGTCATATCGACTACAGGATGATATCAGTCCTGCGCAGTCCCTGCAGAGAGTTGGTTCACTGACTCAAGAAATCGGCGATATTGAAGCCCGGGGGACAGGACTGTCCTATTTCCGCGAAGTACGACTGGCACTTGTTGAAGTCACCGGAGTAAACAAGTTTGCCTTGGCAGAGTAGCACAAGCTGGTCGAACAAGGCCACTATGTTGCTCCGCGGCTGATGGATCGTGAATACCACAGTGCGGTTATAGTTTTTCGCCAAAGTGACGAGGCATTCAACGACGTTGTAAGCGTTGTATGCATCCAGACCTGTCATTCGTAAGTTAGTGCATGAGGACCTGGGTCAACTGTCCACGCACCACTAGTCGGTTCGTCCAAGAACAGGATCGAAGGACTGGTGACCAGCTCACACGCAATCGAAACTCGTCTCTTCTCGCCCCCAGAGATCGAACGCTGGTCTGCATTCACGTCAGAACGGTCTACATTCATCACGAATGCAAGGCGTACCGGAAGACCCAATTCGAGAATCTTTGATACCCAAGATGCCCAACTCGTTGAGCGTCTCTAGCGTGCGGAACTTCTTGGCCTCTAGGCTCATATCTCGAGGCAATCTAAGCAGAGCACTGTAGAGGACAGTTTCATAAACCGTCAACGTGCTCATCAGCGTATCTTCTTGGTCAACGAAACCGGTGACAGCCTTGAATTTATCGTTCGCCACTTCTCGTCCATTGACATAGGTAGTCCCACCAACTTGACCGCGCTTCGCTTTACGTGCGAGTATGTCCAGGAATGTCGATTTCCCGGCACCAGAAGCGCCCATGATCGCACAGACCTGCCCAGGCTTGAAAGTGCCAGATATGTTGTCGAGCAGGATTCGAGATCCCAACGTGTAGGACAGGTTCTCGAAGTGAAGAGTCGCAGGTACATGGTCGTTCATCAACCGAGACTGTTCGTCATCGGCAAGACGGATGTGGCCAAACTCGCCGCCGCTGGCCCGGCCTGCGTACCAGAGTATGGCCGAGACGAGTATCACGACGAGACAGGCACCGGCGGCGCTGAGTGCAACCCACTTGGTGCTATCTGGCTTCGGAGGACGCTGAAGGGATCATCAAGCTTGGGCGACAGTTTGGGCAGAGATACATCATACCACATAACCCGGCACTTGCGAAAAGTGCAAGCATTCGCCTCCCTCGCAATCGAGGGTGATGTAGGGATCACCAAAGATGTCACTAATCAGCTCGTTCATGGCCGGCTCCTCGAATCTACATCCATCACCGGTCCTGCAGCTGAACGTAGCAGGGCCGCGGATCTCTTCCTTGAGAAAGTCGTCGATGTCTAGATCATTGACGCGTCAGCGCATTGGGACACGTCGTCAGTCTCATTACGCACTAACGCTGCCGTCTTCTCCGCAAATGAATCGGTTGGCGATACAGCTGCACTTAATGTGATCGCATGCATAGGTGGTCGTGTTTCGTGCGTAATCGATTGTGGTCGAGGACGTGCATGTGTCCAGAGAGCAGTAGAATGACTCGACCTGGTCCACCCAGAACTGGAACGCACAAGTGCTGTCTCCGGTATCGCAGCTGAACGTGACTTGCACCGGCCGATCGGCGCCCACTTGGTCAATGATCTTGCGGTCTACCGGCAATAAGGTCACTGTTGATAATTCGAAAGCGGGAACTACGCACTGGTGACGTTGCACATCTGGTGGTTATTGAAGACTGTTTCGCCACCCGTGTAGCACCGCATGTCTTCCGGGTCCACCTCGTCCTCATCGTTGGTGGGTATGCCGCCCAATACAGGGAAGCTCCCACAGGCCTGATTCGTTTTACACACTGTCCGCGAGTCAGACGTCTGACGGGAGAAGGGGGCAGGCAGCCACAGACCGTTGCAATTGATCCCACCCCACCCTTCCTTGCATTCACACGCTCCCCCTTCCCTTAGTCTCCGATGGTCCCCGTCTGCCAACGAATCGCATTCTGTAGACGGTTCATGCAGTCAGTGCTCAGTGCTAGTTGTCTGACCTCGAAAGCACGTACGCGGAATCAGACAGTCGATGCCTCCCCATCCCGCAGGGCATTTACACTGCCCATCGTACTCGTTACATTCTCCGTACTGACCGCAAGCGAATGCGGGCAGCTGGCAATTGAAGCACGGTGGGCATTTCTCTGGACTGTTCGTCAGGATCGAGCAGTCAAGCTGGAGGTGAGCAGGCTGGGATTCGAACCTGGAGGGGCGTTGGACGAAGGACCCTGCCAACATGTTAACGGTATGATTCGTAGGTACGAAATCAGACGCTCACCGTAAGCTGATAAGTGGAGAGCGTCACGGGGCGAGATGTAGAGTTTGAGCTAAATGTCGTTGCGGGCCTCTTCGAGGCTACTACTACCGCGCTCAGAAGCAGACCCAGCAGCATCCGTGGCGCCATGGGTGTCCGAATGCAGAAGGGGGGATGCACAGTTCGCGCAGGGCGGTGACCCTAACCCACCCATGTGACCCGATCATTTGATGGCCGCGGCAGATCTAGAAACGCGGTGGTCACAGCTCATGTGATCGTGACTCTGAATCAGACCTTCAATCCCTCGCTCTGCCAGTGACTCCAAAGCTCAGTCTTGTCCGAATCAACTGTGTCAAACTGACACGAATGCTGGATACACCCAAGACCCCTGTACGACGCTCTAAGCGTGGACAACCCATTGCTTCTCCGTCCAAATCCTCGAGACGTGGTCCTCAAGACAAATGGTCGGGTTCCTCGGTGCACAGCCGCGCACTAGAGCCCGAACTCGATTCGTTCCCCGATTCTACGGACCCTTCTGAACTTGATCCCGACCAGGACGCCCTGAAATATCGTGCTGTGTTCTACGACGCCTTCGAGCGCGGCGCGGGTACATCCGCTGGGACGTTCCACGTCGGCGACGCGGTGGCAGTGGAGACGGAGGCCTTGTATCGAGCGGAGAAAAAGCCAAGCATCGCTGTCATTACTGCCCTCTGGGAAATCGTGAAGGAGGACGAAAGTGAGGATGTGAGGAGCGACCGCAAGATGCTCGCTAGGATACATTGGTTCTTGCGGCCTTCCGAGCTTCCTAAGATCGGTGCGAAACGCACACATCTCGAGGTGTGTTCCACTGCAGAGGATACACCTATTCCTGACGTTCATAGGACGAACTCTACTACTCGCTCGATTCACACACAGTCCTTCCCACAAGCAGCATCCTGTCCACATGTCTGATCTCTGCCACGGTTGCGCCTCCCGTCCTACAGGCATCTCCCATCAAGAAGCGTTCACGCTGGACCTACGCAGAAGACAAAAAGAAGGTCGGCCCGTTCGTCTGCAGGACTGCAGTGGATTCCCGACGCGGATTGTTCTACACATTCGATTGGGCGGAGATGCGTCGGAAAGCATTGGAAGCGGAGAGCAAACGTTTCGGGTCGGGCGAGCAGTGGATCGTGAAACCCGAGAAGAATCGCGCTCCACCCAAGAAGAAACGGAAGCTCGCGGTCATCAAGGAGGAAGAGGAATCTGGGGGCAGTGAAGACGATTCCGGTCGCTCGAGATATGAAGCTGACAGTGCGGACGAATCTGACGATGAAGGTCTGAGTGACGGTGCATCAGATAGCGATGCCGGAGGTAGTGACGACCCCGACGGCGATGATGATGACGAAGAGATAGAATATACCGGTCCAAGGACGCCCAAACGGAAGCGCACCATCGTTCAACCCACCCCGCACTCCAAAGCAGCTCTCAGGAAGCGACGGCGAGTGAAAGGAAAGTCTACAGCAAGCCCCGCCTCGCCCCGGAAACGCAAGTTTGTATTTCGAGACGGCAAGGGTATTCTGGAGTTTGACGCTCTCGCGGATATGCCTGACGATCCCTGGCTTCGGACAATGCACGTCCTGCATGTAGGCAGTCGACCGGACACCTTGCCATGTCGCGAGGAAGAGTTTGATCGCATCCTGGGCTCGGTGGCTGATCTGCTAGAGGAAGGCAGCGGGGGGTGTATATGTGAGTTGTGTTGGATCATCGAGGCGCGCAGCTCACTCTCCCTCCAATAGACATTTCCGGTGTCCCTGGCACAGGAAAGACGGCGACTGTACATGCTGTCGTACGTGAGCTCAAACGAATGGCAGAAAACAACGTGCGTGGCTGTTTAATTTGATTACGCTTCTGCTGACATCGCACAGGAGACCAACCCGTTCACATATGTGGATATCAATGGCCTTCGAATACCTGAACCTGCTGCGGCATATAACATCTTGTGGGAGACTGTTTCCGGGCACGACGTCGAGAAGGAAGGCCACCTACGCATGAGCTCGAAGGAGAGCCTGAAAGCTTTGACGGCGCATTTCAGTCGACCAGGCGGCCGCGGTCCCGGAGGCCATGCCTGGTTTGTGATGTTCAATTCACTTCGCTAGGAGGTGGCTGAATCTTGAGCAGCGTGGTTCTGATGGACGAGCTGGACCAACTCATGACGGCAAAGCAAGATGTGGTGTACAACTTCTTCAATTGGCCAACGCTGGCCGGAAGCAAGATCGTCGTTCTGGCTGTGGCAAACACGATGGATCTTCCGGAGCGTGCTATGACAGGTCGAGTGCGGAGTCGCTTAGGTGGGTTTGCTCTGATCTCTGGGTTTTATCTGGGACTGAAAGCGAGCACAGGAATGACTCGGATCAACTTCCAGCCCTACACAGCTGCACAGCTGCAAACGATCGTGGAAGCACGGATTGCGAGAGCGAACGCACCAGACGTCTTTGCGTCGGATGCGATCCGGCTCACAGCGAAACGGGTCAGCAATGTCAGTGGAGATGCTCGACGGATCCTCGATATATGCCGGTCCGTCCACACTATCAGCGGGTATCTGTAAGCAGCACCACTCACTTCTGCCAGACGAGCTGTCGAGCTGGCGCACCAAGCTCGGAAGCCCACGACCATCTCGCATGTGCTTGAAGTGACGAAGCAAATGCAGAACAGCCCGACTGCAGCCTACCTCGGCGACTGCAGTTTCCACGAGCGGCTGGTGCTGATCTCGCTAATCAAAGTGATCAAGCGCCAGGGTGTCGACGAGATCCCGTGGTCGGAGGTGCTCTATCAGCACGAGAACTACGTCAAAGTCGTTGAAGATCCGGAGGTCACACACTTGCGGCAACCAACACAGCATGAGCTGGGTGTTGTGCTAGAGTCGCTGGTAGCCTGCCAGGCACTGATCATGGAGAGTGGCACTACGGCACTGCGCAAGCCTCTCGGGGAGCGCAAGGTTGCCTTGGCCCTCGAGCAGAGCGAGGTCGAACGAGTGCTGGGCGATGTCGGCGGCGAGAAGTGGAGGAACCTTCTCAGTGGCTAGCCCCCTGTTGTATCGCTCGCATATATGCACACTGCTGGAACTAGCGCGCAGCGCTCCTCACAACCATAGTCTCCTACATCCTATGCTGTCAATCTCCAGGCTGATCATGAAGAGAAGGGACGATGAGGATCTCCCGGAGCGCGCGTCGGCTTTCATTCCAGAGGACTTATGACTGGTGCTCTCGCTCAAGTCAGAGTCCTTTCACGCAGACGGTGACTCTTACTTCCCAATGCCCATCCCTTCAGTGCCATTGTGCGCAACATTTGTTACATGCAGTGAAGAGGCATGCCATGGTATTATCCCATAGCGCATCCAGCCCGAACCCCGTGGCTGCGGCGCAGGCATTGCATTCCCAGCCAGTAAGCTCTTACTTTCAGCCGCGATTTGATGGCATCGTGAGCGGCTCTTTACCGTAGACATGACTAGGGCAACGATTCGGGTTGTTTGACTGCTCCAGCTCTAGAGAGGAAAGGTAGAAAGGACCTCGACAATCGTGCGACATCAAAGCGTCTTTTCACTCGAGATCCGGCAGCGAATGTTTCTCCACACGAGAAATCCGACTCGCTGGATTCGTACGACTTCGTATCAGAGCAGACTGGGAATGGTTGACGAATGAACTGACTCGAAGTAGCGAAGCACTTCAGCCTTATGATGGGGAAACCCTCTCGAAGCATTTTTACTCTTCAGAAAGGGGTTAGAGACAGAAAACGCCCAGGCAAAGTCTCAAATTATTGCAGGGAGCAGTGGCTCTAAAGCTTCACGTCTCAGCTGAAAAATCTAGTGTTTGCTTTTTGAATGCTTCACGCGGGCTGTTAGCGCAGTTGGTAGCGCGTCCGCTTAGCACGCGTCCATGCGGGAGGTCACCGGTTCGACTCCGGTATAGTCCATTTTGCCCCTTCGCTAGCGTTTCATTTTCGGCTGTTTGAACAGTCGTCCCTACGCCGCTCTTGCCAATAGTCTCCTGTACTAATCATTCGCACCCAGCCAAATTCGACAGGAAAATCGGTATTCATTGTAAAGAATGTGCTGATGTTTGTGCCTATGTTATGTACAGACTATCTACAAAGCCTGTAAACGACCATCAGCCAAGGGTCCACAAAACAAAAACACAAGGAGGATACAGAGAAGGACTGACCTGGGTGGGCAGAAGGCGACCTGACCTGTGAAAAGGACATGAGCATTAATCGACATGAAGGTACGGTAATTATGGAGATTGTCCAGGTGCACAAGTATAGGTACCATAAGCCATACATCAATAACACAACAGCGGGTGGATGGGTTAGGTTACATTGGGGGTCGTCAGCATGAATCGTCAGTCGTCATAAGCAAGGTGAGCAGGTATAAATCAGGGGTGTTGATGACAATATGCATGAGCTGGGTGGAGAGGGAAAGGGACATGAATGTGGAAAGGGGTATCGTGAAAGAATGTACAGCCGGTTCAGGACGGCCAGCCTCGCGCGAGTCGGACGGCACCGCCTCCGACACGGCCAAGGAAGTTCCAGACAGCGTCAGCGCCGTCATTCGAGAAGCCCTCCCCAGAATAGTGCATCGTGTTGAAGCTATTCCAGACCGCCCGATCGTAGTGCGTCGGCCCACCCGGCACACTGTAGTGCGGGATCATCAACGACGGGCCGATCAGCAGAAACACGAGCACGGTCCCGCCCACCCAGAAGAAGGGCGACGGAATCGCAGGCAACGGGTTCGCATTGCTGTGTGCCGATCCTCCGCCGTAAACGTACGTGTTGTAGATGTTGTAGAACCGGCCACTCCGCCGGCGGGCGTTCACATCCGTCGGCACACGAGGCAGTCCAGTCGACAGCGAGTTCTCCAAGATCTTGTCCACCACCTTACACGACACACCCAGCTCCTCTTTCAGCGCACGCCAGTCCTCCAGCGCATCCATAGAAACGCCGCCCGGAACACCCTCCTCGACGCGCGCTCCCGGGTGGTACTTTTTCAGGGTGGCGACCGTCACACGCCAGTCGTGCTCAGCCTGCTCCTCTGCGGACAGCTCTTGCTTGTAGGCAGGAGGCGCGTCGATCGGTACAGAGCTTGGCCCGGGTATGACAGGTGCAGCCTTGACTTCCTCGGGCTCCGTCTGGATTTCCATCTCCGCAGTATCAGCGGGCGGTGCAGGCGGCTGTTCCACGGTCGGCTCGGTTTGGATGATCGTGGACGCAGTCAAGACTTTCTCAGTCTGTGAGCCTCCAGACACGAAGAAGAGTTCTGGTTCATATTGAGTTCCCGTATCCGAATAGTCTTTCACTTCTTCAAACGTCCGCGTCTCGATCTTGTTCGCCCGGCTGGTGACCTTCTGAACGGGACGTTAGCAGACGAGAAACAAATATTCCTCAAGGCAGCACCCACTCGTTTCTTCCGCGTGATGATCGTCTGAATCACGTCCTCGCCCTCAGTGTCTTCATCCTCCTTCGGGGTAGACGAATCATCGTCTTCATCGTCTTCGTTCTCACTCTCGCCGTCCATCCCGCCCCAGCCTTTCATCTTGCCCAACAACTCGGCGCCGAGGCTCTTGCTAATACTGCTGGGTGCGCTGCTCTGGCCGCTCGGCGTTCCTCCGAGGATCGCGCTGTTGCTGCGCATCTCGTCTAAGTCGTACCGCATCCGATCGATCGTCTCCTTCAGCAGCATGTTCTCCTGCTTCTGTTCATCTAGCTGTACGTGGGCCTGGTTCGCGACAACCAGCTCCTGCTCCAAATGCGCGATTCGGTCCTCGTAAGCTTCAGCCTCTTTGATGTACCGCTGGATCTCGATGTTTGATAGCGCAGCCTGTTCACGTAAAGTCCGAGCGACGTCATCTCGCTCACGCAGATCCTCGCGGTACTTTTGGGTGGACGCCAGTTGGTCAGCATACTGACGGTGCAGGTTATTGTAGGTTGCTTTGGATGTTTCCAGCTGTTTCGAGACTTTCACCACGTCGGCTTCCAAGGCAGCTATCTGCGCTGCGGTGGAGCGCTGATGGAATGTGTCAGCAATGAGCAGAAACACGAAGGCCAGACTGCCGCACCTCCTTTCCTCGGAGCTCCTTCTCCTCCCGCTTGGCTGCACTCAGCTCGTTGCGTGTTTCCTCGAGCGTGAACTGCAGATCTTCAAATTCAGCTTCGTGTTCTGCCAGCTTTCGCTGCATCAGCCGTTCCGTTTCCGCAAGCTTGCGCATGAGGTCCGCGTTGGCGCGCTGCAAAGCCTCCATTTGTTCATCCGGCATCAAGCTGACGTTGCTCGAGGTCGTCGATCGCGGAATGACCATATCCCCTGCATGTTCGTCATCGCTGTCCGAGCCATCGTCATTGGCATGGGGCATGGGGAGCGAGTTGAGGCCCTGGCGGAGAGTGAAGTCGTACTCATCCGCATCGTCAAACCGGTGATTGCCCCCGCGCGAGGGGGGCCGAGAACGGGCACCCATGGGAGGCGAGCCGATGGAAAAGGACGAGTCCATCGAGGGCGACGTGGGATTTGAGGGCGCTCGGCTTCTACCCCCAGGTCGGTTGCCATAGGCACTGGGACCGACGGAAGACTACAGCAAAAAGTTAGCGCTAAAAACGAGGTGATCAAAGCGGACGAACCTCCGAGTCACTTCTGCTTCCTGCATCACTCTTCCGCCGGTGATGGGGCGGACGCTTCTGAGAAGCCCAGCTCGAGGGTGCGGTGCCACCGAGTGGGGTTGAGCGCTGCCGCCGCGAGGTGTCGAAGGGGGAAGCGGCGGACACCGGGGTTTGTGGGCCGCCGCGCGAGGGGGGCCGGCTGTGGTTCCGGTGCGTGCCGACAGAGTCTCTACTCGACGAGCGCGAGCGCGCGTCGTAATCTCGTCCCTCGCCGCGCCCCCGGAGCTCGTCTTCCACCTGCATTTCTTCGTCGTTGTCGAGCGCGTCGGGGGTATGTGGGGGCGTCGAGTGTTTTGTCTTCGCCGCAATGAAGCCGAGTGTGAGCTGGGGCGTGACCTCGATCCCCGGGTTCGCGACCACCAGCGCCTGCAGCATCTGCATCTCATCTTCGGACATCAGCTCGACTCCCCCGAACGTGGCGGCGAGCGAGCGAAAGACGTCGGCCAGCGCGTCTGCCGGGATGCTGGGGGTGCCATCTTCCGAAATGGTGGCTTTCGGGTGTTCGGCGAAGGCGTTGTTCAGGCTAAGCTCAATGTCGGCCATTGAGTCGCGGTTACGGCCGTATGAGTGGTCGGACTGGGGAAGCATCAGTTAAAGCTTTTACATGCTCACGCCGCACAAACCATGGTGGCGGCTTGTCAGTGGGGGGCAGGTGCATAAATGAGAATGGATGTTGTTGCTGTTTGAAAGCGGATCGGACGCTTAAGCCACCCCCCAAACAATCTTTGTTTGGTCTCGATTGGACGAACTCGAACATTCCGATTTGTTCCTTCCGTGTGACCATTGCTGGATTGGTCTGGGGTTCACAAATAGAAAACGTTGTATGCCGGCAAAGTTCTAATTGTCAATGAGGCCACCAAAGTCCTGGTCCAGCCGGTCTTGTGAGCGGCCATGGCATGCATCTTCCTTGCTTGACGTTACACGTGCGACAGCGGTAGAGCTTGCTTATGCGATGATCGCTACGTCATAGAGCAATTCTTCTCCAAATTCTTGGTGCTCTTCGGTGCAAGATCATCCATCGTGGATGCAAAGAAGCCTTCTCAGACACTCACTCGCATCTTTCTCGCGCGTTCAATCAATCTCCCTCCGCTTCATGTCGACGACCGAAAGAAAAACCGAGCTCGCGGAATCGCTGGCTGAGATCCGCGCACGGGTGCAAGACGTTACGAAGCCCACGAGCACCCCCACTCTTGTTGCCGTATCAAAGTACAAACCCGCATCCGACATTCAGTCGTGTTATGACCTGGGGCAGCTCGACTTCGGAGAAAACTACGTGCAGGAGCTGGAGGACAAGGCGAAGGAGGTGAGGGGTCGCGTGGGCACCCTCGATCCCAGCTGACTTGCACGAGCCCAGCTTCCTGCAGATATCAGATGGCACTTCATCGGCACCCTGCAATCCAATAAAGCGAAGATCCTAGCCGGTGAGCGCCAGTGACATACGCATAGCAGGCTCTGAGCACAGATCTGATCTCTTGCAGCCATCCCCAACCTGTACTCGATCCAAACTCTTACGTCCGCGAAAACAGCCACGGCTCTCAACAAACTTCTGCCGGACGAGCGGTCCGAGCCGCTAAACATCCTCATTCAGGTGAACACTTCCGGCGAAGACTCCAAGTCCGGCCTCAACCCACTCGATGCATCAGACGCCGACGCCGACGCCGAGCTCACACAACTAGCCAAGCACATCATCTCGACGTGCCCAAAGCTACGGCTTCAGGGTCTCATGACGATCGGTGCCATCGAGCAGTCGCTCAGTGCGGGTGACCAGAACGCCGACTTCGATCGACTGGTGCGCACACGGGATGTGTTATCGGGGGTGCTTGAGAGGGAGTTTGGGCTGAGTGGCTGGGGTGCTGATGGCAACGGCCGTCTGCTGTTGAGCATGGGCATGTCCAGCGACTTCGAAGCTGCTCTCAAAGCCGGGAGTGACATAGTCAGAGTCGGGACGGGCGTCTTTGGCGCTCGAGCCAAGAAAACATGAATCTACCTGCCATCGTACTCGTTGTTCTGACCACGGATTTGCTCACGGATCGATGAATCTACGACTGTTGACGCGCCCTGATCGGCGATCCAGCCTGATCGAATGGCAAGACAATATGCGAATTCATCCCTTGGTCTTTCACAAGGGATCAACTCTGGGACCCACTTCGCCCTCGTACTAGCAAGCTGTTGTGCTGCAAATCGGGCCGATCCAATTCGGTGGCCGATTGCCCTTTTGTATAAGAGAGGCCGATCGCTTCTGACACCTAACTAGGATACTCACGATCATGACCGAAGCCCCATTGCACCGGCTATCGAAAGCATTTCTGAGACAGCCTTTGCGGCAGCCACCCGCGTACTGCACCGTCTGCCAGTTGGGCTCGATGTCGATCTTCCCTAGTCGCGCGTCGGGAATGCCTGTCACTGGCCAGCGTGCGGTCGGGCCCCTCCGCCCAAAGCAAGCTCAGATTTCCACGGCGGACCATGACAACAGCGACGCACGGCTGCGCGTCCAAGGGTAGAACTGGCTAAGTTTATTACGGCCAAGTCTTGTTGACTCGACACCTGCGTTAGTGGTTATGTTTCTATTAGATGATTCTACCCACCTCCGAATGAGCGGGTCCCTTGAGTGTCATAGTAGCCCGAGTCTTGAAAAAGACAATTGTTCCCCGCAGTGTTGACGGGGTCGGGTCTTGTACTAGACCTAGACCCCGGGGTCTTGGGTCGGGTCTTGGTCGGGTCTACCCGTTGACAATTTTTGGCAAGGTCTACTGGGGTCTTGTCCCAATTGGGCAGCTTCGTCATGGAAGAATCATTTTTGCTCACGCCCAGCAATGTGCAAGTCAAAACCACTCATGTTGCAAGGGACACCTGGGACTCATCGTAGAGTTGAGGGCTGGTCCTGGGCCACCTTTGAAAAAGGCCCCATGTTCAAGACAAACAAGATGAAATGCGAGGCGCGCTGCCTTGGGGAGCTTGTGTAAGCTCAAGCAGGCCGCACTATGTGCAGAGCATGAGAAAAACATTATTGTGGAAAGGTTTTCTCTGAAATGTGGAGACTAGTTACTGTTTGAATATCATCAAGTTTGTCCTAATTAAGAAATGATCCAAACATGTACACACTAGCTAGACCTCACTAGACCCGAGGTCTTGGTCGGGTCTACACAGTGTTGGAAGTAGTGGTCTCACGGTTCGGTTCGGTTCGGGTTCGGACATTTTTTTGCTGAACCCGAACCCGAACCACGGTTCGGTTCGGCCAATTCTCCGAACCCCGAACTTGAACCACGGTTCAGGTTCGGACGGTTCGGTTCAGCGGTTCGAACCGGTTCGAACCGCTGAACCAACTTTTCATAAGAATATGGCATTTTTCAGTCCAGTAGGACTCAGATGCAAGGAAATCATGTGTAATAAGTCTACAGATGTAAACAGGCAGATCTTGACAGGTTTTGAAATCTTTTTGGACAATTTGTCAGGGCATACTATCATTGACCCACTTCTGCAATTGCACCCTGATCTGCAATCTGTGATAAACACTCATTTCCTGGGCTTCCACATCCCTCAACGTGTCCCGGATGGACTCCCAGAGATTATTATATAGCTGTTCAATGCTCCTGTAAAATATATATATTCCATATTTTGAAATAATTAGACCTGAGACCATAAACCTACCTTCAGAACACTTTTTTACTCATCTTGACTCAGAGATATCGGATTTCGATGCGGAAAAAAGCTCACACCCTTATATTTGCTACTGGTAATGCATGGTTAATATATCCTGAGTCCAGTCCTCGCAGTTCATGAGAACGGAGCATGCATGACGGAGGCCATCAATTTTCAAGTCCCGTGTGCAATAACCGAGACCCGCCTCCAGTCAGGCCACATCATTGCCGAGACATGCCGGATTGCATCAAAGTGTGACCCCGTGTGACAAGCGATTGCAAAAGGGGGGTCAGCCCCGCCAAAAAAAGTGATCGTTTCGGCAACTGCGTGGCTTCATCCTCTGCCCACAGATAGCAAGTAAATTTCATGCAGACGGTCTCAAGGGTTCTAACTTTAATATCCTCAATTTTATTTTTTCTCAGTGTGTGTTATGCAAGCTAGCGAGGCCACCATCAAAGTGTTTGCAGAAGTGGGTCATTGATAGTAGTTGTCCAAAAACTTTGACATTGAGATGATTACATCAGCAACACTTGCACCTCAGTTACCATCGCCATCACGCGGTTCTCCCCCCGCGGGGTACCTACTGGGTACCCTCAGACATCTTGCTAAGGGTACCCAGTAGGTACCCCCTGGCAGGGGGTGGGGGGGCCATTTAGTCGATTTAGTAGCGGGGGCATATGCGGGGGTCAGGAGGAGGGGGGGTGTATGTAGCATGTGACTTGTCCATAAGAGCGGGTAGCTGGGTGGGAAAAAAAAATCCAATCACATGACGCGCTGCATGGGCGGGATGGCGGGATAAAAAAAGCACGTGACAGCTGAAGTGATAATTTTTAAAAATGTTGGCGGGGGCTGGCAGGGTGCTGGCGGGGTCATTACCGACCCCCCCGCATGCCACGGCAGGCGGTAGGCGCACATTCACGTGACCTCCTCCCATCTTTTTTGCCGCCATTCGGTGCAATTTTCAGGGCTCTCCACGGTGCACAATGCGCAGGGGCGGCGGGCAGTTTGGTCACGTGACCGAGCGCAAAAAAAAAGAAAAATAGCTGCCGGAAAAACCGGGATGCTATTCCAGTCTGTCCTGTGCCTCAAATATCAAAAAAGCGAAGCACTGAATGCAAAACCTGGACTGCTGCGCCCGCCACACTGCAGCAGTGATGGGCATGATCCCATCATCTGGCGGGGTCATCTGCGGGGTTGATCTGTTCCATATTTGTACGCTCACGCCGTAGTGCCGCTGGGTTCCCTGATATATGATTACTTTGTTTCCCATGACGATCTCCTTCTGCCTCTTCCTCCCAGGATGCCCCCCAAAAAGCCACCACCAAGAAAGCAGCCAGGAAAACCTTCAGGGCAAAGCATTCGACCCACCAGTCCAGTGAAGGGACGGCACAAGCTTCGAAACGTCTTGACAATACCCATGGGCCGCAACGCTCGCGCAAATGTTCTGGCTCAGAAGATGAATTCTTTGCTTGACCCAAAATCAGCAGATTTGAAAACCGAAACGTCTGGACAACGGATGGAGGAGCATATAATCCTTGAGGATCGAATGGAAGTGGATGAAACGAGCGCAATGAGCAAGGATCTATGGGAAGATATTGCACATGACACGGGGGGTGCCGTGGGGGTTGCCGTGGGGGGTGCCGCGGGGGGTGCCGCGGGGCCCGCCGCATGGCTGGGTGTTGGGGCTGGAATGCCGCCATTTATCCCTGAAATTCTTGCGCGACCACATGCTATGCAGGCCTCTTCTGTGTGGATCAATCTCATCCCCGATCTTGCCATCTCTCTGCTGGCATTTCGGAAATCATCCTTTGCATGTCCACCCGCATCACTCGCTGAAACCATTCATCAAAATTGTGAAAATCCTGCCTGTACCCCAACTAAAATTCGTGTCCTATGTCTCCACATCTCATGTGTGTTTCAATTTTGCCTGAACAGATTTTGCCTGACATTTGACCAGATTTTCAACATATCAATGTCCGAACATGTTCTTGTGTTCCCCCTGCAACTGTTCCACTGGAGCATGGTGCTCTGGCCACCTCACCTAGCAAGCCACAAATTGCTGTTACAGTCAATACATTGGAGATATACCAGGCATTGTTTCAACGCTCCTGCATCGCCATTCAAGCATTCACAAACACTCTAAAAACCCTCTATAATACCAGAGGATTTGAGCTGATGTCCAAAACCGTGAGTTGCTTCTTTCATTCCGCTTTTTTTGCACTTTATTTCTGATACATATTCCAGTTTGATGGTGAACATGCTGCTGATCCTCTTCGACAAGCCTTATCCCAGGCAGTGCATGTGTACAGCAGCATTCAACAGCATATCCGAAAAATGGTCAATGATGCCTTGGCCAGAGAGTATTGCCGTAGCAGCACCGGATCATCTCCAAGAGACTCCATAGCTTCCACCTGTGAAATTTCCCCTGCACATGCTGAGCCACATCCATCAGTCTCAATCACAGGACCTTGCGAGGTGTCCATGCTTGGTGCACCCCCCGTCGCACCCCCCGCCGCACCCCCTGCCGCACCCCCCGTCGCACCCCCCGCTGGGTCCCCCCCTGCACCCCCTGCCGCGTCCCCCGCCGCACCCCCCGTGTCATTTACCCCTGCCAACCACACCGTCAAATCTGATGATCAACTCTTGCTGGTCCCTGGATCTGCAAATCGGGTTCTACAGAGCCGGTGTCCCTTGTGTTTTTCCCTGAAGGAATGGGGCCATCCGCTTGCTATGTTCGATTTTCCTCTGACTCTGATCACCAGTGACTGACTTATATTCTCAGCGGTGGGGATGTCCAATTTGGTGCTGATGGTTGCTTCAACTATCGTCATCTCCAAGCTGCTGGCAACGGACCATCCTTGTTCAGTCAGGAGTACTTCCTGACACCTGAAGAGGTTCACAAGGTCAAAGAGACTGTGCTTTTGGCAAGGAAATCTCCGAAGCCTCTCAAAGAGTCTCTAATTTCAGCTGATATTGTGGATGCCTGTGGAGAGTCATGGACTGCCGCAAATGAGCACAAACAAAAGGGGGATCCAAAGCGCTATGACTCCACTGGCATCTTTGCACTGACATGTCATCACTCACAAGTCCTGTTCATGTGTGATATAGACACTCCAGGAGAGCAGCAGCACTACATAATTGCGCTCTTGGAGAAGGTGGCCTCACTCCTGCCATCCAATGCAACCATTACGCAATGTTATGATATCAGTTGTGTTCTTGACCGGAGTAACAATTTGGTACGTGCATTCCCATTCACAGTCTGTCACTTCTATCCTCGCCGCACCCCCCGCCGCACCCCCCGCGACACCCCCTGCGACACCCCCTGCCGCACCCCCTGTGGCACCCCCCGCCGCACCCCCCACCGCACCCCCCACCGCACCCCTTGATAGAGTCCATATCAATGCTGACTATACTCCGAAGTTCCCCATCCTTTCTGCCCATTTGCGATCTCGCGTATCATTCTCTCTGAATGCGATGCATGCATTTGGACATCAATGGGCCTGCCAATTAGTCTACAACCCACGCATGAAGTTGGGTATGGGTCTCACTGATTCAGAAGGTGTAGAAAGACTTTGGTCAAGGATAAGAAGATTGATTCCTCTGACTCGTAATCAATGGGTATCCCTACATATTTCTGTTGCTGTTTATCATTCTGACACATCCACAGACCTCACGGCGCATAGCCACCATAGATGAATTTGTTTCCTTTGTCAATCATGAAGGAATCATCAGTCTAGGTAGTTGGATTGAACGGCAATTCAATAAGAACATTCCCCAAAAGATCAATCAGTCCATGAGACAGATCAATGCTGCAGGCGTGGCCATTCAGGACTTGCGATCACACTGGCAGGCTCAACTGAGTGCCCAGGTATCACTTCATTCAAGTATATCATCTTCCCTTGAGAAGGATCTTCACTCAAAACACTCTCCCAGGCCCCCCTGTTCGAGTCCAACGTGAGCTTGGCAAGATAGTCAGCCTTCAAAATCAAATTGAAGATATTGATGACACTCTGGAGCAACTCCAAAAGACTGTTGAAGATAGACAGAGCTCGGAGTCAGCACATATTGCGATCCAGGATCTGCAATCCACTCATGTCAAGCTCAGTCAACAAGCTGAGCATCTGTTCACTTCACTTAACCTGGAGACTCATTATCCAGAGCTGGCTGGACTTCCCTTTGAATTTGTGCAGATCCTGCTGCTGATGAGGGACCTCAAGATTCAGATTCGCAAACAAGCAATTGGGACATTTTTAGAATGGGAGAATTTAGACCGTGCTGTCCAAGGACGACGGGAGCCACTGGGTAAGTCCCTCCCCCATGCGCCCCCAAATTCACCCCCGCCTCGCGCGCACCCCCGCGCGCACCCCCGTGTACACTACGCCACCGCACTGACATGTTTCCATCTGCAATCTAGGTACAAAGCTTCATCAAG